TTAAATCCCCCAAATCTGCCCTGAACTGATAACATGTTAACAGGATCCATTAAAAGTTAAACATTCAGCATTTCTTCTGAAGGTGTCTGTGTATATTTCTGTAGCTTCCCCGCTGCTGTGACACACCCTACTCCCGTGTTACACTGATAACAGACACACACACATCTGTGACTCAGTGTATGCTTAACACAAATATTAATCAGTCAGATCAATACTTAAACTGAGCCTCACACACACACACGTTTCCTCCAGGCAGTCTAGGGTTTTTGCTTCCTGGGTCATCCTCCTGAGCACGGCCTAACACACACACACATCACTGTGTCACTGTGATGACTTGAAGCTGCTTAATGTTTAGCCGGGGCACGTACACACACACACACACACACACACACACACACACCTGCATGCAAACACTTGCATGGGGAGCAGAGAGATTACAGACACACACCCACACACATGCAAGCTTCGATGGAGGCAAGAAAAGTTCCTGCAAGGAGAACAGATGGTGATAATCAGACAGGTGAGAGTTTAATATTGTAATAAGTTATTATGTATTTAATTTATGACATTTATGCTCTTAATATATTGTACATTTTTTGTTAAAAAAAATTATAACTATGGAGGGAAAAACTCTGGTAAACTTTGAGGATATATCAATGGATTTGTAAAAGTTTCATTCATGTCTGCACATGAATGACCAGGATTTAATCAACGAAAAGCTTTTATTTTGACAGTTCTGCAGCTTATATATTCATTTATCCTTTATTCTCTAAGTCAATGTAGATGTGACATGGGTCTAATTTTAAAAAGTAACCCAGTTTAGTTTTCTGTCAGAGTTGTACAGTTTGTTTAGTTTAAGTTTCAACATCCAGTTGTATGAATAAAAAAAATAAAAACAGAAAAACTATACAGCAACACAGCCTATGAGGAGAACGTGTATTAATTAAGAGAATAATTTGTGTATTTTTATGTGAATTGTTTATTTTTTACCTATTTTTTTTTTACCTACAGATTTGTCTCCAGAGTGTCAAAAGAATCTTTAAACTGAGTTTAATGCGTCTCCATTACTTGCCGTCATTTAATCCTGATCATTTAGAGGTCGGTCAGGTGGTGATCCACAGTAGGATAGATATCAACTCTATTATTTTGAGTGAATAATTAAATTAAAGGGACAGCTAGTTGATTCGGATCAAGGTAAATAGCTCTATTTTAAAGTGCAGAGAGAAAGCCTGCCAAAGATTATCCTCTAGTTTGCTAATCTGCTACAGGACTGTTAATCCATGTTAGAGCATGTGCACCGAGAAAAAGAGACCTAACCGGACTGTAAGCACTAAATGTTTGTTTCCTTTGATTAAAGATTCCAGTTATGACAATAATGACAAAATATTCAGTAGCAGGAAAATAGATATACTCTAGATTCAATTCTTATTTAACAACAAGGGAATTTAAATGTCAAACTCTTGTAGATACATGTGCATTACTGAAATAAAAACTGTATTCAATGGTTTGTTGATTTGTCAGAAATGAAGTTATCTGAAATCCTAAACGTCTCTTTTCTTAAGCTTTAAATAAAGATGGATCAACATTTCTGTGTGTAATAAAGCCGCGTTCAGACCAAACGCGACCTGGTCGCGCCGCGTCGCGTTGGTCGGTCAGGTCGCGTCGCGTGGTGCTCTGGTGTGTTCACACCGGGTCCAAAGTTGCAGTCGCAGGTCGCGGCTGGTCGCCGGTGACGTCATCCATGTCACTAGCTCAGTTTTCAGTTCATCAGTGCTGCCGCATATCTGTACATCCGCAGTAGACGCCGCCGGCGTTTATGGGTGCATGAAACCATCCGGAGGAGGACGGAGCTGGGTGAATTTCACCGTTTGCTCCAGGAACTCCGCCTGGACGACGGCCGCTTCCAGCGGTATTTCCGTGTGTCGACGGCGCAGTTCGAGGACCTCCTCGCCCGGGTGGGAAGCAGCATCTCCCGCCTGGACACGAAATACAGGCGCTCCATCTCAGCTTCGGAACGCCTGTCTATCTGTCTGTCCCTCATATAAGCGTCCCTAAGCCCCTTCCACCGCTTGCGGCACACATCCACTGCAAAGACACACACACATACGTTGAAACATGTAGCCTAGCAAGCAGGGGCAGTTAGCTGTGTTTTCATAAAACAGTCCGCTCACTGAAATAAATGAATAAACAAACAAGCTTACCAGAAAGCCCGACATCACGGGCCACCTTCCCCCATGCTTCTTCTTTGGCGTTGCGGTCCCGGTACAGCCCGCAACCCACGTCGTATAGCACCGGGTGGTAGCTAACCGATGTGATTAACTGCGCCTCCATTGTGATTCTTCTTCTCCTCTTCCTTGTTTCGCCGGTTTGTTGACGTCAGCAGAGCCCTGATTGGCTGTCGCGGCACGGAGTCGCTCCCAAAGTTCAAATATTTGAACTTTGGGAGCGACGCGACTTGGCGTCCTGCGACCTCGGCGACGCGACCTCGGGGACGCGCCTTGGCGACCGGTCGCTAGGTCGCGTCAGGTCGCGTTTGGTCTGAACGCGGCTTAAGGCTTTTGTCTAATAGCAAAAATCAACATGGTCTACAGTCATTAATCTACCTTCCCACTGAGCAATAGACGGCTATTAGACGTCTAGCTTTTTTTGGACCTAATTTCAGCCGTCTAGATTCTGTTTATTTTTAGACGGAATTTAGACGATGCCCTTGAACTCATTATTCGATAACTGTTTATTTCAAAAAGTAACTGTGAGTTGCAAAACTGATCTCCACGACTTAACCAAAATAATTATAATAGCTGTTGAGCAATATACAGTGTTTTATAGCTATAGCCCAGATTTAAACTTGGTCTAAATTTAAATGTTTTCAAAAAAACTTTCATTTTTAGACCTGTGGTAGCCTGATTTTAGACCAGTCGTCTAGGCTACATTTAGACGTCTATTAGACCTCTTTTAGACCAAAATATGCTCAGTGGGTCAACACTATGACTTTTTAGTGAAGATTTTCTGGTTCATGTTCTTGGATCATGGTAAAACCTCCCACTGAGCATTTTTTGGTCTAAAAGAGGTTTAATAGACGTCTAAATGTAGCCTAGATGACTGGTCTAAAATCAGGCTACCACAGGTCTAAAAATGATAGTTTTTTAGACGTCTAAACTTAACTGGGCTTTATCTATACTACACTGTATATTGCTCAACGGCTATCATAATTATTGATAGCCGTTGAGCAATCAGTTATGCAACTCACGGTTGCTTTTTTAAATAAAAAGTTATCGAATTATGGGTTAAAGTGCAACGTCTGTATTCCGTCTAAAAATACATAGTATCTAGACGGTTGAAATTAGGTCTAAAATAAAACTAGACATCTAATAGCCGTCTACTGCTCGGTGGGCTCGTTCATCTTTTAGGGTCTCTGTTAGCTCTTTAAAGAAAATAATTTTTATGTGTCTGTTTTTTTAGGCTCTAAAATAAAAAATGGCACCATAGCATGGCCATATGATGATGATGATGATGAAGGTAGTCGTCCACTGCCTGCAGTCTTCCGTCTCTACGTGTACGCTCTACATGGCTGTCTCTGTGAGGTGGTCTTCACTGCGGTGTGGGACGGGGTGAGCTCAGGTGACGTGAGGCTGGGGGGTCATAGCAGTTTGTGGGCACTGCCAATGTACGCCTCCGCCATCTTTGTGATGGAGCACCTGAGTAGACGCCTGTTGGCTCAAGGTCAGCCACTGACTGTCCGTCTGATAGCATACACCCTGTTCATTTACTTGTGGGAGTTCAGCTGGGGGGTGGGGCTCAGCCTGCTGGGGGCATGCCCCTGGGACTATTCAGGTTTCAGGTTTAACCTGAGAGGACTGGTGACCCTGGAATATGCAGTGTTCTGGGCCATTGGGGCATTTATCGCAGAGCATCATGTGATCAGGAACACCCTGAAGATGAGACTGAAGAACTGATCTGACACCAGCCTGACTCTAATGTCTCCTATTAGAGAACTATGACAAATGAATGTGAGTTTTTTTTTATTATTTATTACAGACCTAAGAAGAGACCACCTACACCAGTTTGGACATTTTGATGTTTCATCCATCTCAGACTTTTTTTGGGGAGCAGAAGTGATCATATATGGACAAAAAGATACACAATGCCATATCTCTGTCCTGTTTGAGAGGTTACCAAGTTGCCAACTTGTCAATCACAGGAAGGCCCGCCCTCAGTCCTTCCTCTCTCTGCTTTAGGGCATTAAAACTTACAAAGTCAACATCATGCTGTACTGTAGAAGACAGGAAACTAGTGACTGTGGCCATAAAATCTGAAAAAAAAAATGTTCACTGAGGTCATAAAACCAGGTTGTCATTTGTATCTGTTCAATATGACTCTTTTGCAGCTTATAGAGCCTCCCCAGAATGGCTGTAAGTCAATGACAGCTCATCTGTGACACCAGGCTCTGAAGTTGTTTTAACAGGTTGATCTTCTTTACTTTCTATTTCTCTTTGTTTCCCAAAATCAATGCACCATTTCACATTTTACATGAAGGCTTATTTGTTTTAAACTGTCTGGGTGGAATCAATAAGTTTTAAGTACAGTTTTAACTCAGATACTTATTTATTCATGTCATTTTTCTCATAATACAGTTATATGCACTGTAAATGAATGTTTGTCATTATGAAAAAGTGTGTTTTTGATTTTAATATGTTCATTGATGCTGACATAATAAATGTTCGCTTTCAGTAATGTATAAATGAACTGATGGTTTACAATATGACTTGTATGCAATGATTCTTAAATACACAGGCTTACATACTCAAAACTAAATAGACTAAAAAGACTAATAGACTAAAACTAAAGTATAGCTGCCAAAATTAACACTGTATGGATCTTTTAAAAGTCTATCATTGCTGCTGGCTTTCAGCCTTGTTTTATGGCTTCTTACAGTTATGGTTGTTAGTACTTATGTTCACTGATAGTTCTCTGCAGAAGACTTCATATCACATGAGTGATGTTCAGGGTCTCTTCCTCTCAGGGTTCTGGACCACAAAGAGAGCAACAGTCCCCTCCGCCCTCTGCCACTCATACCTGAAAAACACAAGGACATTTTAGCTTTAAAAAAGTTTAAATCACATCATTCAGAGCTGCTGGAATCACTCTAAGAATTAGCAGCAAATTTAAATCTGTGCAGAGATTTTGCTTCAATTGACTTCATACTGAACCAAATCTGGGTATTCAAGCCTATGAAAAGATATGTTAGTTTCATAATTCCTTCATTTGTTGATCTCTAGTTATTTAATCCGTCAAGAAAGTAAAAATGTAAATACCTTTATACTGTGTTATTTTCACACAGTCTAATAGTCAGTCATTAATCTTGATATTGACTCACTGTTGGTGTTCGGGGATGAGTAAACTGTCTCCTGCAGAGAGTTCGAACTGCTGCTGGTTCATGGTCACTGTAGAGTTTCCCTCCTGAAGGAAACAACCAAAGAGAAAGAGAGAGAAATCACTTCATGTGAAACAGACAAAGTGATGAGAAACAGCTCTTAGAGCATGGTGGAAAACTAGAGAACATATTTAGAGAACCTACCGTCTGCCAGATCCACACATCACTCTGCTGCACTGATGTCTCAGTGTGTCCAGAACCAAACACAATTACCTGTTAAAATATACATGTTACCATTCATCATGTCCATCATTATCATCAATTTCAAAGTGCTTTCCAAATGGTAGTTAATGCTGGTAAGTACTGTAACAAAAGTCATGAAACAGCACTTCCACTTTCCTGTATGTTTTAAATCGCTCTGCATCCTTAATATTTACATAATTTAACATGATACAAAGACATCATATTTGCTATAAATCAGGGAAATTCTACAAAAAAAGTCAAAACAGTAAAAAGGAATCATGTACTTTAATTAGAAAAAGCTAGTTTCTGGTAATTACACACTTGAAGATAGTCTTTTTAGCATTGAAGTTGTAAGTTAAGTTATGCATTTAAGTTAGTATTAGTAGTCCCGCTTCTTCATTATTTTGATCAGTCATTAAGGTGTAAGTGATACTGACAAGCGTGGAGTTGTTCAAAAAGTTTTACAATTTTCAAACCAGAGCGCTGTCATCACAGCAATAATCGCATAACAGCTCACACTCATGGTAGTTTTGGGAATAGGAGGATGAGTACTGGTAACACTAAACTGCACTGGGTTTGATTAGAGAACAGGAGCTGCCAGTGCCTGAAGGCTGTCAGTGGAAACAGGCCCTAGTGCACTTTCACAGTAGTCAATTATTAGTAAATGAGGTAGTTAAGATTGAAAACTGAATCATAGAATCATAGAAATAGCCTCTAGATTTAATTAAAACGCCTGTACAGGTGTTTCTTTATAACATGAACTAACCTTACACAGAGATGATCAGGGCTGAGTATTGTTGGAAACCGTAGTTACCACTTTTCGATATGATAATTGTTGTGTGTGCGTTTGTGTGTGTGTGTGTGTGTGTGTGTGTGTGTGTGTGTGTGTGTGTGTGTGTGTGTGTGTGTGTGTGTGTGTGTGTGTGTGTGTGTGTGTGTGTGAGAGAGAGAGAGAGAGAGAGAGAGGGAGTGTAAATCTCCCCATTTCCTGTTACCTGTGTCTCAAACTGATCTCCAAACATGTCGACCTGCCCCCTGTTGGTCAGAGTCGGTCTTTGTTCGTCCAACCACAGCTTGAAGTTGAATGGAGACATCACCCTCATGGTGTTCATCTGGAATGGAGGCTCTCTGAACTCCTCATCTGTTCATCCAAATGTCATCATCACACAACAATGACTTCACAACTAATCAGCCAGGGGATGTTATTTAAATTTAGTCATCAGAGAAAATTGACTGCAACTGCACCAAGCTCTTCAGTGTATGAGCTTTACGCTGCCAGTTTAGGGTATGTAAACTTTTGCGTCAAGGGCTTGATGCCAACCTTCTGTCTGGAAGACAACCCCGCTCAACCCCTGACTCCCAGCCAGTATGTGTTTGGTTATCATAGCAGGTAAAGGAGGACTCACCTGGATCAGGTTTTCCTGTTCTGAACTGCTCTGATGCCATGAACCTGCAGAAGGAGCACAAAAATCCCCAAACTGATCAGACCCATTAATAAATAAATTTATTAATCTATAAACTAATCGATAAATTTGAATATCTTTATATAAGCAGTATGCTTGATGGTCTCACTCTTTAATAATAGGTACCAGCTGTGTTCCCAGGTTCTCACAGTAAAACCACCTCTCAAACAAAATATCAGTAGTGTTCCCAACATGATACCTGAAGACACAAACAAAAATTAAGTGTTTCGATTTCACAGTACAGTATATGCAGTACAGTAAATGTAACCATTGCATCTCATTTATCTGTGAGATGCAAAAGATACTCAGACTTCTAATCAAGTGCCTTCTACTGTGATGCACAACAATACTTTGTCACATTTATTTTATACAAATAGTAGTCTCAATATAAAGCTAATGGTTTTTAGGTTCAATTCTCGAAAGTGCCACAAGGGGGCAGCCTCCCCCTGGTTGGGCAGGATATGGTAAAGCTCATTTAGTGCTCTCTACTGCCGTCTGGCAGGAGCAGAGGAAAGTTTTAAAACACAACAGATCCACGCAGCTTTCTTTCAGTGTTTACAGGTCAGTCAACAAACTGCCCCAACCTGTGACATTAGCTAGCAGCTAGCTAACAATAATAATGTTGTATGACGATGCTCAGTAAAAAAAAAAAAAAAAACTAAATAAAATAACAAATTTTCAAGTAATGATAGTAATAGTAAAAGATAATACTATCATTGTTGTACTGTAAGGAGCAGGTCTAAACAATGCTCTGCTGCTTTGTTTTTTCTCCAACACTTTGAGGTTGAAATTCTTGTTATTATAACCCTATTCCTTTTTGTCCCTGTATCATCTGGTGAGTATTTAATCCATATGACAAAAGGGACAAAAGAGACAATAACATAACAAAAGACCAGAAGAAACAGTATCACACCTGAGACAGTCAGTTTCAGTCAGCAGTCGTCTCCTCTCAACCACCAGACCCACAGTGTTGGCTTGTCTTTGGGGAGAGTGAGGGATGCGTGCTGGCAGCAGAAACATCTGAGCAAAACAGAGAGACATGAATGAACTAAGACTGTTGGAGATAAACTGCGTGAACAACACACAGTCACACAGAGCAGTGTGTGATAGGAGGTAAACTGACTTAATCCACAGCAGTGTCAGCAAGGTAAGGCAGTTTCAGATTCATACTAACATAGATACATAAAAATAAAATGATTGTAAAAGTCACCTCTCCCTCCTTGATATATATGTCCTTGTGTTTCCCATTTTCAATCACTTTCAGACACATGTCTCCCTGTAGCTGGTAGAAGAGCTGTTTAAAACACAAACAACATCACTTTGATTATCAAATTATGGTTAATCAAAGAAATAATCCTTATCAAAATTAACTGCTTCCAGAAGTTTTACCTAGACTTGGATGTGAAGTTAAGCTTTACCTACGAATGTTACTAAACAACCAGGAGGGGGCAGTATAATAAAAACTTTACAGTAATTTATTAGATAGACTTGTCAAAGAACACAACACAAATATCAAATGTTTTAAATGTTTTGGAACTGGATGCTCATTGTGAGCAATATCACAGAAACATCCATGGTTGATTAAGCAAGAAAAAGTGTATCAAGCCTCAGGCAAGCGAATGTGAGAAATGTAACCCTGTTTGACCCCAAAGTAAAACAGTGCAAAGTCGTTTGGAAATGGAAAGGCTCCAAAATCTTGCATTGAGACAGGTTTTGGCCAGACATTTTGTAACATAAAAAAGAACATACATCTCTTCATGCTAACCAAACAGGAGGTAGATAAAATAAATTATTTGACAAATTGTTGCCACTCTGTGAGGTTTGCTCCTGTTAGAAAGACTTTAGTACTCGGGCTGTGGAAACTGAAAGAAAAAAGAGTTAACTATGTTGTTACTCTTTGAACTAAGTGCAAACAAGGAGCTGTGGGGATAAATAATATCAGGAATTGTAAAGAGTATGTGAGACTTTATACAGAGCTCTTTCTGACCTCCTCTCCCTCTTCGATGTGATAATCCTTCCTTGTGTTCGGACCCCCAACAAACATGATGTTCAGCTGGCAAAAGAGCCTGTGAGGTATAAATATTTATATTCAGATTCATTTGATACATCAGCATAAAAATGATAATTCTTTACATCATAATTTCTTTATGTCGTAGCTGCACACAGGAAGTCACAGAGAGTCTTCTCTGATGTCTTTGTTTGATTTCCCAATAAACTGACTCACATGAGTTTGTTGCAGACCGGAGGTAGGAAGGCATTGCTGTTCTGGGTGATCCACGACTCCACGTTAATCACAGCCGAGTTCTGACACATTTTGTTGCAGTTTGTGAATCCTCTGTTATCAACCTGCTACTCCGGTCAACATTTAAATCTCTCTGTGATTCAAAGTCCAAAAGCAGGAGTAGGAGTAGGCTGAGGAGGTGGAGCTCTACAGCTGGATTTTGATGGTCAATCTCCTCTGGTTCTGTGATCTACTGGATCAATTTAACTGAAAGTGGACCTAATATCTCTTTATCCATGATTATACCACCTGAAATGCTTATTGAAATCACAGGCGCCACTAGAGCTGGACTATTTGGCCTTGATTTCATCTTTGTTTCATAGTAATGTCAAACAATGAGCCCTTAGTAGTAGTAGTAGTAGTGGTTCCTCAGAACATGTAACAACAGTCATGAGGAAGATGGCTGACTTGACAGCTGTCCAGAGGATGATCATGGACAATCTCCACAACGCTTAAAAGCTATTGAAGGTCATGGGTGAGAAGGTTCATTCATAGAGTGCTGTGTGCTGTGTTGAAGCATATTAGCTGATATTTAACTAGAAGGAAAAAGTGAGGTGAGGAAAGATGCTCAAACAAAAGAGATTACAGCAGAGGATCATCAAAAATAGTCAATTCAGGGGTGCACGGATGGCCGAGTGGGTTAGCATGCCCTATGTATGTGGGCCACAGTCCCTGCAGCAATTGCAGGTTCAAGTCCAGCCCGACCATGTGCTTCATGTCCTCCCCTCTCTCTCCAAGGTGCCCAGCGAGAAGTTTACACTTTCTATGCTGATATGGAGGGGCATGTCCAATACCAAGAAATTCCTCAGAGACCTGAATATCTATTGCTGCTCACCGGATCATATGTAATCAGTCAGATAAGTAGCACAAAGAGAAAAATGACAGCTGTGAGATCTTACAATTGGTTTTGAAACATATTGGGGGCTAAAACAAGGAGGTTTAAAAAAAAAAAAAAACAATGGCATGATCAAACATTGAGAGTGGTCGTGTTTATTTTAAAAAATGATCAGAACTCATAATTTTATCTCAGAGCACATTCATCAATGCAGTTTACAGTTTCAATTTGTTGATTAATGCTAGCATGATAAATGAACCGGTATTTTACAACACTACCAGTGAGTAATGAAGTTATAGTACACCTGCTTAAACACAAATATAATACTGTGTATTATAATACTTTGTTCAAATATATTTTCATCCTTTACTGCCATGAAAGTATGATGAAAAGTCTCTCATCCCACATGTTTTATCAGTAAAACTAAACATTAGTAAAATAATGTAAAATGCGTAACTATAAGGTTTGTAACCTGTGGAATATTCCTGCTAGATTATTTTGAATACTGGGTTTTACTTTTTTAAATATCTGGCTGAAATTATTTCATTTTTATGCATTTTGATGGTTTAGCCTGCAGCAATGCATGATGGTCTGATGGATCATCATACATTTGCTGCATCACTGTGTAGTGAGAACTATCAATCGTCTTTAAACGACTATAATTACCGCTGGTTTCCAGCCGTGTATCTTGTATCTTGCAGCTAACATCATCTGAATTAGTACATGCTGTTTGTTCATTAAATCTCTGCATTTCTACAGGGCACTGCATATTAAATGTGTAATGTTCAGGGTCTCTTCCTCTCAGGGTTCTGAACCACAAAGAGAGCAACAGTCCCTTCCTCCCTCTGCCACTCATACCTGAAAAAGACAAGGACATTTTACCTGTAAGGAACAAGTCTAAATCACATCATTCAGAGCTGACAGACATTGCTTCAATAAATAGCCCAACAAATCTATTATCCCTACAATTTTCCCCTCCCTTCTTCACAGACGTGTATCAGTGTCTGCATTTACGCTCTTTGCACTGAAGTGACTATTTTCACACAACATATAAAGCAGAAAAAATGTTTATAGTGTTTCATCACGGTGCCCTCAGGTACAGCAGGTTGTCCAGCAGATTGTCCACATGTAGCAAATCAATACAGCTTGACAGTCACTGACTAGGTTTTAAAACTTTAGCCAATGGAAAGATATCTTTGTCTTTCAATTCCTTGATTGGAGGAACTCTATTAACTCAAACTATTTAAAACATCTCACTTTCTCACAGTCTCATAGAGATAGTCATGATTTTTACATTGACTCACTGTTGGTTATCAGGTATAAGTAAACTGTCTCCAGCAGAGAGTTTCAGCTGCTGCTGGTTCATGGTCACTGTAGAGTTTCCCTCCTTAGGAGACAAAGACACACAGAGAAAAATAACTGTATTAGAGAAAGAGAAAAAAGGCAAGAAACAGCTCTGAGAGCATGAGAGGAAAACTAAAGAACAAGTTTACGAACCATCTGCCAGATCCACACATCACTCTGCTGCACTGACTTCCCAGTGTGTCCAGGACCGAACACAATCACCTGTTAAAATACACAAGTTATCATTTATCAACATTACTCTTACTGTGTCCCTGCTAACTCATCAGGTGCACTTTTGCAACTATAACATTTAACACGGTTTTTACTGCAGAGGATTTGCACTCCTCTTCGGGCTTTTTTCTGCAGCTAAAATTTACAAAGAAAATGTTAAAACAACAGAAGCAACAGCTAAGACTCGTAAATAGTGCTCTAAAATAGTAAAGTATCAAATTTAATGTCCCCTCCTTTGTGAGTTTTATCCACCAGATAACAGCGATATAATTAACTAGTTTGGGAGTGTTCCATATTTTTTACTACTTTCAACCGAGTATTTGTGGTTTAAGAAGCTCTCTGAAAAAACTGCTCCCTGTTACCTGTGTCTCAAACTGATCTCCAAACATTTCGACCTTCCCCTTGCTGGTCAGAGTCGGTCTCTGTTTGTCCAACCACAGCTTGAAGTTGAACGGAGACATCACCCTCATGGAATTCATCTGGAATGGAGGCTCTCTGAACTTCTCATCTGTTCATCCAAAGATCATCATTAAATAAATAATTAATAATAATAAATATATATATATTTTTTTTATCATATCTAGGGGGTAAATTGACTGCAACTGCACAAAGCTCCTCAGATTAAAGATTTACATTGCGTGTCACATCCAAACACTGTACTGTTTAGGGTTCAGAGTCCTTGTTCATAGCCGGCTGAAGGAGGACTCACCTGGATCAGGTTTTCCTGTTCTGAACTGCTCTGACGCCATGAACCTGCAGAAGGAGCACAAAAAATCCCCAACCTGATCAGACCCATTGATAAATATATTTATTAATCCATAAACTGATTGATTGATTTTAATATCCTTATATTAGTGGTATGCTTGATGTTCTCACTCTTTGATAATAGGTATCAGCTGTGTTCCCAGGTCCTCACAGTAAAACCATCTCTCAAACAGGATGCCGGTGCTGTTCTCCACATAATACCTTGAGACACAAACATTGAGTAAAGTTTCCAGAGTTGTAGGACTCAAATTAGACTTTAGCTTTACTGCGAAAGATTGATTAAGAGAGTGGGCAAAGACTGTCTTATTGTTTTGTTAGTCTTTAGCGTGAGGCTTTTGGTCAGATTAACCCATGATCCACAGCACTGTTACCTTATTGATAACTCAAATCTCACTGGCACACACACTGATAATACCAGTCAGAACCTAATGTTACTGAACAAAAACTGTTTTCTTCACACCCAAAAGGTGTCATAGCTAAACAGCAGAATTCATACAAGAAAATATCAGTGCTCAAAACTCTGGAGTAATCACAACTTTTTGTTTGTCATGTATCCTCTGTTGTTCTTTTTACTCAAAAAGAAAACAACAGAAGATAAGACCAGAAGAAACAGTATCACACCTGAGACAGTCAGTTTCAGTCAGCAGTCGTCTCCTCTCAACCACCAGACCCACAGTGTTGGCTTGTCTTTGGGGAGAGTGAGGGATGCGAGCCGGCAGCAGAAACATCTGAGTAAAACAGAGAGACATGAATGAACTACGACTGTTGAAGATAAACTATGTGAACAACACACAGTCACACAACAGCATGTGTGATAGGAGGTAAACTGACTTAATCCACAGCAGTGTCAACAAGGTAAGGCAGCTTCACATAAATACTAACATAGATACATAAAAATAAAATGATTGTAAAAGTCACCTCTCCCTCCTTGATATGTACGTCCTTGTGTTTCCCATTTTCAATCACTTTCAGACACATGTCTCCCTGTAGCTGGTAGAAGAGCTGTTTAAAACACAAAATGACAAAAAAACATAATCATATAGATAATATAATATTATAGTTACATTCTCAAGTTGTGGCAAAAAGACTGTACAGACAAATGTTGTGCTGCGCTGTTAGTTACTAGTGTTTATAAAAAAAAATGTAAAATGGAAGATAAACCAAAAATACTTTGGAAGAAAATCAAGAAAATAGGACCATGGCGCATCTCGCCAAGTCATTTAAACGTTTTAAAACCAACAACATAGGTTACATCATCATGTCTTAGCCTACTATTAGCAGAATCAAAATCTTAATACTTTTAAATGGTGTCCAAGGCAACAACTATGAGAATTTATGTTGAGAGAATTGAAGCAGCAGAACTCTCCATTTAAACACTCTTGGCACTGTGAAGTTATCTCTTTATATGCTGATGGCCAGGAGGAGGTGATATTAAAAGAAATGACTAAAAACAAAATCTTCATGGCAGCTTGTTATGTAACCTCATGCTGTCTTATATGCGGCAAAATGGATCAACAAAGCCAATATTAATTTAATTGAAACCAACAGGCAAATTGCTATTTTAATGCCAACTTTGCTAGATAACTTCAGAGTGATTTAAGTGATTTTAATATTATACCACTATGTTGTGTGGTTAACGAAGTAGAGAAAACAAGAAAAATGTAGTCACTCAAGTGTTCATCAAGAAGGTGCTGATAATTGGTTATAGTGTTAGACACATTCACAGAAGAAATTTAACCATATCTGACCCAAAACTGAAACAGTGCACACTGCTCACAATGGAAAAGCGCCAAAATGTTGCATCATAGTCATTAGTTTGACCAGAAATCATGTATAATAAAAAAGAGCACATACTGCTCTTGATTTTGCGGTACTGATAAAACAAGTGTTTTTCAGACATGATGCAACTGAAGACTGAAGAAATCTTTGGTCTCATGCAGACAATGATCACGGACATGAACATGTAACTCAGGTCTGACTGTTGACTAACTGCATAACGTGAGTTAGGCTACATGTGTCAGTCACATGAGCACCTGTCATCCTTAACATGTAAAATCCTAGCAGCTCAGCATGTTAACTGCAGCAGGAGGCAGGAAGAAGGAATTATTTGACAGATTGTTGCTGCTCTACAGTTTGTTCCAGTTAGGAACAAAGACGGCTTTAAAGACCCTTTCTTTCAGTGAGAGGCAAGAAATTTTATTATGCAATGTGCAAAGACAATAAAGGTATCAATATTCAATTTAATTACCATTACTCCTTGGAATTAGAGCAAACCAGAAGTTGCAGGGTTAAATAATATCAGGAATTGATAAGAGTATGTGAGACTTTATACAGAACACTTTCTGACCTCCTCCCCCTCTTCAATGTGATAATCCTTCCTTGTGTTTGGACCCCCAACAAACATGATGTTCAGCTGGCAAAAGTGCCTAAGAGGGAGAAGTATCTGTTTTCAGATTCACTTGATACATCAGCATAAAAGTGATAGTTCATTACATCATATAACCGTTATTCTTTCATGTTGTAGCTGCACACAGATATCATAGAGTTTCCTCTGATGTCTTTTTTTCTGATTTTTCAGTAAACTGACTCACATGAGTTTGTTGCAGACCGGAGGAAGGAAGGCATTCTTGTTCTCAGAGATCCACGTCTCCACGTTAACCACCGCTGAGTTCTTACTCATCTTGCCTCTGTATGTGAAGCTCCTGTGATTGATCTGCTCCTGTGATCAGCTTTAGACTGTCTGACTGAGATTCAAAGTCCAAAAGCAGAAGTAGGAGTAGACTGAAGGGGTGGAGCTGTGCTGCTAACAGGCCAAAGGTGGATTTTAATAGAATCCCTGTCTACTGACTCTATTAACCTGTTGACTCTATTTAACCAGTAACTGGGCAGATAAATAAGATCTGCAAAGTATCTTGAACCTCTAATCTATCCAGATACAAAACTCAAAATTTCTGTTAAACAATTTTCCTTTGTTTCACTTCATGAATAATTTCTCCCAAATGCAAATGGTTTTGTGTGTCTGTTTAATTGAAAAGTGTGTAAAAAAAATGCACGATCAGATACTCCTACTTATCAGCTGCTAAGTAGACAGCAAATTACTGTTGCTGCATTTCTTTTAGCTTCTTTGTTTAATTTACTGCCTTTACTGATGCACTCACACAAGAAAGACAACGAATTACACAGTTTAGGAGTAACCTTGTTTACTTCAAATAACCCAAAAATATAGCTTAAGCTTATTTACAACACTAGCATCTGGCAATCATCATCAGGAGATAACACAAACTTTTTGAACTCTCTATATTTCACCTAACATTTGCTAAAGAAGCTACAGCAGAGTAATAAATTCAAGAGCTGTAGTAAGAACAAATAAAGATTACTGATGGTAAGGCCATTGTTTTGACACATCAGCTAGTAAAAAGTGGATTTAGATGCTCCTGCACCTGGTTCACAGTCAGAAAGTGAAAACAGTTTCTTCCTTTCCCAGGTAGAGGATCAGATGTGGCATCCTAAACCAGTGGTCTTGCAGCTTTGGGCTTTGGGCTGCCATCAGCAGGGCTCCCCCCACTTAAAATCCCTTATAAGTAAAAAGCTTTCGAAGGACAAACCACCAGTGTTGTGTCTTGATAATTTTGTCTATACAGGACAGTGGACAATATTATAGGGGGTAGTCAGGTTTGTAAGATGATAGAACCAAAAAAACAGGTGGGACATGAAGGAGCAACTGAAGATCCAACGCCATCTATGACATCCTTGCACCTGCCGGTCATTACATCCCCAGAAAACTCTACAAAAAAGCAGCCCGAACAGTAGGATATAGTATCATTTTTTTTTTTTTAATTTAATTTAATTTCATACTTTATTTAAGTCAGTTAATATTTAAAACATACAATACAGAGAAGGAAAAATCTCAAACATGTGAATAAAAAGGGGCATAAAGAACAAAAATCTTATGGAGTCCGCCCCTCTTTCATAAGATATTAATCAACTAAACACATAATAAAAAATAAACAAGAGCTGCAGGCCAACATGCCTTTTTACAGTTTATTATTTCTTAATTTTGAAAACAACCCACAAAACAAACATACAAAGACTTAGATTAACATATTTCCCTGTATTTACTCAACATACTGGCTTTGACAATTTTTTGAATGTAAAATTTGATTTAGCTGCTTTAGCTTTTAAGTTCAGATTGTTCCACAAACTTATTCCTCTCACTGTAACACAGCGTTCCTTCAGTTTAGTTCTGAATCTTGGTTTTTTAAATATATTCTAAATCCTTTTAAATTTTAACAATTTTCTCTTTTTTCAAATCGACTCTGTATACAAATTCTTATTACAAAAACTAAGCATGTGGATAAATGTTCTAATATTGTCAATGATATGGTGCCTAAAAGTGAATCTGCCTTCTCTTTACAATATAAAAACACTTCACAGCAGATTTTCGTTATTTATAGATAGATATACTTTATTGATCCCAAACTGGGAAATTCACAAATTTTCAAATGAGTTCAATTTTGGATTCAAAATCAAGCTAGGACTTATTTCATTTTTATTTTATTCTAATCACAAAAAGTTTTGTGTCTGAATAGAATCTGCATAATTTGTTTGATGTAAAATAAATGATTGTCACTGCATAACAAATAATGTTGCACTACAACCTGTTGTGAAAAGTCATTATTTAGCTACTTATCAAAAAAGTAGATGTGCCTTAGTGGTCTTTTGAAGAATTGTCAAGAATGGGGCTTGTTGGGAAATATTTGTTTAAATAATATTGGAAGTTGAGCTAATTTTGGATCATTAAACCAGCAAAAATGTACACAATAAAGATTCAAATTGATATCCAAAAGAAAAGGAAAAAAACAGTCATCAAATATTCATTTTCGTTTAATGCAGTTTTAGATATAACAGTGCAGTCTATCCACCTCTTTTTGTCAGAGTGGAAAATAAAATAATGGCCAGTTAGATGCAGAAATATATATATTTATTTCTTGATTGCAATCGAATCTTAAAAATGTCTTATGCTCGAAAATGAATGAATGAATAATGTGTTAACAGGGCATTACATGGTGGAAGCAGTATAAATAAAAGAAAATCAATAAACACAGTTAACATTCAATTTGCATCATATCTTTAATGTTTGAACATGCATCTGTCTCTGTTGCTCTCTATCCTTTCATTCCTGAACATATAACCCCGGGTTTTCACATTTGAATGACATGATGTTTATCTTCTTTCACAAACAGAAAGAGGACCTGCACGTGTGTCAACACTAAAATCCCCACAGGCTAAAAACATCGCTAAGGTTAGCCGAAAAATAAACAGGAAAAAAATTGTTTCTCATAAGAAAACCTTACATTATTTTTCATCAGAGATTATTTTCAAACCTATTTACCATCAAAACCCACCTTAAGCGGCAGGTGTTATGGTTATTAGTGACTAATGTGAACTAGCAGGCCTCGGTCACGTGATCTCCGGGCCTGGGTGCTAATGCTGCTAATGACAGTTGCAACTTCTTCCAACCGACAAACGCCGTTACTTTTGTAGTTAATTAAATTGATAAAAGACCCAGATGTCGTGTCTTGAAGCTGGAGGCAGCTCAGACCCCCGTGTGCAGTGAGTAAACGCCGAGGTCTGAGTAGTATCGTGTCCGCTGTGTGCGCTGCTGACTCGGTGTGTTATAAGAAGTGTTTCCGGGTCGGTGAGAGGTTTGAACTGCTCTCTGGAAAGTGACCATTGTTGAAATCAGGTCGAGGCTGTGATCAGCTCCACCTGCTGAGTTTACCCACTTTTTTTACGGGTTTACAGCGGAAAAAACAGCGCGGGCTTTTTACATTGTCATGAAAGAAATGTCAAGGTAAGCGGTGCACGGGATCGATTAGAGGTTTCGAGGCGGGTTTGGTCGTTTTTAATGAGAGTCCTGAAGAAAAGGCTAAAAGCTAACGTTAGCTAACTGTCACAACAACTAAACAAGGCCTGAGCCGCCGAGAGCTAACAGCGCCAAGCGTTGCGGTTCCTCAAGTGTGTCTTGTCTAACAAAACAACCGCATTCAACTCGCGGTGTGTTTTTCTCCTTATTATGTCAAGTCCACTTGGAAATGAAATCGCAATTTTTGGTTAATTATATGATTCAAAGCAGCTAGCTGGCGTTTGCTAAGTTGCTAAAGTAGCCTATTTGTCAGCGCTTACAACCTGTTTGTAGCATCTCTGCTAATGTTAGCCCGAACAGACTCTCACCTCTTTTGTTTCTGGAAGCTTATATTTCATTTTTACAGCAGCTCATTTATATATTTAAAAGCATTTATCCGCTTGTTGTGGTATAGTTGTTTTAGTGTCAGTGTTTACACATAACATCATAATGAAAGGTGCAGAACCAAACAGCCGAAACACTCAGGATGATGTTTTATATCTGAGTTTTGAGGTTGCAGTTACATTTCATTTTTCCTCTATGTTGACAGCACCATGCCTGGCGGGCAGCAGCAGCCTCAGAAACACTATGGCATCACCTCCGCCATCAGCCTGGCTCCCCCACGAGATATAGACCACCAGTACACCAATAAGCTCTGTGATGCTATGAAACCCTTTGGGGTGTTTGAAGATGAAGAGGAGCTGAACCATAGGTGAGGAAAGCATCCATACACACATATCTTTATCATGCTTGCTAGTCTCATCTTTCGTACACCATCAGCCGCACCAATTACTGTTACATGAACAACTGCAATACAAAGCAGAACCTACACTATGGCTACTTTCACATGTCTGTTGCTGTTCTGCAAAACCAGTACATCAACAAGCAGATACATCATGAACACTTGAGCAATATAGCTCAATACAATACAAAATGTAAATCAAACATTTCCGTTTTTGTTGGCATGATCAGGCTGGTGATAATTGTTCTTGTGAAACTAATATTTTTAAGTTGTGGTGGGTTTTTGGTGTTATACCAGACTCCATTATATTAAAATGTTTCCTTAAAACTGTTTTAGTAACACAAAGTAATTAATTGAAAATCTAATTAAGTAATTGTCAAATTGTCTAATTAATGTCAAAGCCAGTATGTTTAGCAAATACAGGGAAATATGTTAATCTAAGTCTTGGCATGTTTGTTTTGTGAAAAAAATTGAATTAACGTGGTCTTTTCTGTTTTGTTTTAGAAAAATGAGAAATAATGAACTGTTAAAAGGCATGTTGGCCTGCAGCTCTTGTTTTATTTTTTATTATGTGTTTAGTTGATTGATATATTATGAAAGAGGGGCGGACTCTATGATATAGTTTTCTTCTTTCTGCTCCGTCTCATTCACATGTTTGAGATTTTTTTCTTGTTTGTATTGAATGTTTTAAATATTAAGTGAATGAAATAAAGTATGTAAAATGAAATTCAAAATGAAAACCTCTAAAAGTAAATTCGATATACAGCTGCTGGATTGCTGTTACAAGACTTCTACTGTTCTGCGTAACCAGCATCTTTACCAGCCACTAAATATATGCCTGTCACTTCAGAAATCCGTGTTAAACGCTGTAAGACTGTGAGAACTGAGTCAGAGGTACCTGACAAGAGAAACAGAGAAGACTGTTTAACATAAATTCAAAGCAATTCTTGATTTAAGGAAATATTTAGAAATAAAAACTGTGCAGCCTGAATGGTTTCCTTTTCTGTCCAACATTTTCCCTGTGTTAGGAAGGCAGTGATTTAATTTCATGGTGTTTATATAATCTCTTCTAGAGTGTCATTTTCTTGTAAAGGTGGATTGTGAGTCAAACATTTTTTATGTCTTTTCAGACTTGCAGTTCTGGGGAAGTTGAATAACTTTGTTAAAGAATGGATCGCAGAGATCAGTGAATTAAAGGTGTGTTCTGCTTTGTTTTCAAGGGATTTACGGTGTTTTATGGACTCAAAATTATTCCCTAATCAGCCACATATTACTTTCTATTAACTTTACTGTCTATGTCCTTTTCTTCTCCAGAACCTTCCACCATCAGCCATCAGCTGTGTTGGTGGAAAGATATTTACATTTGGTTCATACAGACTTGGAGTTCACACGAAAGGTATGACTGCTGGCTGTTAAATTTTAAAAATTGCTTTCATTTTGAGGAGCAGGAGCTGTGCGACGTTATTTACCTTTTAAACAGATTGGGAGTATAAACAGATAACAGTTTTGTCACACACACCAGCCTCTCCTGCGTATGTGAGCAAGCATGAACATTGTTTCTGTAAAGCTGAGGTCAGTCTAACCACTCTAAAGCACAAGCTACCTTTGTCATAATTTTCTGCTATGGAAAGGCTTTTTGTAAAGAGCAGTACAGTTTTGACAGCAGTAAACACAGGTTTCGTCTGAACTGGAGGTGTAAATAGCTCCGAGTACCCCCTGCTTTTTGAAAAAACTGTTGGCATGTGAGAGGAAAAACATAATGAACTAAGAACAGAAGCTGCACTTGTGCTTTTACTGTTTGTTCAACCACAATAGTATGTTTTTGAATGCATTCATTTATAATCGTAAGTTTTTGGAATAATACAAGCTGAGCAAAAAGCTGTTAATGGTGTGTCTCCATGTTTTGTCGCACTTCAGGGTTGAAAAAAGCTATGTAAAAGCTACGGCAGTGAGTGTTGGGGCAGTTGTGAGAAAGTGAAAACAGCTGTAGTTTCAGTTCACTCTGTGTGCAGAGGAGACAGGCGAGAATGAGTTATGTGAGCTGAGATGTAATTTAAAAAATGATGTTTTTCCTTCAGTTTCAAGCAGAATGTCTCAGGTATGCCGCACCTCTTCAACTGTTTTAGTTGAGGTGAAGACTGAATGAGAAGTTTAGTTATGTAGGAGACAAAGAGGCTGTCACAGACGATCATAAACTGTATGGAGTTGAGAGTATCATGTTACGGGATAATGATATATCAAGAAAAAAAGTTCATATGGTTCACGTGGATTTACGTATACACATGGGGTTGGTGGGGATTGTATCATTGTGCCGTTTCACTGCCACAAAGTTATCACTCTTTCCTTTGAAATAAATCTAGTGCTTCATCTCTCTTTACATTACAGTGCTTTCAAGCTCACTGTGATTCACACACATTTAAGCTGATAACCTGTTCTTCACAGGAAAAACAAACAATCAGTTTTCTGGGTGTCCAGATTTGTGCTTTTCTCCTTGATCGAAGAAGCTTCCCCAGGTCAGAGGTTAGATTCTGTGACAGGGATGTCAGAAAGTTAAAAATATGTGAACTCTGAGCCGCAGTCTTGGGTTACAGTCGCTTGTATTGGCTTCTCAGCTCAACTTTCACTCCATCCTGTACTTGTTTGCCTAAGTTGTCTGGCTGTGGTGTGTTGATTCCAGCCAGAGCCAACAGGACAGCAAAATGATGTTGAAAAATGGTCTCACAGTTGAGAAAAAAATAATGCTTTGTAAATGTTTGTGTAACTAATGAGCGGCCTTGTAAAGTACAAAACTTTGAAGTTTGTGAAGTTTCAAAAACGTCCTTGGAATAGTTTCATGCTTGTCCTCCTCAAACTGGGTTCACTTGAGATCATCAGTGTCTGACAGACTCAGCTCTGATGTGCTCTTCTATTAGAAAAATGTAAACCCAAAACACTGAAGAAGAGCAGCGTTTAAAAGAGAACAGAGAAAATAACTCTGAATTCTTCGTTTATCCAACATAGATAAAATCTTTCTGTGCATCGTACTGAACATTGTGTTACCAAGTCGCTAAACTCATGACCCTCCTCTTGCACATTGATTAAAAGTCCTCTGTTCCCTCTGAAACCGTCTGTTCCAGGTGCTGATATTGACGCCTTGTGTGTTGCTCCTCGACATGTAGAGAGAAGTGACTTTTTTCAGTCTTTCTTTGAGAAATTGAAACAGCATGAAGAGATCAAAGATCTCAGGGTGAGTCTGTACTTTCTGTCATTACAGCTGAGTCTTAAAAATTAAAGTTGATAAGTTAGTGAACCTGGATCAAATCTGTACCACATAGTCTTGAAGATCTGGCAGTAAAATGAGTGATTATGAAGAGACAGTGGGATTTTTTGAAGTAGTTTTAAACTTAATCCTGCCTTGCTAATTTGATTTAATGGTGCACACTAGTACTAAAGCAATAGTACTGATAAATAGTACTGAAAGCAACCCATGTTTCCTGGAAAGACCAGATACTGTCCATCACTAATGCCGAATTTTAAAACAATACGTCATTAGTCTTAGTTTGACTTTCCTGATTGAAATGTATTTCCAACTGTGTGTAAGTCCTTTCACAGCTCTGTAGGGTTACGTTCACACTGCAAGTTATGATGCAAAATTCAGATTTTTTGTTAAATCCGATCTTTTGGTGTGGTCGTTCACATTACAACAACTAGTGCGGCATCTAATGTGAACGGAATGTGTCCGTAAAGTGACCTGCATGCGCACAACTGGCTGTTCTCCGTTCCCTCGTCCGCCATTGCTTTCCACGCCTGTTGGTGTTGTGGAACAATGGTGACGTTTGTCACATATTGATGACGTATTGGTCGGATGAATGCGACCTGAGCGTCCACACTGCAGTCACATCGGATACATATTAGATTTATATCCACATACAAAAGAGGCCTGGGTCAGATTTGCACTGTTCACACTTACATGAAAAAATCACACATGTGTCACATATGGTTAAAAAATCAGAATTGACCTGCAGTGTGAACATAGCCTCGGTGTCATTTAAAACATTGCTATTTCTATTTGTGGATCACAAGTTTTCTTGTCCATTTGTTGTTATATCAGTGATTGCATAATCTCAGCCTCTCTCTCTGAGTCTCTGATTTTTTTTTTCCAGGCTGTTGAGGATGCTTTTGTACCGGTGATAAAGTTCAAATTTGATGGCATAGAGGTGAGTATCAGTGTATAACATTTGTTGTAACAGGAACTTTGATACTGTGAGAGTGATTGAAACTTTAACAAAAGAAGAGCAGGTGATGGGGAAAAAAAGAGGTCTGATTTTTTTTTTTTTTTAAATCCATTTTGAATCTCTTCTGTACGGGAGCCGGGGAGAGCTCTGAGGTCTCCAAACCAACTTCTGCTGGAGGTGCCCAGATCAAAACACAAATACTGGGGTGACCGAGCCTTTGCAGTTGCTGGTCCCAGGCTCTGGAATAAGCTTCCCACCGAAATGAGACTCATTTCTGAGCTGGGTCTTTTCTAATCTCGACTGAAAACCTATTTATTCATGCTGGCTTTTAATACTCAGTTGCATGGTGACACTTTATTTTATTGCATTGTATCTTATTCTTTCTTTTATTGCTTTTCATTGTTTTTTATTTATTCATTTTTATTTACTATGTATTGTAAAGCACTTTGGTTCACCGAAAGGTTTGTTGTAAAGGGCTGTATAAATAGAGAACATTTACATTTACATTTCCTCTCTGCTTGTCTTTGTCAGATTGACCTGCTCTTTGCTAGACTGGCCTTACAGTCCATTCCAGATAACCTGGACCTGAGGGGGGACTCCATCCTGAGGAACCTGGACATCCGCTGTATCCGCTCCCTCAATGGTATGCTTTATGCTCCTAAAGTACCTCAGTTGAGAAGCTGACAAGGTGCAAGTCAACAAAACAGAACAGCACAAGTTTAAGTCTTACCCTCTAGTTTTGAGGTATTAACTCTTACATGAGGCTGAATAAACTCATCTAAAATTCATACCACAATATTTAGATCCTTTATTTAGTTTGCAGCAGGAAGCTAAGCGTTCATTCATTTGATGATATTATTAATGTTTCAGGGTTTTTTTGTTATGTACTGTTGTGATGTAAAGGCAGGTTGTAAGTGTGATCTTGCAGTAGAGGATTGTTTTAAATCTTGTTTAATTTGGTACTGCACAAATTTAAAACTATTCAAAACAGAGCATAATTCATACAGCCTGAATAATGTGTGGTATCGACAAACTGTAGTCTTACGAAGAATTTGAAATTTCTTCAAGAAATGACACCAGAATAACCGGAAAATCAGTGCTGACATGATGAGACTATCAAACTTATATTTGACTCTCGATACACTCGTCATTTATTGTGTGCCCTAAAATCACACAATCTTTGAACCTTTGTTGTGCAAAATTTTGGGAAAATGAAATCTTTCAAGACATTCCGACAACTAGGGCTGGGCGATATGGCATCAAATTAATATCACGATACAATGAGCAGTTCACCTCGATAATGATAAATGGACGATAACCACTCCACAAGCTGCTCGCCCCCTCCCACATTAACTTTGTCTACTTCACTCACCTGTTTTTCCCTCTTTGTTACGGACTGGACGGGGTGGGGTCACGTCACTGACATAAGACAGTGTCTTAAGGGACATAGCCATAGCCTACCTACACACATCCAAAACCAACTTTTACTTATTACTTTTTTGAAACAGAATATATTGACATGGGCAAAATGACATCGGTTATTGTTGTAAATTTCGGTATTGGTGAATTTTCGGTTTATTGCCCAGCCCTACCAACAACTGACATCCCCCTGATTTGTATAGCAGAATCTAAAGGACGAAACCTCAGACTTTCTGTTGAATGGACTACATGCATCGAACACTTTATCTGAGTGCTGAGTTTTTAATGCTTTTCTTTCAGGTTGTCGAGTGACCGATGAGATTTTGTACCTGGTGCCAAACAAAGAAAACTTCAGACTTACTCTGAGAGCCATTAAACTGTGGGCCAAACGTATGTTGACCTAATGTTACATTTTCATAACATCACTGTGAACTTTACCTTTTACATGTTGTAAACTGATTGTGTGTTTTAGAAGTGGCTGTGTCTGGTTTACAAATATGCACGTATCATGGCTGATGTTTGTGTGTCTGCAGGTCGGGGGATCTACTCCAACATGCTGGGTTTTCTTGGCGGCGTGTCGTGGGCAATGTTGGTGGCTCGTACCTGTCAGCTCTACCCCAACGCCGTCGCTGCTACACTCGTCCACAAGTTCTTCCTGGTCTTCTCCAAATGGTCGGGACTGATTTCATACTTGATTATATTATGCGTAATCTTTCCTGTATTTGACAGTGTTTCACAGAGTTATATTTGAATATTAAAACATTTTCTTACTTGTTTCATCATCTTCAAACAGGGAGTGGCCCAATCCTGTGTTATTGAAACAGCCTGAGGACAGTAACCTGAATCTACCCGTGTGGGACCCCAGAGTGAGTGTCAACCTTCTCAGTATGTAAATGTGCAGACTAGTAAAACTCTGATTTAACAGAGTGGACTTCCTGTTAGTGTTTAACTCTGGAGTGCAGGAACATTGATTCTGTCTCCGGGTAACACCTCTGTCCTCATGTGAACCACGTATTGATTTGTTTCTTATCTCTGCTGGGAGGAAGTTCACATAGCAACCTGGTGCCTGAAAGGACTACTCCATAGACATATTAGAAAAACACACACTCACTCACACTTGGCATATAAAAGTGCTGCATACTTTTGTGTAGGAGTCAATAGATAACGTTTTTTGAGGGGTGAAACCAATTATTTGTAGTTCATGAGACTGACACCAATATTTAGAACCAATATGCATTGACACTGAAAATGTAAATCTTCCTCTCAAAATTTTGAATGTAGACATGTCATCCACAAGACTCAATAGCCACATTTACATGTGCAAAATTTCTTGATCCGAGTAAAAAAATTGAGGAATCAAATAATCTGAATCCACTTATATCCATTTATATGGGTGCATAATCAAATAATCCGATTATGACATGCATCTACAGGCACCAAGTTTTATACAAATTGAAGTATTTGGACAGAGTTGACTGAATCTCACTAAAACAACTGCAGAACAAGAGTTGTAGCTGTAGCGGCTCACCTCATCCAATTCAGGAGTCCCCCCTTGTTAAATGTTGTCACTGGATGGCGCCCTTGCGTATATTTTACTGTTTTGTCAAAGGTGGTACTGTGCGTGCAGACGTGACATAATCACGCTGTATGTACACCTTGTTATGTTATCGGGGGAGCAGACACGGCACCTGTGGTTGTGTTTTATGACAGAGTGTTAATAATAAAACCTCCTGTACTGACCTAAATAAATAAAGCGAAGGCTAAAGAGTGAAGAAAGAGTGTCAGGTAAGGAAGTCAGGATCAGAATAAATGTTGACACGGATGTGTTTCGGAATTAACGATCGGCCTCAACCACCCCTCGATTGGAATCTTCCGATCGACATGTCTATGTGACGCATTTTTATTCTGATCGAGCATTTACTCTGATTATTTGTGCCCATGTAAACGCAGCTGATGACACTGGACATGATCTGATCTGAGGCTGTCCAGAACACAGACTCCCGTTTTTCTTTTTACAGTGTTCAGTGGTAGTGTGTTTATGTGTAAATGTGTTTAGGGGATATTGACAGAAAATGATATTTAACTGTCTTATGTGGAAGCAATACATGCACTAAAGTCAGCTGTGAATAGAATTGCAAACATGTTGAATCAGTAATTTTTTTTTTTATTTTTTTTTTGAAAATAAGAGAAAAGTTGAAGGAGTGCTCCTCAATCAGTTCATTGGTTGGTATTTAACAATGCAATAAGGACACAGTCCAGTTTTCACTTTCAAATTCCAGTCCACCTTTTTTTGTCTTTTTTTAAGGTTTGTTGAGCATGTGTTAGATTACAGAATGCCCATGAGGTTTATGTCTATTTAAACATGTACCCTTGATTCTCCCTGACCACTCTGTGTCTTTTTATAGGTAAACCCCTCTGACAGATACCATCTGATGCCCATCATCACACCTGCCTATCCCCAGCAGAACTCCACCTACAACGTCTCTACATCAACGCGTACCATCATGAGTGAGGAGTTCAAATACGGTAATGTAAACTTTGAAAATAAAAGAAAGCGTTTTGCTCTTTGACATAAATGCCTTTCTTTATTGCGATGTTATCACACTGATTTCAGAATCACAAACAGCAGCTACATTACTCTCTTCAAAGCCATCAAGCTCCATCCCCAAAAAACTCCCTTTACTTCACAGGACTGAGGAGAGGCAGGTCCACTGCTGCTGTGACCTGACCTGATCTTCTAGAGTTAAAGTTCTTCATTGTGTCCTGTTTTTTTTTTTTATCTGATGCCAGTCAAAACCCTGTGGTTGGATCTGAGTCCAAAGCCACACAATAAGAAGAACAAACCAATTGGCCCAAGCAGCAGTAGACTTGCAATTTCTGTGTTCCCGTCAGTGTTGTTTGGGGAAAATAAGCATCTTCCATTTAAACAAAAAAAAGCACAGCTCTACTTTCCTATAAGTTTTCAAACACTCTAATATAACCTGAGCCTGTTGGTGACAAAAAAGAGATTTTGAGAGATGTACTTTGATTGATTAAGGATTTTCATCTCGATATTACGACCTGTTTTACTGCAGCAGGCTAAAACAGCTGACTGGAGAAATAGTGAACTTTTTCTTCTTACTGGTCATTTAAACTCTTACCTTAATCCAAGATTCCCGTCCACAGTTAACTTTTCTAATGTGCGTTTGTGTCTCTCTCTGCCTCCATCAGGCCTCAGCGTCACAGATGAAATTCTTCAGGGAAAAGCAGAATGGCCGAAACTTTTTGAACCTCCAAACTTTTTCCAAAAGTACAAGTAAGTATTTGAATCACGTTGAAGGAAAATGCTGCATATTTCACGTTTTCTATTTCATGTCTTTAACATGTGTTTATGTATTTTGTTAGGATTGATGCATGTATTCCAAACTCTGAGAACATAGTGGGTTTGGTGGAGCAGTTTGTGTGATGTTGTTTTTGAGCAGCTGAAAGTGTATGTGGGTGATATTGTCCCTCACACTCTGTTGTAAATGAGGTGACTCGTTTTGTTTTGTAAACTTCCTCACATAACTTTGTTTCTGTGTTTGTGCTGCAGGCATTACATCGTCCTGACTGCCAGTGCGTCTACAGAAGAAAACCACTTAGAATGGTGAGAGTTAAGAAGCAGCCTATCTTGGTGTTTTTATGTCGCAGTGTGATTTTCTTTCTCTCTGTGGTGTGAATTTGAATTAATGAGTGCCCATATTTAAATGAACACAGTGTTACACATGGAGATGCATTGCAGTCTTAATAGCGAGTGTGACTGGCCTCCTGTCTTGTTTATTTCAGGATCGGTCTGGTGGAGTCAAAGATCAGAGTTCTGGTGGGAAATCTGGAGAGAAACGAGTACATCACTCTAGCACACGTCAACCCTCAGTCCTTCCCAGGGTCCAAAGAGAATCGCAACGAGTGAGTCCAGTTTATCCTCACACGAGTTCGCTCAGTCGGACGCTTTCTGTGGTCGCTCAGACAATTCTGGTTTTAACACAAAGGCATAGAGAGTATTTTATACGAGTCCAACCAATTTTGTTTTTTATTTCTATATTCATACTCACTTAAAATCTATTCAATAATAAAAAATAAAAACATCTGTTTCTGCAAAGACGTTGAACTGAGAAGAATGTGAAACAACTGAGAGGGCTGTAAACGGTGAAGTCAGCGCTCCATCTACAAACTTTATGACGCCATTTCAAAGTCATTAAATAGCTTTTTTCTGTTGAATAAGAACCACAATATTTTGTCCATTTACATTCATCCTGTTTATAAATACATAATCATGACAACTGCTGTCTTCTCTGTTGTGCCACAGGAACGAGTTCGTGTCCATGTGGTTCATCGGGATCAGCTTCAAGAAGGTGGAGAACGCAGAGAGTGTCAACATCGACCTGACCTATGACATCCAGTCCTTCACAGACACAGGTCTGTCCCCTCACATCAAACCCTGCTGGGTAGACAGGCTGAGCAAAGAGGCCTCGACACTGAACATTAGATGACCAACTTTACCACACTGCATGAGTATGAAATGAGTGGGGAAAAAGCTGATGAAAACCCCTAATCAATAAAAAAGAAAAAGTTTGAAAAGGTTCTGTAAAGAGAAAGTTTAGACCAACACTGATCTAATAAAATCAAACTTTTTCACTTTGCTGTAATCCAGTTCAGTCATGATTTTGAATGCGTTTTAAGCTCTTGTGTGAGTGGGATTTCTCAGTAAAGAACTACACAGCAAAAATGACAAATAGGCAAAAAAATAAGGCAACAAAGCTGATAATGTACAGATCAGACAAATGTATTAGTTGCAGAGTCATGTTTTCATTTAAGACAGAGGACTGAATGGATCAAAGTATGAGTGTCTTCATCTAATACTATAACAACATTAACATGTAAAAGCATATACAGCTGAAACACATGAGCCTCAGTTCACTTTTTTAACGTCTTCAAAATAAGGGTCAAAAGAGACATCTGAAGGACAAAGTGTCACTCTCAGTTATTAAAAATATGAAAACAGGACTGTGATTGCAGCTTTTGTGACTTTGTTACACGTAGATATGTGTTTGTATCCATGCCTGAAGGATGTTTCTCTATACAGTGTACAGGCAGGCCAACAACATCAACATGCTGAAGGAAGGGATGAAGATCGAAGCTACACACGTGAAGAAGAAGCAGCTTCATCAGTACCTTCCTCCTGAGCTGGTGCAAAAGAAGAAGAGGGTAAGAAGAGATCTCTCACTGAAGCCTTCTTCACATTTTAGCTGGTGGTGCTTTCTTCTTGTTTTGACATGCTGATTTCTTTTTCACAGAGCATAGCAGAGTTGAACCGCAGCTCTAACGGGGGCAGCTCCAAGCGGATCTCTCTGGATAGTTCTCACTTGGACAGCTCCAGGGACACAGACTCAGGGACCCCCTTCAGCTCCCCCGCTGGCAAACCCCTCAAACCTACATCCGACACAGAGGACAGGTACCAAATACCCGTCTGTACTTCTACATCAACATCACTGTTAAATGTTTTTAAAATACTTACCCTGATTGTCTTTGCCTCAAAGTTTTGCTTTACAATGACCTTATAAATCCACAAATTCCTCTAATCCACGTGTTTTTTTTTTTTTTAGTGTCAGCCCACCCAAGCAAGTTTTTGTGGAGGGTTCCCCTGCACCCACCGCAGCACCAGCCCCTACTCCAGTTGCTGCTCCACCTTCTGCTCCAGTTGGGGCATCAAGTCCAGCATCAGGTCCAAGTCCTTCACCAGCTGCTGCTGCTGCCTCAACAGGTCCAGCCACATCTCCATCTGCTCAGGACGAGGGCATGTCCATCCCTGTCACCGGCTCAAGTGAGTCATTTTTCCAGCGACTGTTGCCGACAAATGATCCATTCAGTATGGCAGATTAGACACACGTCATCCAGCAACCATCTACAGAGGCAACAGAAAACAGATATCACATGTAGAAAACAGGAGAGTGTAAACCTCGACTGTTCTGTTGGAGTCCCACAGGGCTCTTGTCTCAGGCCGGTTTTATTTACAGTATGAATTGACTCAGCTGATTTGATCAATATCCAACTACATGCAGTGGATACAGTAATTTGCAGATACTAAAACAGAAGGTGCTCTTTTAAATTCTCAAATGCACAGTCACCCATGTCCAGGAACTACTTTTCAAACTCTTACCTCCTACTAAATGTTAAAAATGGTTTGTCTATATTTGTGAAAAGAACCAGTTTAATACAACATGGTTTACTTTGCCAATGTGTTATTATCTTGGGTTCGTTTTGAAGTTTAAATTCGACTTTCACGGTCCAGAGAAAAGTCCTGAGTCTGTGTTTGACAACTAAAAAAAAAACTTTAAGTCATTTTTATTCAAATTTAATATTTTTCTTATTGATTAAGAATTGATTTACTAACTGGCATTTTCAGGAGTTAGGACACCTGTGAAGGACTAATTTAAAGAGGATCAATAGGGTCATTCGCAGAGGGTTGCCACTAGAGGGGAGCTGTGAGCTGCCTCAAAGTCGGCAAAGAGGAGTAAAATTTTAAGAAAAGGAATAAACCGCAAGTGGATAGTGGTAAACAGAGATTCTAATTTCTGATCACCAAACATTACACAAACAGATTTTAGAGAATAAATCAACATTTTTTTATTTGTGGTTCTGTTACCCACCTGCCAAGAGCATGTACTTATTTATCTGTGTTTATATGTGATGTCTCTCTCATACACGTTAGAAAGCATACATGTATTTAAAAAAAGGTTGAACTACCTTTTTTCTAATATTGTCCTTTTTGTCTTTGTAGAATCCTCAGCGAAAGCCAAGCCCCCCTCCCCGCCATCCAGCAGCTCCATCAGCTCTGTACTGAGCGGAGATGTGAAGCCCAGCGCAGCCAGCAGCCCCCGAGAAGAACCCAACGGCCTGGAAGACTCGCTCAACGGAGCCGCAGCTAAAAGACCTCATTCCCCCACAGAGGAGGACACTGCCAAGAGGCTTCGAGACCTAGAGGCAAGAACAGTATGAATGTAAACAGAATATTTGTATCAGGTTTGATGTTATTGAACTGTGTAATGACACTGGTCTGTGTGTTGCAGGTGGTGACCAGTAACGACTGTACATTTAAAGAGCCGTTTCCTCCTTCAGACAGCCAGACACAAGGAGATGGACCCAATATAGTAGGAGTTATTTTCTTTGTTTCTCACTTTGGATACTCACATTAAACATTACTAATATGTAGTGTGTCTCCTTTCACCATCAGACCCCTATTTCTGGATCAAAGGCTAAACCCATTCCAACGATTGATACCTCAAGAACACAGGTAACCTCCTCAGCTCTGTCAGGGTCTGATCTTTAGTTTTTGATGGATTCAAACAGGATCACGTAACACAAAGACGTCATAGCCATAGATTTCTGCAGTTATTCTGCAATAGAAAGTTAAGATATCCATTTCCACATCGCATCATCAATTAATGTATGAAGCCATTAACTGAGGTGGAAAGGGTAGTAAGTGCTAGTTGTCACTTTCATCTGAGCTCATCTGAGATGACTGTTAGTATCATCGTTTTAGGTATTACTGTAGTTAGCCAAATCTTCCAGAACTTTTAGGCTGTAGAGATTTTAAGGAGATGTGGCACTTTTAAAAAAAGGTCAAAAAATTAATATCATGAAATGTAGTGTATGCTTGAGAGAGCTCATTTCTATTTCATAGTTCGCAAAGCAATGAGCATGTATTTCTTTTCTCTCTGTGTGGGGTTTTCATTTGGCTGATTGCACATGTTTCTGTGTTTGTGTTTCAGAGACTTCCCAGCATGGAGCTGCCTGATGCCTCCTCTCCTCTCCCGGCCAGTAACAGCTGTCGAGTGGTGAAGAACTCCATCAAACTGGCTCTGAACCGCCACAGGTGAGCATCTGTCCTAACACACACACACACACATCAACGTGTGTGTTACTTCTTGACATAGTTATAAAAGATTTTAAAATGATAAAACTATCTGCTGTCTGTTAAATTCAGCATCACACCTCCCAAACCCCCGGTATTTGAGGGGACCGTCCCTACGGACACCCAACCTGCAGGAGAAGAGAAGGGAATGTCCATTCCTGTCATCGGCTCCAGTAAGTATTTGTCCTCACACTGAGTTGTGCACCATTTCTCAAAGTCAACCAGGTGTTCATCTGTGACATCTGTTGTCACGTAAGGGTTTAAAAAAGGCCAAATGACCTTCTTTCTTGACTTTACCTCACACACACCTGCAGTACCTCGCTCTCTCTCTATTGTTAGCCACTCATTTTTCAATATTTTTGTTCATAGATTTTTTCTTTCTCCCCCCCTTCTGTAGAACATGTTACATCCAAACATGCAGCGCCCCCTGTTGGTAGCTCAATCCCCACGCTAGTGAGCCGAGGCGCCGACCCCCTAAACGGAGCAGCTTCCAAGAGACCCCACTCCCCTTCCCTGGAGGAGCAGGCCAAGAGGCTGAAGGAGACCGAGAAGGCCAGAATCCACATAGCCTGAACAGAGAACTTAGACTGGATTTATACAGACTTGCTCTAGAGAGAGGGGGCGGGCTTTGCAGACACAGAGGATATGTCCTTCCACAGAGGCAGGAAGAGTGTCCGTGTCTCCTCGGTCAGCTCTGTTAAGCACTCTTAGCACGTTTAGCTCCTAACAGGACCTTTAACAGCGAGGGGAAGGTGTCTTCTCTCAGTGTTTAAACGTACAGACGGAGATGTTTTTTGGTTCAGTTTCATTTTTTTTTCTTTTTTCCGGTGAACACGTTTTAAACAGGACATTGTCAACGGTTTGTGCACACCCTTGTGCTGAACGCAGACCTTGTTTCACCTGAACACAAACCTGTACAGTAAATGTTGATGTACATAACTTTTGTCTTAAAAAAAGAAGCAAAAGATCACCGTTGAGTCTTTTGAACATTTATTGTAGTTTTATCTAAAAAGAAAAAAAAGTTTAAAAAATTGTAATATTTTGTTTTTCTCTATCGCTTGTCCAAAAAGAAAAAAAAAGGCTCATCCCTGGATCTTTTTGTAAACACTGTAAAGGTTTGATGTAGTTTCAGGAGGATTAATATCAGAGATCATGAGGACCCACCGAGGACTGCAGAGTGAGGAGACGGAGGAGGAGGAGGAGGCGGCACCTGGAGACTCCGTACCTGCCCAGGTGAATCAGCTACAACACCAGAAAACATGATGGAGAGGGTGTGAGGCTCCTCAGTTACTGTTCTGGGTTCAACAGGTCATCAGAATCATATTCGATCAATAATCCTGTTCAGATTCAGCGTCTCACCTGCTGTTAGATTGGAAGTTCAGGTTAATGGTTTCTGCTTCCTGTTCAGGTGTGTTTAATATCAGGTGAGAGTCGGAGGTTGTGGTGATCTGAGAGTCAAACCCACCCTGCCTAACCCCCTGTAGTTCACCATGAGGCCTGTCCCAGATGCAGCAGGTTGTGGATGTGTTGCGTTGCTGTGGGAGTAAACGGATGGAGGCTTTTTGACAGTGTGTGTGCATAGAAGCTGCAACATTCATTGTTTGAAAACAGAGTTTATCGCCAAATATTTTTATAATCTTTTCATTTGAAAGCAAAAAAAAAAAAAAGTCCAACGTTTTCAGATTGTGGCTACTCAAATGTGGAGATTTCAGATTTTTGCCAGTTTTGTATCTGGATTTGAAGTAAGTTTGACAAAGAAGAAGAAATCTGGAGATGTCACTTTGACACAACCCTACGACCTGAAATAGACGGCGCAATCCTTGAAAAAAAAGCAGGTTAATTAAAAGAAAAGAGACCAGTTGCAGCGCTGGTATGTGTGTGTGCGCGTTGTTAGTGGTGTGTGTGGTCTGTGTGTGTGCATGGCTGGTTGTGTTTAAGTGGATGGACTGAATTCCCTGTGTTCTGGGTGTCGACCCTCTGCGCCTCCTGTGGAGGTTCTTAAACAGCGTGAGGGAGGGCTCAAAGGTTGGGTTGGGGTAGGGGGTTAGACTTGTTCAAACTCCATGTTTCTGAAGCCAATGTTTGATTATTGATGTTCTAACGTGATGCTGATGCTCTGCCCTCCTCTTCAGGTTTAGAGACTAAATGTACAGTGAAGAGTTTTTTTCAGAGACATATTCTTCATTATTACCGGGGTTTTCTTATCACTTTATTTATATTTGCATATTTGTACCATGTGATCTTTTTTTAATAGCATCATAGCAGGTAGGTCTCTTTGAATGAACTCTTCATCACTCTGTTTCTGACAGCTCATTTAAACAGACGGGCCATGTAGATGTTTGTTTCTAAACTGTATTCAAAGGGTATTTTTCTATGTGTTTATCACTTCCTTTAAATGAGTCTGTACACCATTAAACCCCAAAAACTATCTGCTGCTGTCTGTCTGTTTTGTTTGTTAAACTCCGCAGATTTACGCAGATGTGATGTGTGACGGTGGGGCCCTTTATTCAAGGGCTTCCTGTAAAAGGTCATGACCACATGAGTAAATATTTATTTGATTTCTGGTCTTTTGATATCATATCTCACACTTTGTTTCAACTGAAATTTATACTTACGACTGAAGAAGATTTGGAACAAAAAGTCTGAACTACTAGTTTGTAAAGTTAAGTGTTAATAACCACTGGAGTGTGATGTTGAGTTTTGTGAAACTGGGTCTGGGGGTACTAACAGGGTTTTAATTTAACCCATATTCTTCAAGAGAAGGACAGAAGGAGTCCAGCTCAGGGCTGTTTTTAGTTGGGTAGGAAACCTGCAGACCCTGACTGCTAGATAACGCTTCTGTGAGGATCTAATGGGTTTGTATCACTTATAGTGCCCACTGTGGACAAAGAAGTCTGCTTATCCTATCTACACATCTCTTCCTGCTGACTTGTAACAGTGTCATTTATTGTGATTATCTGACGCAAACAATGTAAAAACAGGGCTGTCTTCAGCCTCTCACCAACCCCCTCACTCTGGTTTCAGGCAGTAAAAATCACTATGGAAAAATTGCTGATGGTGTTTTGATATAACCTAAAAAGGTTCAATAAGACTCAGTCTGAACATTCACACATCAAAAAACTCACAAAGCTTCAGATTAAGTTAATAATCTTAATATTCACAGTGAGGATGAGGAAATCTTTCTCGTGACACTTTAAACTGATAAATAGAACGACCAAAACACCTGATGGAGGTCTTCTGCCCTAAAACTTTTAAAGGGCACTGGCATTTCATTAGGTAGGCTATAGTTTCTGTCACAGGACAGCCCCCTCACCACAACCTGGTGGTTTGGTTTGGTTAGGTTGAGGTCTCTCATGCAGCTGTGTGTACCTCATCTTTTTTCTTCCTCTGTTCTTTCTTTCCCAGTGAGTTGTCAACAATTACCTCCAATAATCTTGAGGTTTTTTTTTTAATCTTTAAACAAAATAAAAGTAATATTAAAAAAAAGATCCTCTATGCTGTTCATTGATTCAGAGTAGAGGAGAGTGGGGTAAGATGAGCCATTTTTCATATTTGAGATCACTACATCAAGGCAATCATAGTTTTGTCTCTAACTAGTGTATCTGCATATATTTCAAGATTTTGTGCATCCCTGCAAACCAACAGAATGAGTGTAAACAGAACTGTCTTTATAATAAAGCATGCCAAAAATAGGGGTCTCCTATGGTCAACTTATCCCGTGTATGGGGTAAGTGAAAACAACAGTCTAAAAAACAGTCACAACGTCACATTCACGTGTATTTTTACCTATCATACGCCATTCAACTGGTACAATTATTCTTTTCATTATCATTGCATAAACTGCTAAAAAGCCGTTTTGTAAAAAGTCATTTTAACATGAGAATGTCTTTAAGTGATTCAGAACATTCACAGCTGTATTTTTTAAAAGAAAAAGTAACACATTTCAACAATCTGAACTGAAACTCTGATCCTCTCATCAGACTCCTTTACTTTCTTAGTTGAACCACTGGCTCAACTTACCCCAGAACTACTATTATGACTTTATTAGTCCTCTAAGCTAAAATGGTGGACTTTTATGCTAGGTTTTTGACCTCATGTTGTAGCTCATAGATACCACAATTGATGTATAAAACTAATTAAAAATGATCTTTTTGGGTCTGAACACAATTCTAATAAAACTTACGACAGACTAAATTCACTTTCTAGAGTGAAAAAATGTTTTTTTGGAAATTAATGTCTAACCCCTTCACCCATGTGCTTTTAACCTTCACAGACCCATGAATTGATGCCCATCTCCTAAATATTTGGTCACATGATCAATTTCTTTTACCATTTCCAAGCAACAGGGGGTGGCTCAACTTGCCCCACTCTCCCCTATCCCTTTCCCCAGTTCTGCCCCATGAAAAGTTATTATGGAGCATCAGAGGTGGTAAAAGAGCCGAAAACTCCCTCCTTAATGCTTTGTGCACAACCAGATGGCTGTCATTCACCTCCTTTCTGTAATTCCTCTGTTTCTTCAAGTATCGTTTTGTCCAGCAGGGGCGGGCCCTCGATGAGTCAGGTTGCCTCTCATTGGTCAGTTTGGAAAAAGGGGGCGGGTACCGAGGGGAATTCCCCCCTGACAGCGCTCTCCAACAAAAATCGCAGTTTCTTTGCTGTCAGTCATTCAGCTCAAGCCCCTGCAGAGACACACACATAGACATAGCGACACATTAAAAAGAAGACAGACGGCATCATGGACGGTGAGTAGAAGAGCTTTCGTTTATTTACAACAAAAATACATAGAAACAATCATGTTCAGAATCAGTGCAGTTTGCCTGTGTGTTTAATGTATGTACAGCAACATATTTAGTTGGCCTTGTATTTGAGACTCAGTATAGCAGCACAGACACTTCCTCCTCCTCCTTCTTCTGTACGATGTACTGATTGACAGTCTGAGCAGAAATGAGCCATTTACAAACACTAACACACTCTTCAATAGCAAGATTCATAAAGTGTAATATTCTGTCCACAGTCCTGCTGCCCTCCATGCTCGAGGATCCAAACCTCCGTGAGTACAACTCAAACCTCTCCTGACACTCTCAGCTGCCTGTCTACACAAGTCAAGTAGTCAGTGAATGTATCGCAGACTCTCCACTTCCTCTTTTAGTTCTGAAGCTGAGCAGACCTGTCCTGTGTGAACCAAAGCTGCTTTAGTTTTTATCCGTAGTTTATGGTGCGTGTGTGTGTGTGTGTGTGTGTGTGTGTGATAGAGAGATAATAGATAGATAGAAAGAGATGTGTTTTATGTGTGTGAATGTACCACATCCCTGTTTCTCTGGTTCACAATCCATCTAAAAAAACATGTAAGAAATGTGACAAGACTTGTTTGATCTGCGACAAGTGTGTGTGTGCGTACGTGTGTGTATGTGTGTGTGAGGTGTGTGTGTGTTTAGTTTTAGTTCCTCTCTCACAGGCTTATGTCGAGCAGCTTCAAATCAGAGCAGGCTGACTCTCCCTCTTGTTTGATCCTCTGTTTGAGCTCTGATTTAAAGGCTCGTTCATGCTCAGGTCTTCATATAATACATAAACTATGTCAGACACTGCGGTCTCACAGACCACTCGATTTTCAGCTGATAATACAACTGTACCCTGAGAGCCCTTGTCTTATATCTGCTCTTAGACCTATCTCAAATGCAACAGTGAAAATGAGATGCAGAAGTAAAACAGGAAGTCTAACTGAACTTATAATTACAGACAAAAAAGGAGAAATAGATAAAAATGGTGAAGCAAGTGTTCATCAGTTTCCTGTTCCCTCAGAGGAATCAGTGTTTTTACTTTTGCATGAACACAAAATCACAGAGATCAGGAAGCTTACAGAGACTTTTCCTTCAGTCATCTTAATTAAGCTGTCAGATTTTCCTGTAGCAGATGCTTTTTATTCACAATATCTTCTTACATTTTGTGAAGGACACTGCAAAAACTCAAACAAAGCGCTTTCGTCTTATTTTAAGTTTCATTAGACTATTCAATCCACTTTCTCCTGACAGGTAAACATTGGGTTTTGAGATATTAAAAGCCCAAAATAAGACCTGAATTACTTTTCTTTATGTATATCTGCTAATGGTATATATACTACAATATGCTCCAATTTAGAAATCAAACATCCAGACAACCTTTGACCCCCAGTGATACTGTGAACCTAAGGACTGTAGACTGAATCTTGTTTACTTGAGCTAAACATAATGACCTAGACATATCCTATGGTTTTTGTCTTTTTAAATTTAAATTGAATTTAAAACATAATCTCAGGTTCGGTGTTGTAGTTTGTTGTAAAATTTTCCCCTCGTAGTCCTGACTGGTAAAAGCAGCTTTGGTTATTTCTTTTTGGTGAACTCCACTATCTGGTAAAAATCTGTAAATTCCTGCCCAGACATCTGAAACAAGAAGCTGATTCTTTATTGTCCAACCCTACTGTCCTCTGCTATCATGATACCTTCACTGTCCATCCTTCCATCTCCTTTTCACCAATGATGCCTTCACTGTTAGTCTGAAATATCCGCTTTGTTTATCCTGATGTCTTTACTGCCTGTCTGCTTGAACTCACCACTATCAGATGCCTTTAATGTAGGTCACTTTCCCATCTAGTCTGAGGATGCTTTCACTGTCTATCTAGGCGTCCTCTGTGTTCTTATGTTGCCTTTAAAAGAACACTATGCTACTGATGCCTTCACTGTGTGCCTCAAACTTCTATGCTCTTGTGCGGCCTTGGCGGCCTTTCCCGCCAGTATCTGTCGACAGGATGCTGTCACTGTCAGTTAGTTGTCCTCTATACTCTCCTGATGCCTTCAATGTCTCCCTGTCTTCTGCAGTGGCTGAGCCATCAGTGCAGGTCTTTGAGCAGCCGAAGCAGAGAGGCATGCGTTTTAGGTACAAGTGTGAGGGCCGCTCAGCTGGAAGCATCCCCGGCGAGAAGAGCAGTGACAACAGCCGGACCTACCCAAGTGTGCAGGTTAGACTCTTTTACCTCTAAACAGACACAAACGTGTCCTTTACTAAAAGCAAGATTCAGGTTCATGACCATGTTGCTTGAAAAAAAAAAAAAAAATCTGCAGGTGTGTTTACACAATAGGAACATTTACAACTGTTTTAGACATGGACAGAAACATTGAATTAAATACATATTCATGTTTACACAATCTGAAAGGAATATTTGTGTTGTGTACATGCACTAGCTTCATGCGTCATTATTGGTTTTGTAGAATTCTCTCTTGTAGTTTCACTGTAACAAACAAACTACTGTCTAATTAGTCAGGATTTATTCTGTGCATTGTTATGATTAGTCTATTATTAGAGCTACAGTCACAGTAAAGGTCCATTCTTCATAGCAACCGTCTGCTATGCACAAATAGCAGGCTGTTGCTATGGAATATTGACCAATCAGAACCAAGTATTAAGCACAGCTGTGCAATGACACATGATATACTGTATATGTGTTATGGTTGTTTAACCTACATGTGTATGTCTTGAAATACAAGTTTTAAGCTGTATGTGTCACTGCATTCATGGCCTTCACACACTCCTCAACCGTCTTAGATCTTGAACTACAGCGGGAAAGGGAAGGTGCGAGTCTATCTGGTGACAAAGAATGAGCCGTACCGCCCTCATCCTCATGACCTAGTTGGAAAAGACTGCAGGGATGGGTTCTATGAGGCAGAATTTGGACCTGACCGCCGAGTCATCCCGTGAGTATGATCAAACAACAGGAATTACAGTGCAACAACATTAACAAGAACAAAGCAACACTGTACCAAAAAACACATTAAAAAAATACATCGACTACAAAAAAAAAAAACCCATCAGACTCTAAAGACACAACAGCAACAATAACAACAAAACAACTAAAACTGAAACAACTACATAGTAATAAGAGGATCTACAACAGAATCATAACACTGACCAAGAGTAAACACAACACAACACATAGCACATCAACTACAGATATGACAACAACACAGAAAATATCAGTATGACTGGAACAACACAAGATCCAATATTAATGAATAAAATCAATAACAACAATACAGCAGACCAGTGAGTGTTACAGTCAGTTACAAGCAGCATCAACATGCACACAGACACACACACACACACACAAACACAGCATATTTGTTGGATCATGTCTGTGATGAAGATGGTATTATGGGAATTCCCCGAGTGACATAACTGAAGTGTGTGTTTGTGTGTGTGTGTGTGTATTTGCATGTATGTGTGTGTGTGAGTCAGTATCCCTGTGTATAATTATAAATCCTGGGCTGTTGTGCTGTAAATTCAGATTAATTAGACGTTCAGCTCGTCCCTCACTGAGCTAAATATCTCCAGACTTGATCTGTATGTGCATACTGGTGTGTTTGGTTAATCACAGTCTAACAGTCCTGCTGTCTTTGTCATCTTTAGTTTTCAGAACCTGGGGATCCAGTGTGTGAGGAGGAGGGAGGTGAAAGACGCCATCATACAGAGGATGATGAAGAAGATCAACCCCTTCAATGGTGAGTCTTCCTATGTGGTTGTTTCTGTTGTACACGTGCGCACTGACCAAGTGCATGAACAACCGTTACTCTTAAATCTGTTGATTTAGGACAAACCCACAAACAGGGGGAATGAGTTCAGTTTTTACCGTTCAGTTAAACCTCAGATGATTCCAGAGAACAGCCCTGCATGCTGGTTTTGACCCAGTTCTCAGCAGTCTGAGCTGATATCTAGTCAGAGGTTTTCTCTCTGATCTTTGGTTTGCACCACAAACTCTGTGTGTGTGTGTGTGATGAAGCAGTTTCCTGAGTGTACTTTTCCTCTCTGTGCTGGGTTGTAGACAGACTTCATCCTCGTGTACAAACAGGCGCTCAGATACTTCCTCATTCCTGGTTTACAGTTGCTCAATTGAGCAGAGAGCAGGAGGCCACGTGAGAGCTGGGAATGTAGGATTCATTGACGAGGAGGGGGGTGAGGGGGTTCCCCAGCGCTCACAGAGGATGATAACAGCTTTATAGAAGCATAAAAACTAGACTTGAAGCTTCATAGTCTTCCGTGGTTGCTATTTTAGGAAACAAAGTACTCTAGTGGGCTGACACTAACTCAACATCACCTTAAACTTCACTGTACAACATTTTTCATTGTTTTAGACAAAACTTTGACCCCATTTTGTGTGTATTTGCAAAATTTTACATTGGTTTCAGCGTTTAGATTCAGAAAAAGATGCCAACAGCCAGCACTGGACACACTAACACTGTACATAAAGAAATTAAGTAGAACAATTGCAGTTCCTAAAGTGGCCACTTGAGGCTGTCCCCCAAAGTGAGTCAGTCTCCATAGAACCCCATGTTAAAATGTCCAACTTTACAGCAGATTTCAATCTGTTTGCAGCCTGTGACAGAAATGGTTTTGGTGTCTATAAATCAATCTTTACTTCATACACACTGTGATTGGGGTTAATTTTTTAGAAAAGTAACCTTTCTAAAACATGCGAGGGTTGAAGTTATGCATGATTTGGGTTGTGGCCTCTTTGGGAAACAGGTGATAGGTGCTTGCTGTCGACCAGAAATTTCCAGTTTTGTCTCGCTTGTCCTGCTGAGCCATTCTTTGACCTTTGTGTTTTTATTGGAGGGTATTTATTTGCTAAAGACTTCAGATGTTGCATTCTTGTGATATTATAGTGATGTCATGGTGGTAGTGTTGAATGAAGGGTGACTACTGCTCTGTGTGAATACCTCAACATCAGCAGACATATACTGCTGTAAAACCACACAGCTGAATCAATGTATAATGTAGAACTTATAATTTCCCATAATGCATGGCTCAACTATGTGTTGCATAACTGGTCAGGTTGCAGGTCACAACCACAGACACAGGTGCATTTGCTGTGTTATGGGCAGTCAAGTGTCCCTGTCCTCTATCTGCTGCACACTTCTGCTATGAAACTCAGCTGCTTCCTGTGCCCTGCTGTTCCCCAACACACACACACACACACACACACACACACACACACACACACACACACACACACACACACACACACGAACACCACCCACAACACCAAACACCCCCTTCAGTTCCCGCCATAATCACCACACAGCTGTATTACACCGGCAGCACACAAATGCTGCTCTCTAACCTCCAGTAGTCCCTTACACGTGAGTGTTTGGCCATGAAATAAAACAGAGAAAGCCCTAATGAGGTCACCCACCTGTCCTTTATGAGATCACCGTGTTAGTGTTTGCTCATCATCAAGGCCCCTTGCACCCATAGTAGATCTGTATACTGTGCATAGGTATAAATAACACTGTATGTCACAGTAAGCACAGTTCAGTCAGTTACTGCTGCAATCTCTAACATGTTTAGTGCTGCACAAGGTTCAATTGTTTTTAAGTGAAAGAACATTTCATATGCTAATAACTGATTTAGCATAAAAAGCATAACATATATGAATATGAAGATTTGGGCACATTTAAAATGGCAAAATCACAGAAATAAATCAAAATCTTGTACAAAACACTCTTTATTTGGCAGAATACCGCGTCTCATGATGTATGCGTCCTGTGTTTTGTGTAGTAGTGCTGCTGGCTGTCAAACTGTGAGTCACAGAACGGGGATGCTGTTTGTGGTAAACCCGGCACCTTCCTCCTCCTCCTCCTCCTCATCGTTCTCGCTCTCATACTTTGCTCACACGTTCACACCACACACTGACGTCATCCTGATCTCGCCCCTACCACCACAGACAGAAAGAGACCCTCTGCAGTCAGATCGCAATCAAACAGACACGTGCATCGTGACTAGATTACACTTAAGCATGGAGGAGATGCAGGAGTTTGATGTCATTCAAAGAAGCTGATTCTTGTTGTTCAGACACTCAAGATAAATGTGCTGTGTGCATGTGTGAACCTGTTTTTCAAGATTTTTGTCATATTGTTTGGACGTACTTCAGTATAAGATTATTTAGATGCAATTTTGACTTGGAGGAACTGAATGATCTTTACCCTGTCCACTCAGCCAATCACATTACAGCAACTCAATGCATTTAGGCATGTAGACATGATCAACATAACCCGCTGAAGCTCAAATTGAGCATCAGAATGGGGTAGAAATGGGATTTAAATGACTTTGAACATGGTATGGTTGTTGGTGTCAGACGGGCTGGTCTGAGTACTTCAGAAACTGTCAATCGACTGGGATTTCAGACACAAGCATCTCTGGGATTTACAAAGAATTGTCTGAAAAAGAGAAAGTATCCAGAGTGGACAACTGTGTTTACAAAAAAGGCTTTGTTGATGTTAGAGGTTAGAAGAGAATGGGCAGTAAGGTTTGAGATAATACCATCTCTGAACACACAATACATCCAACCGTGAAGCAGATGGGCTACAGCAGCCGAAGACCACACCCGGTGCCTTTCCTGTCAGCTAACAACAAGAAACTGAGGCTACAATTTGACCAGACTCACCAAATCTGGACAAAAGAAGATTTCAGTTGAGACATTCAAATGATGGGTCAGAGTTTGGTGTAAACAACATGATAGCTTGAATCCATCCTGCCTTGTATGGCTGGTGCTGGTGGTGTAATGGTGTTGGGGATATTTCCTAAACTCCAACTGAGCATCATTTAAACGCCACAGCCTACCTGGTTATTGTTTCGATCCATGTCCATCCCTTTAGGACCACAGTGTACCATCTTCTGATGGCAACTTCCAGCAGGATAATGCACCAAGTCACAAAGCTCAAATCATCTCAAACTGGTTTCTTGTACATGACAATGAGTTCACTGTACTTCAGTAGCCTCAATCACAAGATCTCAATCAACTAGAGCCCCTTTGAGATGTGATAGAACAGGACATTCACATCATGGATGTACAGCTGACAAATCTGCAGAACCTATGTGATGCTGGTCCATGTAGATTCTCATTCATCCAGGTCATGGTTATCTTGAAGACTCCAAAAACAGGCAACTGGACTGTATAGAGTTGAGTTCAGTTGCCTGTTTTTGGAGTCTTCAAGATAACTATGTGCAATGTCATTTAAATATGGAGAAAAATATCTGAGGAAGGTCTCCAACACCTTGTTGAAAGTATGCCATGAAGAATTATGGCAGTTCTGAAGGGAAAGGGGGGTACAACCTGGGACTAGCAAGGTGTACCTTACATAGTGGCCAGTGAATATATAGTTTTAAAGGTGACACTCTTGATATGTTTTTGAGCTAATTAGTAGTCGCTTAGCATATAGATATAGAATCAGGGCACCAGCAGCCTCTGTGGAAGAGTAACAGGTTAAAAAAAAAGAAAGATTTAAGGTTTTACCTGTGAGTTTAAGATGAGCTACAATACAAGGGTTTTTCAACTTTTATGCTAGCCTAAGATGAACATTGATCATACTGCTGAACATTTATTTAATTTATAAGAGAAGAACTGAACCTTTGTTCTGACTCCTATAGAAAAAGAAAATAATCCAGAAATATCCCAGTGTAATATTTCAAGTTCTAACCTGCATTTACTGTCAGTGGACTGTTTCTGTAATCCTACAGATCAGACAGACCATAAAATGTGAGACTGGACCAGACATACTTTATAGGATATTTCTTATTGTTTCAGTGTTTATGACAGTGTGAAGTTTCATGTCTGAATTCCTCAGTGTGTGTAGGAAAACAGGGAAAGAGGGCAGGCAGAAACCTCCCATGTTGAAAAATACTGAAGCTAATGAGAAGCGAAAAAACTGCGGTCCCTAAAGTGTCCTCTTGAGGTTGGCAAGGAACCCCTCAAACTGTACTGAGGGTAATTTTTTAACACACATTTTGATTTATATGTAGACCTGATGCATAAAATGGGGTTTATTAAGGGGGACTGACAGCCAATCACATTACAGCAACTCAATGCATTTAGGCATGTAGACATGATCAACATAACCCGCTGAAGCTCAAATTGAGCATCAGAATGGGGTAGAAATGGGATTTATGCTGACTTGACAAACTGTTTGGCTGTAGATGTTTTCAAGGGAGCTTAGGGCTGTCTAAACTCCACCTCTTTTCCTTTTTTTTCTTTTTCTTTTTTAACTAAAAGCTACACTAGGTCAGCATCCAAAATAGAAAACTCTAACAGTGCACTTTGCTTCCTCATTCCAGTAAAGACACTGGGACTACGTACATATTTGATGAAGTTTGTAAGAGAGACAGACAGACAGGCAGACAGACAGAGACATGTTGGCAGCCCTGTTTCTCTGCCTCGGACATAAAGGAGTTCCCCCTCATCTTACATAAAGTGCAAAGTTTCACTTACTACACTTGTGTGTCTGCAGTGTTGTTCTGTATGCCTATTGTGTCTCTGTAGTGTTGATTTGTACACTGCATGCCTTTCAGTGCTGCTGACATACAGTTAAACATACTCTATCCACAGTCAGAATGTGTCAGAAACACAAAATTTAAGCGCCAAGATGTTTCCCACTGCTTTCACACACGTCAGGGGCACCTTGGTCATCCACTGCTCCTGCGCGAACACTCACGCACCCGTTTAAGCTCTCCTCTTTCCACTCTGTCGTCACAGAGTGTCACTTTGGCGACAGTTAGAAGGCGGGGGGGCGGGGGTATGACTTGAATACGACATGTAGAAATTGAGAGACGGGGGAAGAGAGAGTGGGCAGATGTGAAAGCCGATGTGTGTGAGAGGTTGTGTGCATGTGTGTGGGTGTCTCTCAGTTGAAGGTGTGCGTTTGTGAGTTGCCTATGAGGGTGGTTATTGTGTGTATGCATGCATGTATTGGTGTGTGTGTGTGTGTGTGTCTATGTGTATATGTGTGTGTGCGTAGGCTGAGGATCTTATCTATGACGTGTCTGTATTGGTCCAAAGTTGTGGTTTGGGGACAACCTACAGGTTATGAGAACACCAAAGAACCTTTGTCTATATATGTACATAAAATACTTAATGTCTCTGTGTTTTCTTTGCCTTGTTTATTCACACAGTATTTATTTTAAATGTTGTATGTATTTATTGGCCTAACTTAAAGAGATGACGGAAAATTCTGTATTGAATATTTTTACTTTAAGGCTTTAACTTTAATTCAAGTGTTTTTCTGACGTTACAGTATAAGCTTTTTCACTACATTTTGCGAATACTGGCCTTGTATTGTATGAGGATATGTGGCAAAGATAATGTGCCATTAATAAACACATGCTGATCTTGGCATATCAGCTACAGTGTACAGTTAATCTGTCTTTGAAACACTTTAATAATAACACCCACCATTCCATACACATAAATGTCTCCTATACATGATAGTCTTAGCCAGATACAGGTTTTAAATAAATTATAAGAAAACTATGACATAATGACACTTCCTCTATGACACAGCTGCCTGCAGTTTCTGCCGTCATAATTTGTTTTCATCTGCCTCAGAAGCACAGGCTGTCTCGCTTGAATGCTGTTTTCCTGCTTGTACGTGTTGTCTTTGCTAAATCTAAAATTATTCCAAATTAGCTGAAGTTCTGCTCAAAGTCGTCATTAAACGCTTCTTCATAAACTTCCTCCTTTTACTCAGGCATTCTGCTTGCTCAGCATACATACCACTAATTCTTAATGAGGGCAGCTGGCAGCGAGCTGAGGCTTCATCGTATTGTTCACATGTTCTCATGCTGGGTGTAGATACATGTACAGTATTAACTACACAAAGGTATGCACATGTGAAGGTGGTGATGAAAGTAGTTTTGTTTTTGTTTTTTTTGCGTTGCTCTGCTACAAACTAAAAAGTCCCCAAAACTTCAACCAGGATAGACTGAGACATCAGGCTAGATAGTGAGAAATGACCCTTTAATTACCAAGCATCTGCTCTGTGGTGTAAGTTATACTGTTTTTCTTCTACCCAGCTGTGATACTGACATGTGCATGTGTGTGTGTGTGTGTGTGTGTGTGTGTGTGTGTGTGTGTGTATCTTCAGTACCACAGGAGCAGCTGTTGCAGACAGAGGAGTATGACCTGAACGTGGTGCGTCTGTGTATCCAGGTTTCCCTGCCAGACGAGAATGGACAGTACACCCGACATCTGAACCCTATCATCACCAACCCCATCTATGACAACCGTGAGTATGTTCCCTCTGTCTGTTAAACAAGGGCTGAATATTTCCTTAGTTCCACTGGACTCTCAAGCCCTGTCCAAATTTCTGCACATGTGCTCTTCCAATGAAACATTTCTAGCTGAGGGGTTCAAGACACCAGGGTGTCCCTATTCTCAACTATTGTCTTCCAGTGGTGTCCTTTTGCACTTTCAGTGCACCCTCTATGGCTAGGGGGCCACTAGACTTTGTGAAAGGCTTTTACCCAGAAACCCTGTTGTGATATGACATGTAGAAACGCCAACCAATAAGGGGACAAGGCAAAGGGGTTGTTTCAGGAAGCTGGGGAAAGGACTCGCCGTGGTTGCAGTTTTCACAGCATTGCTGCTAAAACTGAGAAACATTGATCTGATATAAATGAAGTTTATTTTACATTTCAGTTTGCCTGTTCATACATCTAATGTATGCCTCTAACAACAGCTGCAACATGGCACAGTGATGTTTTTCTCTGCAGTATAGGTATTCCTTCAGAAGCAGGGATAAATTGTTGGATGACCATAAAAGGATGTCAACTACACTGGGTTGTACAGAGAGCTGTTCCTTTCCATCTCGCCCTGTTAGGCTATTGCTAGTTTCTCATATAAACAAAATTAACATTCAAACTGAAAAGTAAAGCAAAGTTAATTTACCTGTTGGTCAGGCATCAACATTGCTGTTTGGACCAGATTTAGAAACCATCTTCTTCTGTAGTTCTTATCCTCCTATGTTTTATCTCTGAACCTTAATAGGAGTGATGTGATATGCAATATGTGCAAAACTGTCTCAATCCTGCCTGTTACAGCTATAGTTCATGCACTTATGCCCCTAAATGCACCTTTAACCACTGTGCACACCAAGGGCGATCTTAGGCCAAAAGTACAGAAGTTAGGACAGCACCCTCAGAGTGGAGTCACTTTGGTTATGTCCACACATTGACATTACCTAATCATGGAAGAGTACAACACTCTGAAGATGAAATTGTTCCAGTAGGTCAGGCTGCTGGGGTCAGAAGCATGAAGTTGGTGTAAGACTCAGTAAAGTGGTTGATTTCTTTGTCAGTATCCACGTCATTCCTGACACTGAATCAATGTCCTGCTCCCTGAAATGAACATGTAATTATGACACACCAGTGTTTGAACAAACAGTTCATGCTGGAGGTACCTGTTGCAAGTGTTCGTTACAACACCTGTATGTGTGAGCGTTAGTGTGTTTGTGTTGCACTGCGTTAGTGTTTCTCACTCACACGAAAAGAGGAAGTTCATACACACTAACCATCCAACAGTGCCGTTACCATGGAGCACTTCCTCTTCTTACAGCAGACATGTGACATGTGACCCAACCCAAGTGGGGTTGTTTTTTTGTGAACTGAAGTGAATATTGAACCCAGTTAGGCTGAACAGCTAAACTACTTCAAGATAAGGCACATTCTGATGTTGTAATAAATTCATATGTGTTGTTTTAGCCTAGTGTGAGTGGAAAGAACAGATTTTTCAAAGATTTGATATCAGAACAGGGTCAATATTTGCAAACAGCTCGCTTCCTGAGTTATTTCCCATCATGCTCCTGGGGGAAATTTACAAGACAAGTAAAGTCAGACTCATATATCTCTAGTAAATTGTGTTATCCCCACCATGATAATGCTGTGTGACCAAGCGTCTGTCTCTAGCATCTCATTTAGTGCAGACAAAGTGTTTCCAACCCTCCATGTTTACTTCTACCCCGGTTGATAGCTGCAGATAGTTTTTTTTACATTGTTAAAGTGACCTTTTATGAACGTATGCATTAGCCAGAATCAAAAATTTTGTTTGGATATAAATAAAAGACAGAAAAAGAGTTATATGAACATATTCCACCAAACCAAGAAATAATGCAAAGACCATTTCAGCAAACTCATAATTTTGCAAAGTTGTTCTTGCCAATGAAAGAGCTGGATATTCCTTCATGCAAGGTGTTTTTTTACTTGTTTACATGCAGTCAGGCTCGGTTGCTCTGTTTCATGTGTACAACTTATTTGTTATCCATCAGGGGCCCCAAACACAGCCGAGCTGAGGATCTGTCGGGTCAACACGAACAGTGGCAACGTGAAAGGAGGGGACGATATCTTCTTACTGTGCGACAAAGTACAAAAAGGTAAACACTATCAGTGGTTCTTAAAATGACTTGATCATCCAGTTTGAGTACACTGTCAGCTTACATCCATTTTCTCTCTATTCATCTTCATTCATCTGACTTGTACTTCTTATCCACATTGCCATCCTTTTGCATGTTCAGTCAGTTTTCCACTCTTCTTTCCCCTACCATCACGTCCCCTTAGATGACATTGAGGTGCGATTCTTCTCCTCTAATGGCTGGGAGGCCAAAGGCAGCTTCTCTCAAGCCGACGTTCACCGTCAGGTTGCCATCGTGTTCAAGACACCGCCTTATTACGACACCTCCATCTTAGAGTCTGTTACGGTGCGCATGCAGCTACGCCGACCCTCTGATCAGGAAGTCAGTGAACCAATGGACTTTAGGTATCTGCCTAATGACAAAGGTGAGCAGATATCTCTTTTTATCCAAATCATGGTGTGTCCAGGGTGTGGTGGCAGTTCTCTGGTGGAGTGTAGCCCTGTAATGCCTGACACCACAAATTACGGCCAGAAAATTCAAATTTTTTGGAGCTGAAATGTTTATTTCACTTACTACTGAAAACCAAAAAAATCTAAATGTCCTTAAATTTTACAAATATATTTATTGATCTCGTTTGATACATTAGATGTTTTTGGAAACTAAAAGAGGACATTTTTATCATTTATCGGACTGTATTCAGGTGTTTTTTTTTAGTAATTCGTTGATCATATTGATTTGATAGAAGTATATAAAAGTATGTTTCAAATATGACACTAAAGGGTTAAATGTTCATTTGAACATTTTCTTTTTTACTTTAGATCCTTACTTTATAAGGGCGAAAAAACTCAAAACAGAGGAAGTGATGAGGATTTCACGACGGTCAGGTAAGTGCTCAATGTGCTTAATATTGCTACTTACCATGTGCATGTGATGAGATGTTGCTTTTATGAATTTACAAAGAACTCTGGACTTTTTTTTCAGGTCCTTTTGCTGGTCTGGGTGGGAACAGGCCCAATGCCATACCACAGAGTGCCATGGGTCGTGTGTGGAAAGGTAACTTAGTTGGCAATGATTATAAATTTAACCAAATACAACTTTATCATCCAGATCAGGATGATGTCGCCTTATAGTCACACTGAAAGTCACTTTGTTTCCTCAGGAGACCACCTGAAGCAGCAGCCCATGCCTATGATGCACCAACAACATGTTTTCAACCAGCAATACCAACAAGTCTCTCAGAGTATGGCAATGTCGTCGCAACCCTCGAACATGCCACTCAGCCACCAATGGGCTAATCCTAACCCCCAGCTCTCCATGGATACAGTCACCATCAACTCTGGTGCCATGAACAACCTGCCCCGTCCTCATCCTAACCCTGGCAGGCTGCTGATGGACCGTAAAGCAGGTTTTACCTACAGAGCAGAGCACAGCAACCTTGAAAACAATGTTCTACCTGAGCTCTCCGTGACAGACCTGCAGTGCTTGGAATCAGTCCCACAGGCAGCTGGACTGGGCCAATCAGAGTCCCAAATCCTCTACAATCTGCAGCACCATAGGACAGAGATTACCTCTGAGCCACGGAACCAGAACCAACCACAGAACCAGAACCAGGGTCTTGCAGCTTCATGGTCCAATTTCAATCCTCTTAATCCACACCAGAACCCCTTTAACGGCTCAGTACCTGGAGGTGGAGGGGGGTCACAGGGGCTGGGCTCTTTCGCTTTCGTGGAGGGAATGGACGGGGATGAGTTTATCAAGGACCTGGTGGCAGGAGAGTCTCCTATGGGCTTCACTTTAAAGCAAGAACCTCAGATGTCAGTGGTACAAGAAACTCATTCCCCTCTCATGCATTCCCCGAGAGAAAGTCAAGGAAACACTTACACCAACCTGGTCACACGTCCAGTGACCAATGGCTCAAATATGGACCCCATGGGGAGGGACTGTAGCGGCAACACACAGCCTCTCAAAAATATGCACAACCCTGAAGGCCACTATCCAACTCTAGCTGACTATATCAAGTCAACTCGACAAGGCAACTGAAAATGTATGGCGCAGAAGAAGCCTAGATGATTCTAGTGATCTTGTTTTTCAAGGCCAGACATTTGGTTTTACCCAGTTTTGTCAGAGTCAGGGTCTCTGAATTTTGGCCGAGGGGGCATCAAGATCAGGTAGGATTGAGATCACAAATGTGAGCAGCCAGTCAGTCAATTACAGTCGTTGTGTAAAAGTGATCCCATAGTTTAGTCTTTGGCAAATGTAGCATCGAAAAAGCCTCTCAGTAGTTTTGCAAAATCTGCCATTATGCCGATGACACCCTGTTGTATATTTCATTTGAACCAGATGAGACAAATTTAAAGAGCTGACATTTTGGTTTAATGTTTTGTCCACGAGTCTTTGATGATTCACACGCTCCAAACAGTGCTTGGCTGGCTTTTGAGACATGGTTGCTTGTTGACATTAGTTTGAGTTGCTGCACCTGAGTGCTGCATCCATGAATGGTTGCTCAAACTCCAAATACTTAAATTCAGTTTTACTGCTTGACCAAGCCATCAAGACACATTTCATCATTCAAGTGAAATGTGTCATTTAAGAGCACACCAGTGTCATTACTTTCTATCAGGATGGCAGCAGGAAGCAAGAAGACCCTGCAGCGGCTAAACTACAGTGTGCCAAGAGAGACAAAATATCACATGATTAAAAAACCTAAAGTAACGTGTTACTTTTGGTCTTTGAATACATTGTGACAAATGTATTAAGTCCAAAATATAACTAAACGTCCTATTAGAAACCGAAAAGAGGAGTCTGATACAATCTCTTTATATTTAGACTGCTCTAAACTTATTTTGATTGCCGTAACAAAGTGGCCATTCACCATTTACACTCCATCCACAATGCTGCTGCGAGGTTTTAACACAGTCTAACGGGCAACCACATAAACCATCTACTACTTAAATCCTCAAAACAGGCTTCCTGTTTACTTCAGCTCTCATCATAAAATTGTAGTGTTCATGCAGAGAGCCAAAAACGCTCCAGCTTGAACACAGGGTCACTAAATAAGTTCTTATCTACAAAAAGCTCTGAGCTGTAATTGTATACAGGCTCTGGTTTAAGTATTAACTGTTTCTAATCCCTCCCATTAATGTACTGCAGAGTTTGGTGTGCAGCTGCTTTTTTATCAACCCCAGAGTGCAAACTCCTGACTAGTTAACAGCAGTGAACTCCAGCTGGCCCTTATTTGTTGACGAGTCACATTGTAGGCTTTAAGTACAACTCATTTAAAAAATCATAGTTTCAAAAGAGTGAATGTAATATTTCTTTTCTCTGTGTGTCTCGGGTGACAATGGATTCACTGTCGATTTTCTTTATGTTACATTAAATGTTTTGTACAGAGGTGATTTTTTTTTAATCCAGCAGAAAAATATGTATAAAAATGTAAGCCATTTCTTTGTAATGATTTTTTAAGAGTTTCTCTTCTTGTTGATTGTCACAGCAAAGTATTTGCTGTTCAGTGCACTCTGTATTTACATGTCAGCCCTATATGCGAGAGTGAAAGCAACAAACTTGCTGAAACCCTTGATGGCTGTCAGGTACTGAAACTTCCATTGAGGAAGTGGGAGGAAACACTTTTAGCGTGATGTTTCCTCCGTAATGACTATGTCATAGCAGTGATCACATGTTATTCAGAGTTCTCAGAGTACTTATACCACATGTTGTATGTATACAGATGTTTTATTTAGCATACGGAGCGTCTTTACCGAGGACACATGTCTGATCATGATCAAACTCTGGCTCCTGTGCAGGTTTCATGTCTGTCAGCTAAAGCCGGGATCATCCTGACATGCTGTCTATTTTATTTGTTACTTTACAAAGTTTTTGCTTTAAGATAATTTTTTGTAAAAGTTGTTGTTTCAGGACTTCTGTACATGTATTTTTTCTTAATAAACAGAATCTGTCTGATTCACAGTTTTGCTGTTTTATTATCACCAATGTATCTCTTATCCTCCTCCTGGTGTTCAGAGTAGAGACACGGGTGCTAAAGAACTGCAAAGTGCCCTGATAATTAACATAAATGAAGAGAGGGCATTTAGATGACTCCTCAGAGTGTATTATGGACCTTATCACACTCTTAGCTGAACAAACTGTTTATCAGCATCTCTGACTCTAGTTGAATGAGATTGTCAAAGCTCTTCTATCTTTTAAGTGCATACTTGGCCTCTCTTTAGTCAGCAGCTTGTTAACTTAGCATACAGCCAAAAGTAACAGTGGAAAAAAGACAGCTGCCCTGTTAGGGCCCGATATGTTACAATGATCTGAAATGTAATACATAAAATGTTATAACTGACCCAAAACACAAAAAGCTGTAGTAATTTGGGCAAATTTTAATTTTGTTTTGGGATGTTATCATTTTATTATTATTATTATTATTATTATTATTATTAGTAGTAGTAGTAGTAGTAGTATCATTATTATTACCTTTTTTTTTTTATTACATTTCGGGTCATTGTTACATTTCAGATCTTTGTAACGTGCACTGAAGGGCACAAGTAGAAATCCTCCATAAACCCAAGATGGCTGTTTCCACACCTGAGGGAAGATTTAAAGTTCAGTGATACTTGCCAACCAATCAGAATCAAGTGTCATAGTCATCCTGTTTAAAACTGTTGACTTTTTCTTCATTTAAGAATCTCTTCTATTGTCATTTGTGTAAGTATCAAGTAAAACTGTGAATCTTTCATATTAACAGTCTGTTATTGACATGAAGCTAACAACACCAGGGTCAAGTGAACCTGTGGCTGATTTAGTTGGTGATTAATGAGTTAGTTAAACATAGACGGAGAAGGCAGGCCAGTTTAACCAAGTTTCACACTGTAAACATACAAAAGGCTGATAGAGGAGCTTAAACAGCGCATGTAGGACTGATCAGGAGTGTTCTCTGTTTGAGAAAGTAAACCGATCACCTGATAGTCAGCTTCTTCTTGACTCACAAGTCCACACAGTCATATGACATGGCACTTTCAGTTTGAGCCTCGCTGAGTGATCTTCACTCCTAAAATAAAAGATGATTTAAATACAACATGAAACCACCAAACTGGTGATAAGAAATGAAAATCAGTTTCACTCATAAAGTCCATAACTAGAAGTATCTCAGGACACTTTTCAGTAAGAGTTGATTGAGACTATAATTGTAATATTGATCATAGAGACTAAAAAATAAACAGGAGAAAGAAAAAGTTTCTCCTCATGCAAAACCTGACACAATGAGTGAATGATTATCTGCCACTGCTAGAAAGGCTAAGACAGAGAGAAAGTGAAATAAAGACAAACAAGCAAAAAACTATCCTGATTTTTTATTTATTGACCTCTATTAGGGCAAAAAAATCTTTATCTAATTATGCCTGTAAAATGACTCATCTATTCGATGTAGGCCCATGGCAGCAATTAACAGATTGTCTCATCAGCCTTGACTTCATGCTTTAGAAAATGAAAAATTCTTAAATGTAGAGTATGTAACATTTCACCACATTTGAAGAGATAAATGAAATATAATAACAAAGGTAATACATGAGAGATTGGCTTCTTTTTCTTCCTCCAGCTGTGATTTTGTGAAGCAGCTGATGAGGCTTCAGGGTTTCCTGATAAAGACAAAAGAGGGTTACAATAATCCATCATGAAGGTAAGAAACTCATGGGGTAGTTTTTCTGCACCATGCTAAAGGCGGATGTGCCTGATTTTTGCTGAACTGTGCAGCTAAAATAACGTTATCTTTGTCCCAGAGATAAGTTGAATGTGGGAGCTGCAGGATCGAGCCTTATCAAGCAGAACCCCCAGGTTCCTAACTCCAGTTTTGTCTGCATTGAGAAGCAAAAACATTTGTGATCATCCAGGTTTTTAGCAAAGGATAACTTAGCTCTGAAAAAATAACACCAGCAGAGCCAGTTTATTGTTAATAGTCAGAGGAACAAATGCATAAAACCACCAAGTCAGCAGAGCTGCATAAACACCCATTATAAGGACAACACAAACATCTTGTGTAGTGAGTTTTAGACGCTGCTGCAGTGTTTCTTTATCACATCCTGGAAAGTGAGTTGGACCTGTTTTACACCTCTTTCCAGTAAAGCTCCTCCCCTCACTCCTCCCCAAACTTCTCCCCCCAAGCTGGTCTCTCCCCAACGGAAGTCTGAATAAATGTGGTTATCTCAGACTGAGGTTTCTGCAGGTTGTCACTTCAAATCTTCACTCTCACTAATCTGTGCCACCTGTAACACATTCACTACATACCTTGAGTTGCTTTTCCAACTATAAATTATGTATACACTCACAAAAAAAAAAAATCCTTTTGTTCCTTTTGTCAGTAAAAAATGTTATTCTGCACCAGATAACTGACCCAGAATTGGTATAACCTTAATACTTACCATCACAAATGAGTCTGTAAAGATTAACCCTTCAGTTTTTAACATCCAGGTTTTATTAACCCTGTGAATTATTTTTACTGTGTCTGGTTAGAGTGGTAGAGACAGATTTAAACCTCGCATGGTCACATGATCACCTGCATTACCCTCCCCTCTGCAGACTTCTTGCTGCTCATTTTAATTACAGGTGTGAATGTTCAGAGTATAGAGAGAGAAAGGGAGGAGGGAGAGGATCATCAGGTGGGAAAACCCCAGGGAGAGAGAGAGAGAGAGAGAGAGTCACTGTTTAAACAAATCTGTTTACCTGTCAGACACATTTATAGGTGTTTTACCGAGATGTGAATGTAGCCTTACTTACTCTGAACTATTACAGCGAATGTGTGTCTGAGTTCAGAGGACAGAAGGGTTCAACTGCAGCATCTTACTCAGCTGTGAGTTTCAAAGTCACTGAACAACATGCTGAGGGTTTAAAGACTAAATACCCTTTCCTTCTTCTATAATCAACCCAGTGTTTTAAAATGTCATTGACATCTTTACAAATGAGGCATTTGAGCCTGCATGAAAAAAAAAACTGTCACCAAACAACTTCTTAATAGGTGCTCAAGACACAATGGCACACCATTTAATGTGATTGTAAAACAGAGTACATAAAAACATGAGTCACTGTTTCATACCCAGCTCTGTTTCTAAGGTTATGTTTTTCAGGATTTATTTGGCAACGTACCTCTACCATGCCTTCACCTGTTCCAGCGTTTTCTCAAGTGACAGAAACCTTTATTTTTCATCATGGCTATGTTTTTATTATTCAATTATTATTATATTATTAAAGGGAGGACATGCACAGAAATAAATAAATATACATATAGATCAACAACAGGCTTAACTTTGATTCACAAACACAGGCAAAGAGGTAAAGCTGAAGTGGGACATATGCCTCTCGGCACACAGCCAGTCAACTCAGTCATGCTTCAATTATGCAAATTTATGCAAAACTTTTCAGCTAATGTCTTCAAAATTGAATAGTCATCAAAATTTTACCCAATTGCAGGGTATTCAAATCAAGAAATGAGCTGCAGGGACCAAAACGAGTTTTGAACCAGGTTGTAAACATGTTTAATTTGTCTGATAAAGGGCATAGCCTTTCTTCCTGATGGGGTTTTCATGGCTTTTGCAGACAGCTTCATGTGGGCCCCAAAAGACCTGCAGTCTTTTTTGCACTTCCACTTTGGCTTCGGTTTTTTTTTAACAAAAGCAGTAGCAAAAATAGAGTCACCTGCTTTTTAGAAGGAAGGGTGTTTAAGCAGAGCTTAGAGGTGTCTAAGCTCTTTAACGTTACATACCTCTACTTCATTTTCTAGCAGGTCAGAATGCTGTCGAAAAAACACAGAAACTTTATCTGTATGTTCCACAAATATTTCCCCATACTTCCACTTTTGTTTTAGCCTCTAACTTCCTGTCTGCATGAACACTGTGTAACACTCATAATAGAGGAAGCAGTGTCAGTGTAAAATACAAAGTCAGTTTCAGGAGGGTCCAGCGTGCTGCCCAGCAAAACACCAGCAATAGATAATAACTAGTAACCCGTATAACCAGTTTATGGTGGATTTTCAGTGTGAAAGTAAGCGGTTGTTGTGGAAGGATCAGTGATTTATTATGAATCACAGGAACAAAATTAAACTTTAGGTTTCTCTTTATAGATTCTTTCTCTTAAATAATCAGAGCATATACATACTGAAGACATACAGATGTTATATGACACAAGAAAAGACAGGCTGACTGTGACGGCAGCAGTAAACTTCTCTTGCCTCTGTGCACCCTGTGTTGAGGGTTTTATTGTTAGGTTAAGTTCTCCTTCTTCATGGGTCGACACAACTTCCCAGTTTTTGTTTATTGCACTAAAAAAGGTTCAGTTACTGAGCTTTGTGTGTGTACTTATATTCTGTCATATTGCACTCCAGTATACCTAATCATAGACTTAAAAAGGTCTTTATAGTGAGACTAACTGCTGCTGATTTATTCACTGGTTTAAGTGAATCACCAAAATATCAACGCCATACCAGTGATCGTCATCAGATGCTCCACCATTCACAACTGCTCTCTCTCTCTCCCCATCTCTCGCACACACACCTACAGACACACACGTAAACACACAATACAAGATGTGATCTGTGGCTTTTTTACCTTTACTCCTCTGTGCAAGTCATCCTCAAAACACAGCAAGTGACATCACAGGACTCCCTCTCAAACCACAGAGATACCTCTGTTCACACCCAAACACGCACGCACACACACACACACACACACACACACACACACACACACACACACACACACACACACACACACACACACACACACACACACACACACACTTTAATTCTCCTTGCAGCATCAACTCCAGTGCTTACACAGTGTAACTGATTTATTGATTGATTAATTGACTGACAGCGGGGACTAACACTTCATCTTCATTACAGATATTCTTCAGTCTGGTGTTTAACATGAATGATGTCTTATCACTGAGTTCACTGACAGCTGAAGATTATAACATATTTTAGTTCAAATAAAAGCCCTAAAATAAAGTCCAAACAACAACAAACAAGTGTTATTGTGGATTTTAAACCAAGCCACTGCATGAATCCATAAATAGAGGCGTGTAATTACTAAGAAAATGAATCTTTAATGTTTTTTTTTCCAACTGTGAGGCTTTACAGTGAGGAAATTCCCTTTCCACAGTGATGTTTTCAGCTTTTGTTTTTCTGAAAGGTCACAGCGCCGTTTACTGGACAGAAGTGAGAAGTGCATTTACTGTCAAACTCAAATAATCGACACACACATGATTCTTTTAGTTGTTAGTAAGGATTGAAGTATCAAAAAATACGATATTGAAGGTAGACAACTTTAAAAATAGTTATCCAAATCCCTAGATGTATTTGAACAGTTGCATAAACCATTCACAAAAACACCTCCTCGCACCGAAACTGTTGCTTTTAAGGTCGGCCGGAATATACCGGTCCAAACAGTAACAGTTAGGATTAAAATTCCGTAATGTTCCCGTGGATCAATGCAAGATAATTTCCACTGACAATAACATACAAAACAAATTCCATATTTTAAAATGAAAATATTCTCCTTGGGCACTGTTTAATCAACACACTTGCTTAGAGTTGCGACGTTAGAGTTTGGGAATTATGAGCCGCACTTGAAGGCAGCAGGAGGAGCAGTGAGGGGTTCAGGGTCCAGTCCGGGTCCAGGTGTTCTTGAACACTTTTATACTGTTATTTCTCGATGGATCCCCAGCCTCCACAGAAGCCGTGGGAGAGGCGGATTCCTGGAGCGATGAGTGCACCTGTGAACTACAGGTAAACCAGCTAAAGTCGCGTTAGCCAGCAGTTAGCGTGTTCATAATAAACTCATGTTGTGTCTATGTAGAAGTTGTCGCTAGCGAGCTAAAGCTAAGGCTACACAAGCGAGACAGGAAATCGTCAAAACCATTTTGAAATTTAGCAGAAATTCCTGAGGCGTCTTAACCAGATGATTAATCTTTTTATTACGTTCTTCAGAGTATTTTACCATCGTTCCTTATGTAAACACAACAGTTGTATGTCGGTAAAGAAGCTAACTAGCTGTAGCAGCTAAACGGGCTCATCGAGGCCTGGCAGGTGTTTACACCTGGAGAGTTTCTCATCCGGTAGAGGCTGACTAAAATAACTATTTGTTTTAGTTTTTTTTATGGACGACATTAAACATATTAAGAAAATTTTGAGGTGTTTCTAATATATATATATATATATATTATAAGATGACGTTTCTGAAAGATGTCATGTTGTGTTATAGAATGTCCCTTCCGGGATCAATAAAGTTCTTCTTGTCTTATTCTAAGTTTAGTGACCTCTCTGTTTTGATCTCCTTTATTATAATAAGACATAGATATATGGCTATTATGGATATTTGGTGTCACTCCACAGGTCTGCAAACTTCACCCCCTCCGTGGGCCCCTCAGTCTCTGCTGGCCCTCCTGTTTTGACAAGGATGGCCCCTCCAGTGCCCCCACGTCCAGTTCAGCAGACATACCGTCCCTCCTACGGCTCCTATGGCTCTTTCTCCTCCTCCTACAGCCCCTATGGGAGCTCGATTTATGGAGGTTACAGCCCCTACAGCTATGGTGGTGGTGGCCTTGGTCTGGGGGGGTACAGTCGTCTTCCCCACACGGAGGAAGTGGCCCCCAGTCGGTTTGTGCAGCAGGCAGAGGAGAGCAGCCGGGGGGCTTTCCAGTCCATCGAGAGCATCGTTCAGGCTTTTGCCTCTGTCAGCATGATGCTGGATGCAACCTTCTCAGCCGTCTACAACAGTTTCAGAGCCGTGCTTGATGTCGCCAACCACCTCACCCGTCTGCGTGCTCACCTCACACGTGTTCTGTCAGCTTTTGCTCTGGTACGTACGCTGCGCTACCTGTATCGTCGTCTGCAGAGGCTGCTGGGGCGGCGCTCTGATGCAGAGGTGGAGGACCTCTGGGCGGATAGTGCAAGCGACGCTCTGACTGCAGCCAGAGGGGCAGAGGATCAGACCCCCAAGTCATGGCCAATCTTTCTGTTCTTTGCTGTGGTGATGGGGGGACCATACCTCATCTGGAAGCTGCTGAGCTCAAGCCCTGGCCCTGAGGAAAATGGTGAGAGTTTAACACATCAATCTGCTGAGGAGACAGGGATTTAGGCTGTGGATAGTTCACAGAAAACTATTGGGGTCAATCAGTTGCTGACCCCAGACCTGATGTTTTGCAATCATGGTCCATACTGTGACTGCTTGTTGCGCTTGGATCAGTAAGTCTCATCTTCTGGGGAAGATAAAGCAAGGTTTGCGGTTATTGGGTGAATAATAATAAAAATGATAATTATTATTATTATTTGATTGCTCTTGGGGGCCCCCTACTGGCTGCGGGGCCCTAAGCAGGCACTAAGTTTGCTTATGCCTTGGGTTGGCTCTGTGCCTGAAAGTCCTAGAATATTTATTGTCTCTCTGATGAAGTTTCTCCACAAAGTAGTTATAAGATAAACTGACCGATACAATCAGATAAATAACTCAGTTTTAATATATGTTTCCTTTGACTAACACCACCTTTGTGCTGTTTTATTGTAGACTCAAACTGGGCGAGTGGAGAGGATGACCACGTTGTCGCCAGAGCAGAGTACGATTTCTCTGCTTCATCCGAAGAAGAGATTTCTCTGAGAGCAGGAGACATGCTCAACCTTGCACCTAAAGGTAAGAACTCTTTTGCTGTAAGAACTCTTTTGCTGCACATCATTTTCTATTATTTTTTGTGGTGTGCCCATATTTTCATTATTCTGAAATTAGCTCAAAACTTGTATCTGTGTGAGTCGTCATACAAATACTTAATAAATGTTTGTGTTTCAGTGAAAATATTGTTTGTTATAGGGTTATTACTTTTGATAAATCACTGATTCAAAAGAGAGCCCCCTCTGATCTGCCCTCTCTGTGTGTAGAACAACAGCCCCGCGTGCGTGGCTGGCTGCTTGCTAGCGTAGACGGGCAAACCTCAGGACTCGTCCCTGCAAACTACGTCAAAATCCTTGGGAAGAGGAGAGGACGGAGGCATGCAGAGACAGAAAGACTCACCCAGCTGCAGCAGGAGAACACTCACACCGTCCCACAATCACATCTTGCCTCTGGATTCACCCCAGTACCCGCTCCAAACTCCCTCTCAGAGGACCTGCTGGAGTCTGTGTTCACAGAAAGGCCAGCAGCGTCCAACTCCAGCCAACCCCCTCACACAGAAACACACACCCCTGAGAAGATTGACCTGTGATGTGTGTGCATGTTGGTGTGTATGTGTGTAGGTGTGTGTCCAATAAACCGTCAGTGTGCCTCTGCAGAGCTGAGCAGTGGAAACTCACTGAAGATGGGTAAAGATTTACTCGCAGAAGATGAAATAATGATCAAATGGTCAAATTAAGATCAACTATTTAAACACACACAGACATTTTCTCCTTCTCTCTGTATGACTGTATTGTTTAAAGGTTCTCATCCATTTTCTATACATGTCTCTAGCAGTAAATTCTGTGTAATATGTAAACAAAATACAAAGCTGTCTCCAGATTATGTCTAAAATAATATGTAGACAGATTATTTAATTGTATGATGAGGTTCAGTGTGTGAGTCATAGTGTTCAAGGATACACACACTGCCGTTGTAGGGTTTTTTGTGTGTGTGTGTGATAATGTAAAGATGTAACCCTGTACTCACACAGTTGGAAGTTTTCAGGCTAAATTTGCACAGTTTTTGCCATTAGTCACAGAGGGGAAAAAAATGTAAATATTTAATATAATTATTTTGAAAATAAATTACTATAAAAATCACCTTTTATCGTTTGTGAACCTTTTTCATAAACTGGTGCAATCAGTGAGAGAAAGAAAAAAGGGATTAATCTTAAAGATATTTGAGTAAACTTACTCTATCAATTGATTTCTGTATTGTAGTAATCAGTCTGTGTATCATTATTATTATTATTATGCAATGAAGGTCCTATTACAGGTTTTTTCAGTCGCTAACAAGCATTTGTCCAACCAGTTGTCACATTTTCAAAACTGTAAACACAATTAGCACAGCATAGGCCTTTTGTGGCCATACCGTTTACACATTTCATGTTTTCACACAATAAGGCAGTCAGTGAACTCATTTCCACAGTGCTTATATTTTCTTAACAGACAAGCTACACCTCCCAACAAAATTATGGATTGTTCTTGTATTATTTACGAATGTTAACACACAACATCCCACAATAGCAAAAACAATATTCAAAACCTTAGATATAGTATAAAAACTGCAATCATCATCTGCAATGATGTTAGTTCAAAAACAATATATCTCAGTTGATAATAAACAAACAATAGAGTAAATGACACAAAGCTGATTTATTTTGGGTATACTGGTGCCAAACACAGCTGATTCCAGTCTGGCTTAGACTCAGTGGCAGGGGTCAAAGGAGGACTTTGAGGAGTGATGTTTTTGGAAACAAAGAAAGACAAACACTGTAATGTCTGGACAAGGAAAAGTAAGAGCAAGGGGCCCAGGAAGAAGAGCAGGTGCAGGATATGTTGTTCACTGCAAGCAATACTGTAAAAGTTTTTCTGTTCTATCATATTGTAAACAGTATTTCTACTGTACCTCCTGTAGTAAATAGTAGGCTAAAGGAAAAAAAATAACTGATTTGCTTTTTACTAGATTGCTTTTGAATTCGAACGTTACATGTGGACATACAGTTCCCAACCAAGAAATTTTGTGTAAAAACAGTGGATTGCATGTTTTGCCTGCAAATACCTGTAAAACTGAAACATAAACATCTATGCAGTTTTTGTAATCTCAGCAATAGCCAGTATTTTGAAACCTGGTGTACTTTGTCTGACTGCGTGTACCTTGTGAAGTGAAAACAAGTGTTATTCTTTGACAGAATAATTTCATTTTGAGTCAGATTTCCAGTGTTTTGGTGAAATTTGTGTGTGCAGAGAAAGATGTGCTCTATTTTGAAAAAAAGAGTTAGTATATATTTAACAAAAAGTGTTTTTGAGAAGAAAATTATCCATTTGGCCAATTGTGTTTTGTAGGTGTGAGTCTGTGGCAAGAGTTTAGGAAAAGTATCTGAAGTATAGGTAAGCGCATATTAGCGACTGAAAAAACTAAATCTGTTAGATTCAAGAAGGACCGACGAGATGGACGACAGACAGAAAGTGTTTACGGCTGATGTCGACTGTTGCCTCGCAACAGGACGCTGACCTGCTGCAGTGCGTGAAGGTAGTGCTTTGGATTTCGACTGAGATGACAAGAAGGGTTTATTTGTAAATATTTGATATAAAAATTAACTACTGGCACTCTTATATGATAGAGAGGCCTATCGATAACATTTTCTCTCCGACACTGGGCCATAAACGTACGTAAATCTATGTTAGCCGCATATTTAGCTAGCCGGTGTACAAAGTAATTGGAGCCCATGCTGTCTTCAAGGACTATCCGTAAAGGAGGAAAGTCGAGGACTATCCTTGAAGCGAAGGAGGGTGGTCTTTGCCCGACCTCGTAAAATAGTCCTTACAAGATATTCTCCGAAAATAGCAACTATTCTAATCAGTAAGCTATCACAAAATAGTATCATAGACCGACAAGGGAGCCAAACTGTAGCCTAAAAAGCTGGCTGCATCACTAGAGGTTGTGTTCGAGGATTACGAGCAGTCCCTGAAAGCATCAGAGTTAGCAAACGTTAGCAGAGTCTGCATTTAGCTGGCAGCTGCAATCCGCAGCATCTTCATCTTCATCATCAACCGAAAGAGATGGCATGAAACAGACAGCAGCCAAGCTGACTGGACCAGACGACGGGAGCACAATATCAAACAACAGATAGGTATTTGACATAATTATTATTTTATTGACTTGTAAGATTATGTTTCAGGCACCAGTTCATTCCATTTGACCCAAAAGCATCACAGGACAGATAGGGACAGGGCCTGCACATGCATCTCTACAGTTTCTCTTTATTTTACTTATAAATGTATTATTCACCTGAACATGCACATTAGTGTTGCAATAGATGCTCCTGTGAGTGAGATCACATGACCTCGCAGTGAAGCTGTGCGGGGGGTCATCATCACCTGAGATGTGTTTACTGGCACAAAAACAGCTTTCATCAGGTCCACTATGTTTAATGAGAAATTTCATGTAAATACATGACGAGGAATTTTAATCAATTTCGTAGTTGATGTACAAATGTAACCCAAATATTATCACAAACTCGATTTGCCAGAGTAAATTATTATCAAAACATTGACTGAATTTTAATATAAATGAAGCAGAATATAAAAAAAAAGGGGGACATGTTTGCAGCAAGACTTTTTTTGATTATGGTTTAAAATTGATTTTCTGATGGTCCTTGATTATTTTAATATCTTGCCATTAAGTTACAAAACCCAATTCCATTAAAGTTGGGAAATTGTGATAAACATAAATAAGAACAGAATACAATTATTTGCAAATCATTTTCAACCTATATTCAAGTAAACACACTACAAAGACAAGATATTTAATGTTCAAACTCATAAACTTAATTTTTTTTTGCAAATAATTTAACTCAGAATGTCATGGCTGCAACACATGTCAATGTCAATGTCAATGTCACGTTTATTTATATAGCACCTTTATAGGACAGGCCAGACAAAGTGCTTTACAGGAGAAATGACACATGACAAAGTAGTTGGGACAGGGGCATGTTTACCACTGTGTTACATCACCTTTCCTTTTAACAACACTCAATAAACGTTTGGGAACTGAGGAGACTAATTTTTGAAGCTTTGAAGGTGGAATTCTTTCACATGCAGAATGTGGCTTGGCATTGTCTTGCTAAAATAAACAGGGGGGTCCATGAAAAAGATGTTGCTTGGATGGTAGCATATGTTGCTCCAAAACCTGTATGTACCTTTCAACATTAATGTTGCCTTCACAGATGTGTAAGTTACCCATGCCTTGGGCACTAATGCACCCCCATACCATCACAGATGCTGGCTTTTGAACTTTGCGTCAGTAAGAGTCCGGATGGTTCTTTTCCTCTTTGGCCCGGAGGACACGAAGTCCACTATTTTCAGAAACAATTTGAAATGTGGACTTGTCAGACCACAGAACACTTTTCCACTTTACATCAGTCCATCTTAGATGAACTCTGGCCCAGAGAAGCCGGCAGCGTTTCTGGATATTGTTGATAAATGGCTTTCGCTTTGCATAGTAGAGTTTTAACTTGCATTTACAGATAACCTGTATTTACTGACAGTGGTTTTCTGAAGTGTTCCTGAGCCCAAGTGGTGATATCCTTTACACGTTGATGTCAGTTTTTGATGCAGTGCTGCCTGAGGGATTGAAGGTCACGGGCATTCAATGTTGGTTTCCGGCCGTGCTGCTTACCTGCAGTGATTTTTCCAGATTCTCTGAACCTTTTGATGATATTATGGACCATAGATGTTGAAATCCTTAAATTCCTTGCAATTGTACTTTGAGAAAGTTTATGAGTTTGAACATTAAATATGTTGTCCTTGTAGAATACTCAATTGATTATGAGTTGTAATTGATAATTTGTAGAATTAAATTTGCTGGACATATGAGATGATTACAGTTAATTTAATTCTTTCAGATATTTTTTCTCCGATGTCTCCTTCAACACAGCTTTAGGTTCTAGTAAATTATTGACTCATTCTGGGTCAAATAGACCATAGACTAAGAGATATGGCTTTATGGCTAGTTTTGACGAGCACAACAACTGGGATACAGATGCAGCAAAGTCTATCTGCCCTCTCTGATAATCCAGTACAGAGCATTGCATTGACTCTGTCTTTTTAAAGTAACTCATCGAAAACGTATCACTTCTGGTTTAGTATTCAGTTTTGCATTGCATCACTAAAAAGTCAAAGTGACCTCATTCACGTTTTTACACATTTAAGGTAAACAGGATAAGTGTCCTCTTTAAACTCAGGTTATCTGATGAAGTAGATCTTATTTTCTGACTCTCTGATTCACATCTCTGCAGACATGAGCCGCTTCTGTTCTGACAACAACAACTTCCCCTATGACAACAATGTGCTGGTCCTGGATATGGTGCTGGGCTCTCTGTGGGGGGTCCCTCCGCCCATAAACTGGGACAATGTAGCCAAGCTGGTTCCAGGATTCACTCCCAAGGAGGTAGCTAAACTATGAATTCTGGGTAACGGCTCACTGGATGTTCAGTCATGTCAAATCTGAACAGATGTGTTTTCTCAGTGTGCTCGTCGGTTTGAGGAGCTGAAGACTGGTGGGTGTCTTCCTCCCCTGGATGACCAGTGTAATGCCCTGACAGAAGGAAGCCCCGCCCCCTCGGATGACCTTCCCATGGATTGTGGGGGTGGGGGAGAGACAGGAAGTAGTCCAAGCAGCAAACTGACAGGTGAGTCAGTGGCTCCGAAATAACACTTTCACATCGATCAGCCAAGTATAAAGACTTTTTTCCAAACTTTTATCAACTTAATCAGTCAGACTGTGAGTAGTAGGTCATATACAGCCTACATATCAAACAAGCTGTTGTAAAAACAGGTAAATGGCTAGGCAGCCATATCAGTGATAAACTCTGTTTTTATTTTACTGCAAGCTCTCTTGAGCCTCAGTTTCAGGAATAAAATAGAGAATGGAGATGCTTAGCTGTATATTTCGTTACACGCTGATAAAAGTGGCTTAATAATAGGGATGGGCGATATGGGCTAAAAAATTTTATCACGCTAAGATTTGCCATTCTGGCGATAACAATAAGAGTCCCAATACAAAATATTATAATTCGTATCTACATTTTTGACTCATTTTGTCTCGAGAACACCAGTTGGAAAAGTCAAATAAGATACTTAACCACAAGTTTGAGTGGTAGATTATAGTGAAAACTAGTGACATTAAACAAGTCTCAAAAGTGAAAACATTTTGAACTTTTGTTGAAAACTTTTATTGCACAGAGTGAACAGCAGCAGCAGATCCACTGTCCCATGTCAGGCATACCTGATTGCTCTCATCTAAACTGACGATATATTGTGAATGATAATTTATTTCTCATCCCTACTTAATAAGAACAATAAAACACACAGAAAAATCCCAACTACAGACAGAACAACAGCATACTATATGTTTCACAAATCAAACATAGTGCTTTGATACATCTGTGAGAGATTCATGTTGGCCGAACAACATCAGCTGATGTGCATGTATATAGATGTGCATTGCATATAACTGTAGACTTCTAACATTTCAGTAAAACACTTGAAAAGCTTTTTTTCCCTGTTGGTGTCAGCAGGATGTAAATCTGCTCTGTCAGGGAGAGTCAGCTCTGTGGAGAAGAAGGAGAGACGGACATCGTCGGAGGAGGACGACAAAACTCACAAACCCAGAGAGTGAGCAAACACACTCACACACATCTAACACACACTTTTTTTTAACACAAAGGATAATCTAGTCTCATATTCGAGGTAAGGTGTAATCTGTAACGGATGATTGCCCTGCTATGCTGAATACGTGATTCTGATTAAATACTCTATGCAGATGTTCATCATTCTCCTATAGTCGACCCTAAAGTCTGTCTGAGGGATTCAGCTCTGTTCACAGACCCTTGAGCAGTGGTGTTTGTGATAAATGATAAAAACTGACTTTATGTATTGATACAGCAAGTTACTAAGTGCTTAAAAATAAAGAAAAATGGTGAGCAGATAAATGAAAGAGATTCAGCAAAAAAAGTACAGGGCTTAAAAGACAGATCAAAGAGTAGATAATTTTAGAGTCCATGAAAGACTTCCTGTTTTTAGAGAAGAGGACGGATGACAAAGAAAGTATGATCACCTGATTCATGTGCTGCTTTCCACTTAATTTATGTCATTGTATCATGTTATTTCATTATGAGTGGAAACGTTCAGTGTAACATGAGTTAAAACAGAAAAACAAGGTTTAATACCTCAGACTTTATTGTTGCTATGGCAGCAGTTCTGACTTAGTGAACTCAAGTATTGACACAACTGAAAAATATTCTTCTCATGATCTCTGTGAACAGTTGGTCTTACCATCACATGCATTCCCTCCCTCAGTCCCAATATGGTGATCCATGTGTGCGATGAGACAAAAAACCTCAAACAGGACTTCACCTGTCCCCGAGATCTTCTCGTGAAGGAGATGCGTTACTTTGCTGAGTACTTGTCGGTGGACTCTCAGCGGTGGGAGGAGGTGGACATCTCTGTACACTGCGACGTCCAGATCTTTGACTGGCTCATGAACTACGTGAGGAGGAACTCTGCCGGAGGGGGCAAGGACAAACCCCGTCTTGGTACAAAACTCACACACTTCCTGTCTGAGCGGATTTGTGAAGGGTTGTTATCTACCGCTGATGGTCGTCAGTGTGAATCCTCTGTTCAGTATAATCTGTGTGTTTGGTGTGGACTCTGCACTTCTGCTTGGTTCATGGTTTCTTGGTGTTTATTCTCTAAGTCTGCTCAGTGTGTGTTTGGCATATTATTTTGCGTGTATTATGTGTTGTTTTCTTGGTGTGACACGTGGTGTTTGTTGGTTTCAGAGCCCAGCAATGTGATCTCAATCCTGATCTCCTCCGAGTTCTTGAAGATGGATTCATTAGTAAGTGTTGTGTTTATGTTTGCTCTGGGTCTTTTGCTCTTCCCACAACCATGACAACACTTTTACAAAATCTCATAACCTAAAAAGCACCAGCAGTAGAATGTAAATGTGCAATAACTGATGTTTTTTGTCTGAATTGGTGTTTATTACTTTGATACTCAGATCTCTGTATCTGTAACTGGATCCACCTCATTAATCTGTTAAAGAGCCAGAGACCCACACTGAGCTGTGTTTGTGTTGCACTGATGTTCATAGTGTAAAATGTACTGCTCAGTTTCTGACACAGTATAAAGTAAAAAAAAAACTGTGACTGATCAATATATTGTGATGTAATGTGTATACGTGTTTCTGTTGTTTGCAGGTGGATGAGTGTATTCAGTATTGTCACAAACACATGAGTGCCATCGTGGCCACGCCATGCAACATGAACTGCATCAACAGCAACCTGGCAACTCGCATAGCCCAACTGTTTAACCACAATGAGGCCGACGACATCCGGGACAAAAAAGACAAGTTCAAAAGGTATGAAGGGACGGGGTTAAAGTTGATTTATTTATTTATTTTATTCTACAATATTTTTATTAGTTATAAAGTACAGTGAGCTCTTTAAAGAGCACAAGATACAAAGGAAACATTAATCACAAACACCCCCTTTCCCTCAAGACCCTGGATATTTCTATCGCTGTGCTTAAATAACAAATTCTGGAGCTAAAAGGAATTTGGGTTTTATAGACCCTGAAATATAAGACGTTGAGAAATAAAAAGTAAAAGTTAAAAGAACTACTGTACGTTAAGAGAAATACAAAGGTAGACAAGTCACTGAAAACTGAAAAAGGCCATAAAAGAGAAGAATTTAAATTGTGTGATTATAAATCATCACAGATATATATTTCAAAAAGAAAACAATTAGAAGAGGAGAGTGCTGATTCAAAATGATGACAGTTTCTGAATGTGGTCCAGAAAAGGTGATGTCTGTAAAGATGTGTTTATGGTACTTTGCATTTAAAAGTTTCAGAAGGAGTAAAGTCATACACTCAGACTCAAACAGATTTATAGAAGGATTACAGCAGCACTAACAGCCGCTCACAGTCGAATCCTGTTAGTTAGAGCATCATCTAAACCAGTGGTTCTCAAGTCCAGTCCTCGAGGCTCACTGTCCTGCATGCTTTGGATGTTTCCCTGCTCCAACACACCTGATTCAAATGATCAGCTCGTTATCAAGCTCTGTAATGGCTTAATAACGAGCTGATCATTTGAATCAGGTGTGTTGGAGCAGGGAAACATCCAAAACATGCAGGACAGTGGGCCTCGAGGCCTGGACTTGAGAACCACTGATCTGAACAAGATACTTTGCAAACTGGATTTTGAGATGGTGCAGACTGCGTTGTAAAGTGACAGACATTTCTTGGTGGAATCAGCAAATAAAATAACTTTTCCTCAGTCACTGTTACAGCAAATGTTTCTATTTTTCGACATTTCAAACTGTTAACTTTTCTCACATTTTATGTCCCTCTCAGTAAATTGTTTCAGAAGAAGATTGAGGGTCTCTTTGACCCAAACTACACCAGCAAAGACTCACCCGGGAGCGCCGCCACACTCTACAGGTGAGAATCTCACACAGGTTGTTAATTTCATCTGTTATCGGTGCAATCCAGTTCATCGGTTATTTAATGTAAATTTAAACTACAGATCCTCTGAAGTCATTCAAAGGCCATCATTTTACCTTGTGCGTGAAATAAAAACAACTACTTGTAAATAATGGCATCCTGTGACAAATAATGGCAACTAATTGAACATGCACTGCTGATTATCTTGTGCCAAGCACCAAAGGGGCCATGACATTAGCTCACAAAACACTGGAAAACAGACAAGATTAACAACATAATGAGAAGAAAAGTACAAATTCCCTACATCACTATGCACGTCAAACAATGGCGAATAGAAAATTTACACAATGTTGTACTTAAAATATTTTAATTAATTCTTAGTAGTAGTATGGGCTGTAACTTTTTTTTGAGTAGGTCAAATAGCAGAAACACTGTAACAGGAACAGGTAACACTAGACAAAGAAAACAAACCCAGAAAATCTTCTGATGAAAAGTGATTACATAGAACTTGACAGCAGAATTAAAAGAGCTGAAACAAATCAGATAAACTTCATTCTAATCTATGACTTCTTTCACTGCCTAGTGTATTCTCAGACAAGTCCATCACACCATTTCTTTAACTTCTTAGTACATGTAGGAAGACACTTACAGGATGATTCAGTCTGTTCTGTTGTATAAAAAGCTCAGGTTCAGGCTGGAACTACCAAACTCTTGAAAATACCAGAAGAAGTCAACAGAGAATAATGTGCGTGCGTGTGTGTGTGTGTGTCAGATGTGGACTCTGTCTAAAGCTGCTAACAAGAGACACAGAGAGGAAGATCTCATGTGTTCCTGGAAAGATCAACATAGATGCTCGAGGGGAGATCGTCTACACACACACCAGGTACTGTAAAGCTGAAACCATGGCAACGGATACAATTGCTCTATGTTTAAGGAGTTAACAGGCTGTGTGTTTATGTTTATGTGTGTGTGCAGACAGAAGAGCTGGGATGTTCATGAGTACCTTTCTGGTCTATATGAGGAGCTGAAATCCTGGGTTCTGGTCTACTGGAGGATCTGGGGGACCACCAACTACCTCACCTGCTCCCGCTGCCAACAGGTTTGTGTCTTTCTGTGTTATTGTACCTTAAAACAGTCGTTCCTCAAAGATTTTCTGCAGGTCCCTTGTTAGTGGGTGAAGATATTTTCAAGCCCCCACTCCCACATGAGAACCACTGCCCTGATTAGAAGGGAAGGCTGATACATAGACTGTATGTCATTGCAATCTTCTTGAAGTTTCTATGTTTGGATGAGAGGGTATGGCTTATAGAATCAGAATCCAAATCAAAATTACTTTATTGATCCCAAACTGGAAAATTATGGTGTTACAGCAGCTTTTTCCTAGTGAGCAAAACAATGTAGGAATATAAGAAAACCACATATCAAGAAATTACCGTCATAAAAATTGTGAAAAAATATAGCATTTGTATTCACAATTTGCATTTTCCCTAATAACTTTATATACATTAAATACAGAATATAACACAATTGGGCTTTACGATCTGAGATTTGAAAAAAAGCAGGGGTGCCAGTAAAAAATGAAAATGTGAAATGTATAAAGAATTGAAAGTATTATGTAACAGTATTTACAGGTACAGTGCCCAGTATAAGTCTGTACACCCCCTATTAAAAGTAATGTATTACTTAATATCTAGATAAGCAAAAGTACAATTTCCAAGTTTTGACAAAGCTGAGTTTAACATAACATTTTAGTTACCATTAGTTGAAATTAAGGGTGATATGGTAACTAAAATTTAGCTTTACTCCCAGAACTTTGATTGGGGTGTACTCATTTTTGCATCCTGATTTTAAAAATATATATATGTACTTTTTTGTATGCAACTTAAAAAATCTTGTTTGCAACCAATGGTCTACATTTGGGGGAGTATTTTGCTGTATAGTCTGACATAGAAAATGTTGATTTTGAAAGGATACTAAAGGTTTTCTGACAGCTCTGAAGGGTTGTACTCATTTATGCTGAACACTGTAGGTGAGCAGAACAGAGTACATACATTATGATGAGAACAATGACAACACTCTACTCACAAGAGGTGAGTTATTGGTAGGAAAGATTTCCTATATCTGTCCTTCTGACATTGGAGCTGGATCAGTCTGTCTGAGAAGGTACTTCACTGTCTGTCCAGTAGGTGGTGCAGAGGGTGATCAGGGTTACCCTCTCTGACACCACTACAAAAGAGTCCAGCTTACAGCCTGTCACAGAGCAGGCCCTCCTGATGAGCTTATCCAGTCTCTTGATGTCACTCGCAACAGTGCTGCCCCTTCAGCAGACAACAGCACTGAAAAGATTGGTATTTAAAGAAATTTAGGGGTTAGAAAACATTGACTTAAAACAAACTCAGTTTAAACAAAATGTGAACAACAATAAAAATACCTCCTCAAAGTGTCTCAACTCTACTCAACACTGAACATGACATTTCAGGCTTCCTCGTTCGTGACTTGGCAATCCTTGTTAGCCCTAAATCTTCCTCATTGTACTGTTTTGTGTGTGTGTGTGTGTGTGTGTGTGTGTGTGTGTGTGTGTGTGTGTGTGTGTGTGTGTGTGTGTGTGTGTGTGTGTGTGTGTGTGTGTGCACGTGTGTGTGTTTATGTGCAGGTGTTTGTGTGTTCAGAGCTCACACACTGTCTGTACCACCCTGACTCTGTGGTGTACACTGGTCTTGGATCAGAGAAAGGTTGGCATGGAGCTGGATTGTATCCCTGCTGCAACCAGCGAGTACTGCGCTTTGACCCTACGGGCATACCCAAGGTATACAACACTCTTAGACACACACAGTCAATGTTCATGATGCCTATCAGCTGTTTCTCAAGTCAAGCAAAAAACTGTTCTTGATTATTTTTGTTAAGAGCAATAAAGACATTATAATTATGTGTATTGTAGCAACCAGAACTGTTTTTCCACTGGACCTGAAGTCTCTGAATCCTGTTTTACAGAAAGGCTTACATGCTGCAATGCAGAGGAAAAACAAGAGCGATATGAACTGAAACAAAATAAATCTTTATTGTTAAAAATTCACAGCTATGAAATAAAAAGCACAATATAAGACACAACCAACTTGTTTCCAAAAGAAAAACATTTTAAATGTCCTGACAGTATAAAAACTGCCCCTCCTCAACCTGCACAGATAAAAGTGTTCTAACCAGCTGGTGCCCACATGACTTACTCCCTTATAGTTTTAAAATTTGTCAAATGGAGCAATCTTTAATATTGTGTGTGTGTGTGTTTTCAGGGCTGCAAGAGGAGGGACCACATAGTAAATGTGCCTGATGAAGAAAACTGCGATGAGGAGACGTTAGCTCAGACCAGAGTCCTCAACGACCTTTTGCTACACAGAGATGCAGTGTGTTTGTCTAACACACCTGTAGACAGGTGCGCAGAACCCCAACCACAAATGTATCCCTGATACTTTTCAGAAATTCAGGTCCTGATATTTTCTGGATTTGCCTTGGCCCTCAAAACTTGAAATGCTCTGTATGGTTTAGGTGAGGGGGATTGAGAGTGCAGGAGGACAGTGAAGCAGTGTTCAGAAATGGAGATTGTTTCTGGGTTCATATGTTACACAGTGCATGAGGACATATCCACAGGACAGAGATGAGAGTTGAAAACGTATATGGGAAACGTTGTGTTTACGTGTGTGTGTGTCTGTGTGTTTGACAGTAGTGAAGAGAGTGAGTGTGTGTCAGAAAAAGTTCAGGACTGTGATGTTCTGTTGGAGCCGACTCTGCTGGGACGTCTAAGGGGAGATGCAGGAACTGTGAGTCTCATTGATTATTAAATGTTATGTATCGTACTCTGATTGATGATTTGAAGATTTCAGGAGCTGTCGATCTCTTTCTGATCAGCTTGTTCTCTTGTCTTCAGTTTTCCCTCCTGAAGAACTGGAGTCTGCAGCTGGTACGGCTCTCTGTTTCTATCCTTGTCTAACAGTTCTTTCTTGGAAGAGTGAAATTTGTTAGTAAATATTGTAATTATGTGATTGATTGATTGATTGGTTGATCAGTGAATAAATCACGTGACTCCCACAGAGGCAGCAGTCTCTGCTGTCAGAGGATGAGGAGTACACCACGGGGTCAGAGGTCACTGAAGATGAGGTTGGCGATGAAGAAGAGCTGAATAAGAAACAAGGTGGAGATTTATTAAGAACTATTGAGCTGATAACGATTACATACTTAGTAATTATTACAAATCAATCAAATTGATTTTTTGTTTCAGCTGCTAAGAAGAACAAAAAGATCCACAGACCCCTGAAGAAGCAGTTGTCCTCTCCAAACTTCCATCGCAAAGAAAAACCTGAGAAGGTAAACTTCAGTAATAACTATTTGTAGTTATTTTTCAAATATATCAGTCACATAAGGAGAGTTTGGGGCAGTAACTCCACATGGCGCACTTACACCGTCCTAACACAAAACACGCAAACTCTTCATCTGTTCGATGTTGTTTCCTCTTGCAGACACAGACCAGAGACAGCACGCCTTTCACGTGAGTTCACTGGAATCATCATCTCAGTCTTCAGCTTCGTGTTTGTCGTTGGTATAACTTATTAATCCAACATGCTGTTCATGCGTGTGTGACAGGGTAAGTGTGCAGAAGAGTAAGTGGGACAGCTCTCGTTCATTGAGGTACAATCAGGACGCTCAGAGGGAGGAAGGTGAGGAGGAGTCTGATTGATACAGTCATGTTTATCAAATGTTAATATCAATTATTAGACTCTCTTTGGCTCACTGAACCTTAGTCTGATTTCATTTGATTGTTTCTCTTTCTGTGAGCCAGACCAGCGTCGGATGGTTGAGATCATTGGTCACCTGACAAAGATGAGGTTTGGAGATCAGGAACAGAGCAGGTCGAGAGACAATAAAGAGGTGAGATCATGGTCATATTTACACATTAACACAGACATGGTTTTATCACCTCTGGAAACTTGTCTTCATATTAAAGGTGGGAGGAGGGACCTCAGAAGAATTATCACATTGTCACAGCACATCAGCTTCATGGTTTCAAATGACTTGAGGAGGTTAAAATGAACTGATGGCATCTGTTTTTAGACTGTGACACCTTTACACACTCTGAGTAAATGAGCTGTGTTACTGGTTTTTGTCTCACAGATTTTCAGACAAAACGTTTTACCATTAACAACTTTAAAGGGATATTCCTGCGTAAAATTAATTTAGGGTGAAACACACCGTAACACCAAGTTAGACACTCCTTCGAGAAATGAATGTTGCTGACTGCTTGCTTCTCTAGTTATACCAACTTCAGTAATGGCCGCAGGATAGGGTGCCGCAGCTCAAGGAGGAACATTTATGATCATTTCTTTATCATTTCCTTGAAGTTATAATCATCATATTAATCACTTTGCACTGCAAACGCGGTAGCTCTTCTGCCTTAGTGTCTCGGTCTGATTGCATTTCCATGAAGAAATGATCATAAATGTTCTTCCTTGAGCTGTGTTACCCTGCTTCAGTCAGTGGACTTGCCTAAGGTCTCCATACAAACAAGCGGCTGCTGGAAGAGAGTAGGTGAGTTGTGTTTAGTCTTTTTGCTAAAGAAATTAAGTAAAGCTAAAAAAAATGTTTGGTGTCTAGTGCTATGGCTGGGACCTACATGTACTGTTGATGAAGTTCGGTGCTGTTCTGAGCATTATTTGTGTCTATAGAGTGGCTTTTTGGTAGAGGTTTGTTTATGGCTCCTCAGACCGCTCTGTATTGCTATCCTGCGGTCGTTACTGAAGTTGGTATAACTAGAGAAGCAAGCGGTCAGCAACATTCATCTCTCGACAGGGTGCCTAACTCGGTGTTACGGTGTGTTTGACCCTAAATAAATTTTACGCCAGAATTACGCCTTTAAGATATTTCATCACTCCACTGATGCCATCAAATGATCAACTCAGCAGTTTTATGACAGGAGAGACTTTAAACTGTGAGAAGCCACATGTAACAGACAACTTGGGAAATTTGCAGGTGAAAGAATATGCATGCCTAAACTCAGTTCACTAACTATCTCAGTGTATGTGTGTGTTTTGCAGCCTTCAGGGGGCATCTACTCCAGGCTGGAGGCTCAGTTCAAGAGTTCATCTCAAAGCAGACAGAGTGCAGAAAAGACACCCAGGTATTTATTCTTAACACTTAGGGCCTGATCTACTAAGATCCCAATTAGCGAACACTAAATTGCGAGTGCAAACTAAAAAATTGCACGTGCTATTAGTGGGCGTGTTGCAGGTGATCTACTATCATTGCGTGCACAATTAATAACAGGTGCAAAAGTGGTGCGGACTGCCCTCTTGAAACGAGCGTGCGCTATCGGCTGTCACCATGGAGAGTTTGTGAGAGCAGAGTGATCGTAGATGAAAAATGAAGTTTGAAGCTGTGGAGTTGCACCGATCGTTTTGGAGAAGCCAGGAACTGCATAAAAGGCGAGGGAAGTTTATTTGTATAGCACCATTTATTTACAACGTGATTCAGATTGCTTTACAGAGGCAAGAAAATATTTCAGAGATGAAAAAAAGAGATTCAATTTAAAATCAATTAGACAAAGAGTTACATTTTTGTGACTGTTCCATGTTTGACCTAATTATTCATCAAAACCTTCATTTACTAGAAAAACACTTTTGCCTCCTTCTCCTCACAATGACTGCAGCCATTTGTACGTAACGCTGTGCCAGTTTGCACATGCTAAATATAGACGCAAAACAGTGACCGCAATCGGTTTCCAGGTTTGATAAATCACATAGCGGGTGCTAAAGGATTCCATTTACATCTGCTCCTCCCAGAATTTTGCACGGTCTGATGATCTACATACAATCTGCATATTCACGAAGCCAAACATGGCAATGCAAACCCTTAGTAGATCAGGCCCTTAGACTCAAACAAGCACACAATAAAACTTTACACTTACACACTATTTTCCCTCTCAGTAGATCAAAGCTTCGTTATGCTCAGATCAGAACAACTTGAAGTCATGATGAAGAGGACAACTGCAAGCATGAACACTGAGGAAGAAGACAGAGGACAGGATTCTCACTATAATCCAGCTGTGGACTTCCTCCTCCCCCTCCTCATCCCCTCCTCTCTTTTGCTTATCTCAGGTGATGATGTATTGATCACCATCAGATGCTTCCACCTCTCAGTTATCTACAGCAGAGGTCTGGATCAGAACATGTGACTGATCCGTGTTTAGGATTTTATTATTTGAGCGAGTTCGAAACTGAATATTTGAAGTCTTAGGATCCAGAAAGTAAAGGAGAGAAGTTTGTTTAAAGGACAGACTGTTTCTGCTCAGACACATTCATTTAAGCTAGACTGATCACAGAGCACCACTTCTTTTGCTTTGACAGTGTTAGTCTGGTATAGTGGTCTTGAACCTGGGCCCATTCTGGAAAATAGTTTTAGTTCTACATGTCTTCTGTAGATTTCTTCAGCCTGCAGCAGTGAAACAGTCTGTAAAGGCTGTGTCCACTATAAGTTGATGTTTTTGCTGCTGACTGTCTCATATATATTTTGATTATCAGTATTTTATGTGTGTGGTAGGTGACTGCTGTTAGATCCCTCTTTTCAAACCCACAAACACACCGTTTGTGTCTCACAGAGCAGTATGAATAAAATCGGGACACAGTAGATCAGCACCTCCTGAGCTTTATGAGGTAAAATCAGTGTTTCTCTTTTTTTAAGGTGGTCTGGTGGCTTTGAAGAGACAAAGCAATGGCTGCTTCTCATAAATAGATATTTTCTTTGTACTCTATTATTACAGTCTGTTTCACTGCTGCTGTTTGCCAAATGAGTTCTTGAATGTTCTGTAAAACAGGTTTACGTTAAACATCCATGTGGTCTGTGATGAAGCTGTTATTCGCACCCTTCTAGTTACAGTAGAGAGATAGCTGTAGTTACTCCTGTCTGTACTGGAATGTAACTGTACTAATCAACACTGGAATCAATAAACACAACTAACACTTCATTTCAGACCTTTATTTGAGTCCCTCTAATAGGCAGTATAAAAAAACTATTGTACACAGCATTTCTAGTTCTTACACTCTAAAAACCCCTGGGTTAAGAACAACCCAGGGTTGAAAAGTGAACGACTACTTATTGGTTTATTTTGACCCAGAGTGTTGGGTTATTCAAATTAACCCCAATTTTGGGTTGACTCAGTTAACTCCTAAGTTAACCCATTATTCGAGTTAATTTGACTCATGTTCTTGGGTTAAATTGATACATGCATTTGGGGAGCTTTTTTTGGGAGCTTTGCATTGCAAACTGTACCTTATTTTCCCATGTACTTTTATCTAACCGACTGTAGGCCATAGGTCAAAGGGTCTTGCCTAAGGACCCACACTGGTGGATATTGAACCCCAACCCCAACTGGGGGATATTGGGAACCAGATGCTCTACCCACTGAGCTACCCCAGCCACCCAATATGTATTGAGGTCGTTCTGACCCAATTATTGGGTCACTCTCAGAAAAATAACTCAGAATTATTAACCCATTCAAAAAACCCTCAAATTGGGTTACAAAAGAATCCATATGACCCAAGAAATGGGGATGGATCTGAAAAATAACCCAGAAATTTAACTCAACATGTATAACCCAGGAAGTGTATATGGGGGCAAAGTATGACCCAAGAGGAAAAACATTTTGGACACAGCCTTAATAATCCTCCAGAGTTCTTCTCAGACAGTTTAGTACAAACACAGGAAGTTTGGGGTCATCGTGGTGACCACACCAAAATAAACGCCACCATGCCTCCAGAGTTAACTTTTTTTTTTAAAGAAGTTTCAAATGTAAATTAAATTGTATGAATGGATTCATATCAACATAAAGTCTATATTTGTGCACATTTACAGACCATAATAAGAGTGTGGAATTGTTCTCATGAAATGTGACACTGCTCTGGGTGAGAGAAAGAGACAAGACAAGATAGGATACTCCTTTATTAGTCCCACAACGGGAAATTCCCATTTACAGTTCATCCTGGCCAAGATATATTGAGTAGACAGGCACATACAGGGGGAGACAGAAACAGGAGAACTGTCAGGTCGCCACAGACCACTGCCCCATTTTCTTAGATGAGAAAAAGGAGAAGAGGAGGGATGAAGAGAAGAAAAAGGCAACTCCGAACTATCCTTCTGTAGGGGGGCACAGTGTGGGATTAGGAAAAAACACTTCAGCACATAAGCAACATAATAAAAACATTACAGCAAAACTCGAAGATATGTGTGTGTGTGTGTGTGTGTGTGTGTGTGTGTGTGTGTGGGGGGGGGGGGGGGGGGGGGGTTTGTGTGTGTCAAGGAGCAACAGGGAGGGAGGTGTGAGGGGGTGCAATTATATGATTATGACTAATTGCGATTTTTCTTCGTGTATGTGTATGAGTAAGCCTGTGGCATTGTCTCCACTTCAGTCCCTCCTCTTTGTCCCTGCCGTCTGATAACAGGAGACGACCTTGGAGGATTATGATCCAGAAACAAAGTTCACCGGAAGAGGAAGGTGGGGGAGGATAGGGCCGAGTGTGACATCCAGGAATGGAAACATAAGAGCGATCCAAGACCACAGTGGGGAGCCAGTAGAGATAAGAATTGATTTTGGGACAGGCAGACTTTGTAATTTTCTATCTACCTAAAGTCTTTCTGGTCTCTTATGGCGTTGACCCAAACATCCAAATTTGGTGGTCAATTCAGCAGAGCCGGGCTGTCAGCTTCTCCATGGTGGCATCCAACTTGCGAAGGAGTTCATCAATCACAACCTGCTTGCGGTTAAGTTCGTAAATCGGTTGAGTCTGAGTGTTGACAGCCCTGCACATTCCCTCGAACTTTACGATAGATCAGAAAGCTGCTAACTCCAAACAGCAGAATGCCCGTTATCACAATTCCAATTATGTACACCTCTTCAACATCCTCAATGGAAAGAATGGACAGGCACTCGACCCTCCACTTCTCCCAGGAGTCTTTCATGTATCCAGCTGCAAATGTTCTGTCAGGGAAGGTGGGTTCTTCCTTACCCAGTTTTTTTAATTGGCCAAACCCTGTGACTTTAAAGTATACTTTTTTTTATCCATGGATGTACATAGGTCTTCTTTTTTTGGAGAAAGTGTACACAGCTGTGCATCCATTAAATGTGCATTTTCATCTGCAGTCTGTCACTGAACAGGCCCCTGTGGTTGATGATGACATTAAGCAGAGGATGACTGGCATCATTCATGATGTCCAGGAGTTTGTCCATAGTTCTCTTCTCTACCACCATAACCAGAGTCCAGAGTCCAACTTCATGCTAACCACAGAGCTGGCTCGTCTCAACAGTTTTTCCAATCTGGATGGGCCCTTCTTGGATATGCCACACCACACACAAACACCAGCCCTGTATCCAAACTGCAGACTGCCCTGGGCGTGTTGCACCTGGGGTCTGAGAAGGCTGAGGAAGAGCCTTGGCATTGTCAGATGTAAAGTGACTGCCACTGGTCAGAAGTCATTCAGCCCACTGGATAGGTTCCTCTTAGAAACTGGAACGATGCAGGATGTCTTCCAGAGGGTGGGCACTCTCCCCAACTGCAGGCTGAGGCTGAGGAATTGTTAAAGCAGTTCACCCAGTTTGGCAGCACAGGTCTTTAGTGGTCTAGGACACACCTTGTCTGGACCAACTGCTTTCCTGGGTTGTAGCTTCCTCAGCGGACCTCTGACCTGGTCCACAGTGATTATTTATCAGTCTTGTGAGCACGGGTATCAGCCGTCACTGCTTATTTTAAAATGTCATTAATTGGCCTGTTTCATCCTGTACCTTTAAATCACTATTGCAGCCGCTTACAGCTCATGTGCTTCGCTCCAAATCAGATGAAAAAAATGAAACCATGCTGAATATTGTGTTCACAGTGTAATACTACTAACGTCACTGAGGGACTACCTCATTCTCCCACTGCCTACACAAAATAATTGACAGGATGTCTTTCATAATAGGAAGCTGGTGTTTACGTTTCAAGTGAGACCCTGTTGTGTCAGCACCCCCTGTAGGTAACACACTTATTACTGACAAGTATCTCATACAATTCACACTTCTTCTCACTGCAAATAAAGTAAAAAAGGAGTACACTTTCAAAAGGATAGAAAACACATTTTTATTCACATTTCAACAAATGTGTATAATTAAGAGAGAAATGTGTATTTTGACAAGGTAAAACCACTGCATTTCAAAATAAATGCAGCATCCACTTAAAAAATAGATATATGGCATACAGATTAACATTTCAGACTTCACAGTTTAAAAAAAATAAAGTTAGATAAATGATATTGGTTGGTCAAAGCTCCATAGGAACGAGGAAACTGCGTCTTCACATTTTGCTTTCAGTAGTTGTTTGGCTCTAGAGTCATGAAAGGTGATAGAAAGTCAACTCAACAGACTTTAGATTTTCCAGAGATTATTATTATTTTTTTTTTTAAATAAAAAAAAAAATTACTGTGTCTTTGTTGTGAATTCTAACTTATAATAATTTTAATAATACTTTTTTGTTGTTGTTGTTGCGCTCTTTACATCCAGAGACAGATAGACAGAGATATCACAATGAAGGAATATAAAAACTGGATATTGGTTAAAACAAGAGAAGCATCTCATTAATGGAAGACTTAATGAAAACACAAACAAACCCACAACAGAATGTGCTTCAAAAGTTACAAAAAAGAAAAGTAAACTGGGGCAAAACGAATACATGATTTAAAAGTGATGAGATGTGATAAACAGACAAGGTCTCACCCACTGTCTCATTGTGAACACAGTTAATCAGAGCAGATGTTACACAGAATGAAACAGAATGGTGACTGGGAGTTCACTTCGATTGGTTCAGAGCGGCCCCCTCTCCTCTTTCTTTTTCTGCCACCGTTTGACCCCAGCCTAAAAACACAAATAGAAGAGAGTTGACTCAACTCTGACAGAACTTGAGTTCAAAGCTGCACACAAGGAAAAGGAAACAAAGTTGAAAAACTCACATAAATCCCAAAAGCGACAGCCCCTGTAAATATCAGTCCTACAACAACAATGATGGTGATGGCGTGAGCTGAAGGACCCTTGGTGGGGGAGTCCGGGGGTTTCTCATCAGTGTAGAACTCCTGAATTTTTTCTAACTCCAGCTTTATGGAGTCCACTCTCAGCTCAAACTTCTCCTGATTATTTGACAGAGGCATCAACTTCACCAGCAGGGGGAGGAAAAGGAGAGGAGTAAAGTTATATTTAACCAGAAATATTATCATTCAAAGCACCTACAGTCTGATGCATCTTTCTCTGACACCTTCAATCTGCTTTAAACGTACAGAGAGACCAGCTTGCACAGGCCCAAGTTCTCTTGCTGGCTGCAGGGGGAGCATACCTGAAACTCTTCTTACTTATTTTAAGATGCTCTCTGACTGCAAACCCATGGAATTCAACTTTAAGATTTAGTTTGTCAAAATGCTGAAGTCTTTGTCTAAATGTTACAAAAGACACAGTGGAAGTGCAGAGCACATGAGGATGTGTCCCTGGATACACAAAACACACACTGATAAAGCAATGAGTACACCCTTATACTGAAGCATGAATTGCTGCTGTGTCTGCTCAAAAGAATCAGGGCAGAAACTGTCAATGATTATCAGATTAAGAAAGACACACATTTACGCATGTGGCCCACTGGTTTAACTTAATTAATTATTACAATCTCTGGCTACTGACAAGGTCAGCAGGATCGAACAATAAATAACATCCTGTGAGTTGAACAACATGGGAAAGTAAAGAGTAAACATTCGTTTGTCGGTTTCCTCTGTTTGAAAGGCTGAATTTGAGTCTGTTTCTGAGTAAAGGAGAGACACTTTTAACTTCTGTATAAGTAGGAGCGCTGCTGATATTAGTCATATTACTTTTGACATTGTTGCCATAAGTCTGTATCAACTCCTGCTGTTGTTTGTCTCTTTCTCTCTCTAGGGTCAGTTGATGGAGATGGCTGCTCTAAGTACTTAATAAAAATGCATAAATGTGTTAATTCATTTACGTCTCTCTGGATGTGGTAGGCAAGGCTGGCCACGTCGGTATTGCTGTCCCCCTCTGGCTTCTGCACATCAACTTGAATCTGACGGTCTTCAGGGTAGTACTGCATGATGACACAAAGATGAGTATCTTTTTATGCTGTAATGATCATTAAATTCAAGACAAAAATGTATGTTTTTCAACTTACCTTAACTTGAACTATTTTATCAATGTCCATATGAAGGTTGTTGTAACGCTGGTGAAATGCTGCCTCAAGATCACTACGGCAAAACAGAGATTATATTAAATTAATACTTTGATGTGAAAGTTTTGGGGTTGTCTTTGTCTATAACGTTCACACATGCAGATATAAATGTATTAAAGTGTTTTTCAAAAATATTCCCATCTCATCTCTTGTATAGTGAAATACAGGGGTTGGACAATAAAACTGAAACACCTGCCAATTTAGTGTTGAAGGTTTCATGGCACAATTTAACCAGCCTGGTGGCCAATCTTCATTGATTGCACATTGTACCAGTAAGAGTAGAGTGTGAAGGTTCAATTAGCAGAGTAATAGCAGTTTTGCTCAAAATATTGCAATGCACACACAATATTATGGGTGACATATCAGAGTTCAAAAGAGGACAAATAGTTGGTGCACATCTTGTCTTTGTGAGTGTATCAAAAGCCATGGTATTCAGGGTAATGTCAGCATACCACTAAGAAGGACGAACCACATCCAACAGGAAGTGTCTGAAAGGAATGTCCGGGTGCTAAACCAGATTGTATCCTAAAAATATAAAACCACAGCTGCCCAACTCACTGCAGAATGAAATGTGCGTCGGGAGCTCCATAAGGTCAATATACACGGCCGGGCTGCTATAGCCAAACCTTTGGTCACTCCTGCCAATGCCAAACGCTGGTCTAAATGGAGCCAGCAGCGAAAATCTTGGGATGTGGACAATGTGAAACATGTATTGTTCTCTGATGAGTCCACCTTTACCGTCTTTCCCATATTTGGGAGAGTTACGGTGTGAAGAAGCCAAGAGTGAAGCATGGGGGTGGATCAGTGATGGTTTGGGCTGCAATATCACGGCATTACTTAGGCCCAATACTTGTGCAAGATGGGCACGTCACTGCCAAGGACTACCAAGCCATTCTGGAGGACCATGTGCACCAAGTGGTTGAAACACTGTATCCTGAAGGCGGTTCCGTGTATCAGGATGATAATGCACCGAAACACACAGCAGGACTGGTGACAGAGTGGTTTGGTGAACATGAAAGTGAAGTTGAACATCTCCCATGGCCTGCACAGTCACCAGATCTAAATATTATTGAGCCACTTCAGGTGTTTTGGAGGAGTGAGTAAGGAAACATTTTCCTCCACCAACATAATGTAGTGACCTGGCCACTATTCTGCAAGAAGAATGGCTCATTATTCCCTCTGTCCACTGTGCAGGACTTGTATCTGTCATTCTCAAGATGAATTGATGCTGTATTGGCCCAAAAGGAGGCCCTACCCCATGCTAATGAATTATTGTGGTCTAAAACCAGGTGTTTCAGTTTCATTGTCCAACCCCTGTATATAAAGCGTTTGTGTTTGAATTTGGGTTATGGGTCATTACTCATAAAAATGTAATCTAGTCTCAAATTACAGGAATATTTCCCAAAATGATTCAGAATATGAATTTGCAAGACAGGAAGGTCAACCTTCTAGGAAATCTATTAATTTTTACATTTGATACTTGATCAGGGCTTTTTTGCCACTGATTACTGCATAGATTTGATGTGGCATAGAGGCAATCACCCTCTGGCATTGCAGAGGTGTTACCAAAGCCCAGCCTTCAGCATGTCTGTAATGCATGTTCCTTTCTCATCTGAAAATCTACCAGGAGATAACTGCTGCAGCTTTGATCTTGGACTTGGTAAAACATGGTGGACAAACACTAGCTGCACCTCTCCTGCTGTACACTGTGTCAGGTGTTGTGTAGAAAGAGTGTAGTCAAGCAATGGAGAGAGGCAGAGACATTGTCAGTCTGGCAATATTTCAATTCTAAACATCAGGTTATCAAGATCTATATTCAAAGTGACCTGGATTTAAGTCAGTGCTACTCCCAATCCATCAACTGTGTTTACCGCTTTCCCTGAGTTGGCCTATCTGAGATATTGCTCGGAAAATAATTTACTCAGAGTCCAAATAAATATTTTGAATATTTTGAGGCTTTCTTGAGCTGTAAAACATGATTATCAAAACTGAAATGGAAAAAAAAGGTTTGAAACATTTTAATAAAAGTGTAATGAGTCTTGACTATATATTACATGATGGTGGATGACACTGAACCATTTCAGGATTTTCAAATTACTTTCAGATGTATCTGTATTTATGTATGTTCACATATACAGTATGTAGGTATATATCTTTCACACTTACACTTCTGTCTTTTTGGCGTTCAGTCCCCCAGCCACTGGTCTGTGTGTGAGCACAAGACGAACGATCCTGGAAAAACAAATAAAGACAATATCAAACCCTGAAAGTATTCATTTAAAAAAACATGACTTATAATATTAATGAAGCAGAAGAACGAATGAATGATGTATCCAATGTAAAGTGCTTTATCAGAGACCCTCAAAGCACTTTACATTGGATACATCATTCATTCGTTCACACAGTCACCCTGGTGGTGGTAAACTACCTTTGTAGTCACAGCTGCCCTGGGGCAGACTGACAGAAACGTGACTGCCTACAGCCTCTCCGACCACCACCAAACATGACTCACAATCATACACCAGTGGAGAACACACACTGGGAGCAAGGTGGGTTAAGTGTCTTGCTCAAGGACAAAACGGACAGACTCGGGATAGGGGGGAACCGAACCACCAACCTTCCAGTTGATGGACCACTGCTCCACCTTCTAAGCTTAGGATATGATTTAAAAAGCATTACAACATACTAAAGGAAACAGAGGTTAATGATGTAACTCTGGTTTCATAAATTCTGCATGACCTCCAGGGAAGCCAGATGGAACTAGCTCACTAATCTATACATAGGCTCAGTGCTGTAATGGATGATGAGGGTCATTCTCTTAAATATTACATTAGCATTAGCATCAAGCAGTGAACCTTGTCTGCTTGGCCTACACGTTGACTGATTATGAGGTTATGTAATATATTAATAGTATAAAAAGGTGATGAAGATGTGCCATGAGAGTGTGAAGCAGCGGTCGCCCTGTCATTGTCATCGTCAAAAATCACAGTCTGCACAGTATAAAACAATATTGATAAAATTACTATTTTCTAATCACTATGTTGTGGTGTTTTACTCAGACAATTCTATTCATGTGCAAATAATGTGTGCTTTACATCTCTTAACTTTGAATACAAAACATAGTAATCTTCATAAGACTCTTTATCTACAAATGTTTCCTTCAAGTACAAGTTTTTTTTTCTCCCGACTGACTTTTGCACCATGGTGTTGTGCTGCATTTGAGGTCCTGCTCAGACCATCACGCTAGGTCACGCTCAAACTCTAAGTGCTGGTAGACTGAGCCACAGTGCCACCTGTTGGTTGGGAAAAATTCACGAAAATCCTCGGTAGAAATTTTGGGTCAAAATTTTGTACTTGTAAGAAGAAAAAACTTGTTCTTGAAGGAAATATTCTGATGTACTTGTAGATAAAGAGTCACACAAATTATTATTTTTTTTGTTCTCGTAAAGAAATATGTTTTGTCGTCAAAGGTAAGAGATGTATTTTTTATAGAATATAGAATAGAATTATCTCTGTAATACACATTATCGTTGTTTGCGAAGTTTTAGCTCCATAGTTTTTCAAAACTTTCTCTGCATCAAGCAAACCTAGCCTTGCTTTATGCTTGAACAGCACAAGAAATTAAATACTCACTGAGTCTCCACCAGCTCCTCACACGTGAGGTTCTTGTCTCCTTTGCCAGTGCGGCAAAGACCAGCACTGTTTACACAGCAGCACTCATCCTCTTTATAGCACTGCTTGTTCTTGAATTTGCCGTCTGTCTCACACTCAGGATTGGAGATGCCGTCCTCTGGCCTCCTAATGTCAGCCTGCTGCGTCTCATTCTTTATCACAGAGCACTTTGGGTTCACTAAAGGAGGGGAATCATGTAGGAAAAGTTGAGAGGGAAAAAAAAAGAACAATTTGCATGAGGTGGCACAGAATCAAACTGAGTCAAACAGCAATAATATCAAGATTACAACTTCTGTTGTATCAGCAATTCTTCTATTGACAAATCTCAATGGCACTTTGCCAAAGTGAATAACACAGAACAAACCCTCCCAACTGGGGCTTGACCAATCTCAACTCATCCACCTAACCTGAAGATGGACACAACTTGACTTTTTGTTGCATTTTGTAGCATTTCTACACTGATGTCTGTAAACCTCTAAGCTCTCACAAACTGGACTCTACAGTCAGTGTCTACTGAAATGCTAGTGGACAATCGCAAGTCATCGAACAGAAACTAGAAAACAATGACACCAGGAATCTTGTCAATTTGCTTTTTTGTCTGTTTAAACACACAAGATATGGACGGGAAAGAGACTGGAATTTGAGGTTTGCTGGTAGGTTGAGATATGTTGGTGCTGTTATGAATTCATATTACTAAAAGACACAAACTTTTGTAACTAACCCTTAAAGACTGGGCAGCAGCCGATTGGCTTATTTCCTTTCACAGATCAATTCTCATTTTTATAGCAACAAATCATGACAAAACTTATCTTTGTGCATTTTATGTCAACAAAGAGTGGGTCTAGATTGCAGACTTTAATCCACCTTGAGCGATGAAAACGACCAGATGCAGCACTGACCAGCCATCAGGCATGCATGACTGCCATTGCTCATCCTTTGATACTCCACTCATACATGTGTAAGAGTGCCGGGTGTGGTGGTTTTGGGGGTTTTGTGCTGCTCTCCCTCTCTCAGGCTCTCCAAGTCCACACTTGGAAAGGCAGGAAGGAGTGGTCTTCTTGCCTCAGGCCTTCATGTATGCACATGGAAGGGGAGGAAGGTCCCAGAACAGAGCCACACCACCAGATCTCAATCTGTTATGTTATTGTTATGTAATAGCAATGCGCTAAAGTTCTCTGACAAAGTGGTCCTGACTGAACTGACGAAACTGAGCAGCACGGCCACCGCAGGTTAGCAGACATGGCTGTATCATCCCAGACTTGGTAAATACTGTGTTTGTGTTTTGGGATGTGTTCAGGGCACACAGAACATTAAAGGTAGCTTATCATCAATGTTAAATCATACATGCATAAATCATTAGGCTGACTTTTCAATTAAGATTAAAATCCATAATGGCTGACCAGAAAAATGCACAAATTTCTTTACTGAAACATATATAGGGGAGACCGGGGCTTGTTGTCACATGAGTAAGTTGTCACATTGCAATTATCTTTGCCACCAGAGAGCGCAACTAAAAAGTGAAAAACTAGTTTTCTTTCTTGACTTGGTCAGGGGTTGTGTCCTGTCTGAGAAGAGAAGAGCACATTATGAGCTGAGATGAGCGCCAAGTAACCATTTCACACAACCAAAAGTAAAAAAAAAAAAACTATATATTTTAAAATAAGTTTCTTTCAGATAAAAATCCAAGCAGTGATACATGTGGACTTGTTAGAGAAGAGATTAAGGCATCCTGTACTGTGCAGTCATTGTTCTGTTTGAAGCTAACTTTAAACTAGAGCTAGAATTAGCAAATATGGTAGTTTGGGGCAACATGTCTCAGTCATTTTGGGGTTAGTTGTTGTTTAAAAGGGATTAAAATTAACAGAGAGTCTGCTTATTAGCAATTGTCATATTGGAATTTTGACTTTATTTTTACAGACAAAAAGTGGTTTAAAGGAGAAGAGAAAGCAAGAAAACATGGTTTACAAAAGAAAAACAAAACATGGCAGTGCAGTACCTGGCGTGATGCTGAGGGCAGTCAGACAGGTGACCCGAGCTAATAAATCAATCTGGAGTACAATAAAGGACTTTTTTATCAACTACCATACTTTGTTGTACCATGTTGCATAATATTCTATGTTAACGTTTGTTCAGTGGCTATGTTCAACAATTTTTTCTAGCTCAATGATAAACATTTTCTGTGCCTGACTTTGATGTTCACTTTCAAGTAAAAAATGAGAACAACAATAATTTTGTCCTTGTTTTATTAGCTGTAAAATCCACTGTGACATCTTACCCCATGTAGTGAGACAACTAACCCGATGGTGGGGCAACATGTCACATGTTAACTCTCTCTATTTGATTGCTTATAACTCTACACTGACACAAGATATGGAAATGACATGAATATGAAATATATACCTGAGACTTTGGTCTTTCATCTTCTACACATTTTGTTTATATATGATGTATTGATTTCAAGATATATATGAAAGTGTAGAAAGTGCGACAACCATCCCCGGTTTCCCCTACTCAGTAAATCAAAAACTGCAGGAGATCCTATCCATCCTGTTTTTCTGCTCTGTTACAACCTTATTATATAGCCATTCTACCAGTTTAAGAGAAATACATTAAATAATGAGTGTGTGTTTGTGCGTAATGGCACTTTTCTTATATTGAATGATTTTTATATAGTCGGTTTATACTCGGTCGTTTGGGGGAAGAGGCTCGGAGTAGAGCCGCTGCTCCTCTGCATTAAGAGGACTCAGATGAGGTGGCATGAGGGCATCTAGTCAGGATGCCCCCCGGACGCCTGGCTAGTGAGGCGTTCAGGGCACGTCCAACCGTTAGATGACCGCGGGGAAGATCCAGGACATGCTGGAGAGAGTACGTCTCTCAGCTGGCCTGGGAACGCCTCGGAAAAAGTGGATGAAGTGGCTGGAGAGAGGGAAGGGAGAGGGGCTTCTCTTCTCAGGCTCAGGGCTTTGCCTCGAAGTGAAATCAGCAAAAAGCTTTTATCAACGCTTGTTTCCACCAGGGAGTGGCCCAAAAGTGAGACTACAAGCAGTGATCATCTCTATAAAACTGAGCTTCATGAAGGCAAGAATTTATCGACCTTGTTTCCATTAGGGAGGGGTGTGTAAATCTGTAAGAGCACAAATCAGACATTTTTGAAACAGACATGTACATTAAAAAAAACTTACATAATTGCGCTGAAGCTCCTATCGTGAACGCAGTCAACAACAGTAAAATCCACATCTTCAAATCTAGTGAGAGAGTGTTTGCAGCCATGACCGTCCGCCCGTCCTGTGACTCCTCTCCTTGCTCTTAAGGAGAGCTGCCTCCTGCCCCCTCCCCGCCCCTTTTCTCACCCTGTAGACTTGTACCGGAAATTATGGTCAAGCTTGTTCTGAGTCACACAGCTTAGACCCCGCTGTTTGGGAGGTATAACAGACTCCAATTCTGGCATGATGAATGACTCAATTGAGTTTGAGTGATCAGCTCATGATAACTATCCCCTCATGAAAACTACTGCTCAGAAGCTGGTGCACATCCTGGTTTAGGGTCATATTCAGGACCCTTGTTTAAGGTTTCATTACTCTGTTTGGTACAGTTTTAAAGGAGACCCTTTTTTCGTTAAAGTCCACTTGTGAATCACTCTGTCAAACACAGAAGAAATTTTGGCTCTTTAAGCAATTAGTGTATTTTTTATTATTTTAGCCATGTGACATCTAGGAACCACTAACGCAACTCTCAGTCTGCTCTCAGTTGTTATATTTTTAACATGCTGAACACTATAGGTCCTTTAGGCTGCTGAGGCTTTAATTCCAGCAGGTAAAGAAGTGAAGCAAGGAGCTAGCTGAGTGTGAGTGACAGGCGGTGGTATAATCAGAGCCAGTGTTATTGCTCTAGTGTGTTCAAAACACAAGGAATATGACTCAAGTAGCATTGCTGTCAGTGTATAAAATTTAAATCACACTTATCAATGGAGATGGTGAGGAATAAATATAAACCATGTAAGTGTTGTATTGCCATTGAATTTATTCAAATAATCACCATCAAACTGTGATCACTTGTCCAAGCTTTTATTAGTTTGAAGTAGACTACAGCGTATTTTGCTTTCATCTTATTGTAAACATAGTTGTGCAAACAGAGTCTCTGGTAGTGCAGTCTGAACAACAATTAACTTAATTCAATTGTTATACAAACAGCCTTGAGCAAGTAAGTCAGATCTGCATTTTCTGCAGATATGCATTTTTTTTTCTTGCAATCACACCTGGCGAGTAAAGCGACCACATTCCTCAGAGAGACTTGGCTTTTGTCTTCAGTGTAACAAAAGTTTGCTGAGTTTTAGTAAGGCTGATTAAGATCCATAGTTGATGTTGTGCTGTGTTTGAGGAACTAAAATACTCAGAGACCGAATTATTTTGCATCAAAGTAATGATGATTTTTGATTGTAAACTGTAATTAGAGACAAGCATGCAAACAGTCCACTATGAAAGCAGCCACAGATGAAGTGCATCATTTGTGACTGACATAAGCTGTTTTCAGCACAAAGTGCTAACTCCTGGAGGTCTTTTCTTGGGTTGCTCAGAATTTTTTTTTTTTTCCAGTTTTGGAAACAGCATAATACACATGTGAGAAGTAGATTCAAGTAATGAAGAGGGTGGTACTGCAACAACAGCGCCCAGTGTGAAGCTTGGAACTGATTTATGCCATGGCATGGTACCTACCTCCTTGTGTTAGTGTGCCTCTAGTAACAGCAGCTTCGTACTGGGCTGTAGCTCCATCTTCATTGGTAAACGTCTCTCCTCACAGTGGCAAGAACTCTGCTGTCTATTTCTTTGTGGCTGCACTTTAGAAACTTAATGAGCCTCATTCCGCTATTCATCATATGACATGCCCATGGAGAAACCTGCTCATTCATATTCCTGTAGACATGTGCAATACGTGTCTCCTGGTTCCTGTTCACTGTATTGGATTTTGTGCAGGCACCTGTATGTGTGTGTGTGTGTGTGTGTGTGTGTGTGTGTGTGTGTGTGTGTGTGTGCGTTCGCGTGTGTTTAAATATACCAAGGTAATTTTCCAATCTGTGGCTTACTGTGGGCCCAGCACTTAACTGTAAAAATAGCAGCCTTTTAATATACCTTCATTGAAAAACAGGGCAAAGGCTCTACTCGCGCTTTCACAGGCACATTGAGCAGGAGAGTAGATCAGGGGGTCACAGACTGAGGTGATATGTCTGAAGCCTGATTTACCTGATGGTGGAGTTGTACAGTACATATTTAAGTGAGCTACTATGACTGCAGGGCAGACTGCACTGAATTAATGAACTCAGATACTGTAAGTGCAGGCTGTTCTCCTCTTCTAGTTCACTTGCAGCTTGTTGAGGTATTGATCATGTATTATTCTGTATCAGGGTGTGCACTGAAATAGCTACAGAAAGTCAATTTTCTATTCCCCTCTGTCTATGCAAAGACAGAGGGCCTGATCTACTAAGTGTTGAGTTAAAGGTGTGGTAGGCAGGATCTGAGGAAGTGCAAGTTTTGGGGAGAAATCTTCATTGTAAACACTACCCCTCCCAACCAGTATTCCCCTCAACTCCTCCTCTCCCCTCCCTCTCTGCTCCAGCAAGCCCCGCCCACAAACAGACACTCCTGCTCGCTCGTATCGTTTCAATTAAATTCAGATATAATGTAGTTAAATACAAAAGATAACTACAAATGGAGCCCAGTCAACGTGAAAGTAAAAAGCATTGGTGCTACTGTAGATGCCAACAGATTACCAGCAAACAAAATGTTTGCAGGACTTCTACAACTAGGATAAAGTGACATAGTCCAGGACCTGAGGTAAACAGTTTAGCGGCGCTACAACACGCAGCAGGTCTCGTTTGACAAGAAACGCTTCTGTTACACTTGGCTTACTTTGTTAAAGCAGTTTACCTGTCCAGCAGAAAGGTTACAGGGTTCGTAAGATCCTGAAGCATCCCCCATCATTGTTGTACTGGCTTCTTAGCTCTTGTATAGTAATAGTAGCTTCAAGAAAGACAGTTCCACTACTGATTGTGCAGTTAACTTCTTTTTTTATTATTTTGAACTACACTTGAGATTGCAAAAAGCAAAATAAGAAATCAAACTCAAATTTCAACCGCTCCTTAGTGACAAAAGCACTATGTAATTCCTTAAGCATCTTGAATAAGTGCGTCCACTCTAAAATTACTGCCTCCATAGTTACATTACAGCAAAAGCCAATAGACAGGCTATTATCTGGATGAAAGTCACTTAAACAAATGTGAACCCAAAACTTCAGTATAACTTTTAGAATTAAATTTTACTCACTGTGAAATGTGGCTTTTATCAAGGTCGTTTAGCCTTCTAACACACCGTCTATACTCAGAACTAGTTCAGGCACGTTGTGTGGGTAGGAGAGGGAACTTAAAGTCAATGTTGAGAAAAATTAAGTTATCAAGGTTAAGTTTTTTTTTTAAGTTACAACAACTTGAATTTTGTTTTAAACCCACTAACAATGAAATTTGAGTATAAATTGTTTCCAAAATAAATTTGAAGAAATTACCAACATAATTATTTGATCACAACTTAAAAAATAAACTTTGCGATTTATAAGGTTTATCTGAATTAACTAATTACAATTTTTAACTTGCGTCCATGTAATAAATCAAGTGGTGTTAAAAGGCCCTCAGAGTTACTTTTTAGAGTGCAGCTCGAGATCTTTCCATATTTTTAATCCAGTCTTCCTTGTTAAATAAAGACAAACACCAGACCTGGTGTGGCGTGTGGTGTATTTTGAGGACCCAGAAGCAGACACAGAGGCAGATAGCAAATTAAATTAAAGATGTAATAAAGATGATGTGTGGGCTGTTGTGTGGGCTGGAGACGCTGTGGAAAAACAGAGGAGGTGGGAGTGAGACAACATGCAAAAATTCACAGGGAGCGAAAAGTCACAAGCACTTATCCGAAAAGAAGACCAGGAGACGCGTCTGTACCACTCAGGAGTGAAGACAATACTCAGGCGAAGAGACTGAGGGCTGCTGGCTTCTTAAACAGAGTAAGCCAGACCAGGAAAACAAAGAAAAACAGGAAGTCCTATCAAAATAAAACAAGAGGAGGAGGCGTCTCACCACACCTGGCACATATGTTATTATCCTATTAAAGAGGAAATATGCAAAATCAGACATGTACAGTGGAAATAATAATTATTTGATCCCCTGCTGATTTTGTAAGTTTGCTTAATACAAAGAAATGAGCAGTCTATAATTTTATAGTACTTTTATTTGAACAAGCACGGACAGAATATCAACAGAGCAGTCTAGAATTAAACATTATATTAGGGTTAGTCATTAAGTTGTATTTGATGGAGTAAAATAAGTATTTAAGATAAGAAGAACTTTATTGATCCCTGAAGGGAAGTTAAATGATCCTCAACAAACCAGCATGAATCACAGTATACCTCTTGATTTAAAAGAGCACCCAAAAGTAAAAAAAACCTTTGAACGCTTCCTTTGCTGCTTTTGACTTGCTTTTACCTTCTCACTACACTTTAAGTCCAATGAAAACAGATTACTTTATTTTGGATTTATGCCCATGTTAAAATAACTGTGCAGAGATGTTGTTGCTACCATTTCTCAAGAACTATTAATTTTAAGTTGGGTGGGGGGGTTTACTGGAAGTTCACTGACTCATTGAACTTTGTGTGTGGGTGTTTTTTGACATTGTTTTCTAAGTGCAAAGGTGTTAGTGTAACTGTGTCAACGACTTGAGTAAAGATAGAGCTTTACCACAGGTGTTTCTGCAAAGCATAGCTTCCTGTTTGTATTCGTGCACACTCAAGGTGAAAGTCTGCAGTTTTATGAGTATGTCAAATTAGGTGTTGAATCAGGCCAAAGTTACCGCAGTCAGATCATAGGCAGATACAAACAGTTTCGTTTTTAAAGAATAAGAACCCAGTAAAGCAGGTAAATCACTTCTTCTGTGTGATCTGTCACAATATGGGGCCGTTAGGAAGCAAAAATTATCTGAGAAAAAAAACAAACTGCTGCAAACGTGGCTGTTAACAAACACAGAGCAGTTAAGACAGAAAAAATCTGTACTGTGATCAGATCATACTGTGAAAGAAGATATGACGCACTTAGCATGAGCATGTTTCTTTTTTTGAATAGAATTCAATCATATTTAAGGACTCCATGCCTCTGTGTAATACAACCGCATGGCTTGAAAACGGAGGGGTAACCCTAACCATTACCCACATAATTCAACTGTCAAGTGTAGGATAAAATATCATCTCTACAACTGGCCCTTAAAACAGTCAGTTTTCCTACCAGTAGATGAGAGTTCATCAACCAGCTCAATATCTGTAGCTGCCTCATCTCTCCACTATCTGCTGCTGTGTGACTTAAGCTGAAAACCACCCAACACACATCCTGTGGGTTTTCAGTTCAACCTGACTCTGACATATGAGAGTCAACATCATTGACATACTGGCTGGTGTCTGAAGAGCAGTAGAGAGAATGTATGTCATTAAAATGTATAACAGACATTAAACTGTAAGGTATTCCACTTGTTATATGCATAAATATATATATATGTCCTTTTTTGTTATGATCCTAGTTCGCAACAAGGCATACAGACAACTCAGGAAACACAGAGCAACAACTTGAATTTTGTTTTAAACCCACCAACAATGAAATACTCTTAACCTTCTTAGAGAAGAAATGATGCATTTAGCATCGGCATGTTTTTTGATTGAACAGGATGGGTGTTGGGTGCTCAACACACATCCTGTTCAATCTGACCTTTTTTGTCATGATCTTATCTTGCAACAAGGCATACAGACAACTCAGGAAACAGAGCAAAATGCAACTCTGTATTGGAGGTTAAGAGCGAAAGCCAGACAAACAATGAAAAAAGCAGAAAAGCAAAGCTGGAAAGACTTTTGCTGTAGACTAGGGCCACAGACAGGTGTGGCCCTAGTTATAAAATGACAGGTGCATAGAAACAAACAAATATACCACAGTAGCACAGTAGATTGAAATGCGTACATTATTCAACTCCATTTCCAGGTGTTTAAACTTCTAACTGCATTTCTGATCGGCCATTCAACCCAATATTGAAAATCATGCTTAGTAAAACCTAATCAAAATTGTTTAAATTAAAAAAAGTGATGTAACAAAATAAATATTACAATAACCTGTAATTAATGGCTATAGCAAGTTTGTTACAAAGAGAAATATGACAACCAACAATCAGCATGCAACCAAGGAAACATTTATTAGTGCACACACTGTGACTGATGTAATGATACCAGCCATGTTTTACCAAACAGAGGTTATGGCTGAAGAGTAATGTGGCTTTTAAGTGGTTTATTTAAAACAGGTATACAGGTATCAATAATGATTGTAATCTGATCCACTTGTTTTTAACAACTTTGATAAAGTGAAATCAGACGCGTCTAACTGTTAAATATCAGCACACTCTCTTTCTCCCCTAATGAATGAAAGTCATCTTCTTCTTGTCTACAGTGTAGAGGACAAATGAGGGCCTCAGGGTACCAGTCCACTTATTGTTCCTGAGCTGACACACAAGCAGGGGAATATGGGTGTTCCCCTTCCCAGAGGTTTAAGATGTCAGGACAGTGCATGGTGTGCTGAGGTGGACCATTGTCCCCGGTCCCAGGGGCGGAGGAATCAAGATGCAGGTGGAGGAGGAAGGCTCTCCGACAGAGGTTTGACTCTGTTAGGAAAGAGAAGGTGAGAGATCCAGAGGAGGGGGGCTCACTCTATCTCCCCAGAAATAAAATCTAAGACCACCAGGGGAAGGAGAAATATGTGGTAAGTGTTTCTCATCTTTTTTTTCTTGTTTGTTTTCTTTATTCATATTATTGACTCATGTTTTAGTGCTAGCTCTCTGTCAGTTTCATAAATCTGTTTGACCTTATTATAACCAGAGCTATGATTCCCTTAATAACCATACAATCTTTTTAAAAAACTAACTGCTGTTAACTTTCGGTCTAAAGATTCTTGTCATGTGAGTTTCTCATTGAGTCTTTTCCACCTTGAAGAGATTCTGTTTTGCATAAGCACCCGTTCACTTAAAATGATCCCACTTATTGCATTGCTGCCATTTCAAAGTACCAACAAATTAACTCAAACCTTGATATGATCTTGCTTTACCTTTTCAAACTTTGTTATTCATTGTAAAATCTTCATATTAGTGTGTTTGTCCTTGGCATTCTAGCCAGAGCAGAAAATCACAGCTGTGTAACATTGGCTTCCTCATAACTGTTACAGTCTGTCCCTCACTGAATCAGCTCTGGAGCAATAGTAAAGCTTAAACCGAGTTTGTGGTTTGTGGTCAGTTGACTTTGTCCTTTTTTCCTTAATATGGTTGAACTATTTTCTTCCTTCCTCTTTTAGCTCTATTTTGGGCTTTTCATGTCTTTAGCCAAGATGATAGGAGAGTGGATAGAAGAGGAAATAGGGAGAGAGTGCAGTTGTGATGTTCTAGAAAAGGAAAATTTTCCTTTACTCTACAGCTTTTCCTGGTGCATTCTAATATCTCTTGCTAGTTTCTTTGGTGTTTCTCCTTTTCTTGTCTTTTTTCTGTTGGTGACTGTTTCCTGGATTGCAGGACAAGATCCAATATTGAAATATTTATTGTGTTTACAAATTTAGCATGCCAATGAAAACTAATAAAACTAAACAAATAAACAAACAAAAAAAACCCCTAGACTAAATGAAAACTAAGCATCTATCTAGTGTTTCTGTGGATTGACTTGATAAGGCCTGTGCGACTTGTGTGTCTATAGTGCTGCTCTTGCTATTTACAATTTATTACAGCTGTCAATCATAATCAAATATCTAACATAGTGTGGTGATTAGTAAGACAGCTAGTGAAAAATATTATTCAATATAATATTTGAATGTGTTGCTTCCGTCATAACTTTCTGCCAGGGGGCTTGACATGATTGGTAGTGGACAGTTTGTCATTTATGTAATGGAAGTCCAGCTTTAAGCTCTGACTGGCCTTTTAGAGGGCGTCTCCTAGGACGCAGATAATAGTCCTGGATGGCCTGGAGGAAACAGTGACATTTAGATGGTAATCCAACCAGAAAAAGAGGGACTGTTGGGGTTTTCTTGCAATTTAACTGAACTAGTTTGTGTCCTGTTTCCTTTAAAAATATTAGGATGATTGACAGGTATGTAAAATTTAAACCTGAGTACCTAAGAGTTTTCATGCATAAACATGTGATTACATTGAAAAATGAAAAAGAACAGTAACATGACTTTGTGCCAGTCTCACAAGAGCAAATAATTGAACAGGGTTATGTGGAAATAAGGAGCATTGCATTAAGTTCAGAGTCCCACAATTTACTAATTACACTCTTCTTGTCATTTGCTTTTGCACATTATAGAAGCACATCATTGTTTATTTCAGTCAGTTTTATAACCAACAAAAACTGCCAACAGGAGCAGCTTTGATAACGTTCTGTGTTGTGAATCAGGATAAACCAACAAATTCACCTGTGATACAAAAACGGCAAATACTTTGTAGTACACACTGATCCATTGTTCCTATTATTGGAATATATTTTGGGAACAAAGCACAGTAAGGAAATGGTATCACATTCTCTGTAATTAGGTCAAACCAAGGTTTGACTTCCTCTTTTAAAAAAAGAGCTGGATTGAATTTCAGACCCCATGTAATCCAACTATTCATAATCCTCTGAAATGAAGCGATTCCAAGTTGTTTTGGATTATATGTTGAGAGTACAGTTTACAAAGATGATAATGGATTCATATGGTTCTTTTCACAGGTTTTCACTCCTCTGGCTGATGAGTCTACTAGCAGGGCTGGAATACTGCTGTGCAGGTATCTTCTGTTTGGTTGACCGAATTTTTTTCATTTTTTGGTTTTGTTTTGGAAAAGCTTATTAAATTCAGTGTTTCCCATATTATTGCTATAACACTGACACATCCTGAAGGGCTGTGTTTACATTATTGTGTACTTAAGTCACATTTCCACACCTCAAAATTTACAGTACACAAGATCTGCCTTCTTATAATACTGCTCTTCCATAAACCTTTTTGTTTGTAAATGACCTTAGCTTAAATTATTTACAAATGAACACAGGGAAAGGGGTAGCAGAAAATGAATAATAAAAAGTCAGTATAAAATGGAAAAAGGCAAGATAAAAGCAAAAACTGTCATTATAACCTCCTTTGTAGTCCTGACGGATCAAACAAAGTACGGCCTTATAGGTTTAACATATTCAGTTGACCCAGTTTTATGTCAGTGTTTGTTTTTTCTCTGCAGTTGCTGATCTGAAGGACTGTGAGGCTGCAGGCAGCAAGTGCCACCCTCAGGCAGAGTGTCTGAAGGTCAACAGCAACTTCACCTGTGCCTGCCGTATGGGCTACCAGGGCAACGGTCTACTCTGCAGTGACATCGATGAATGTCTCAGTGGTCTGCACAGTTGTCACCCAAAGGCCCGCTGCAACAACACCCTGGGCAGCTACAGCTGTGACTGTATTGACGGATATGTTGGAGATGGCGCCAACTGTCAGGACATTGATGAGTGCCAAAACAAAAATGGAGGTTGCCATGGCAATGCCCTGTGTACAAACACCGAGGGTGGACGGCAGTGTAAGTGTAAAAGTGGCTTCAGGGGCAATGGCTTCCAGTGCAGTGATATTAATGAATGTGCTAGCCAAAGGACATGCCATTGGAATGCTACTTGCACCAACAACCCTGGATCTTACATGTGCACCTGTAATGCTGGATACAAAGGCAATGGAAACTACTTGTGTCTGGACGTAGATGAATGCTCAGAGACTCCACAGGTGTGCTCTTCCTCATTAGGCTACAAAGGATGCAAAAATCTACCTGGCAGTTATCGCTGCACATGCAGCAGTGGCTATGAAAGTAATGGACGGAGCTGTGTGGACATTGATGAATGTGCCAACAATATCTGTAGTCTGTATGCAGACTGTGTAAACACCATGGGGTCATACCGGTGTGCCTGCACTAATGGATTTGTAGGAAATGGATTGACATGTGCAGATATTAATGAATGCAGTGAAGACAATCAGTGTGACCGTAATTCTGTTTGCATAAACCGGCTAGGGAGTTATGAGTGCTCTTGTCTGGGAGGGTTTGTAGGCGATGGTCGACTGTGTAAAGATATCAATGAATGTGACACACCAAACATTTGCCCTTCTGCCACAACTTGCGTCAACACTGCTGGATCATATTTCTGCGATTGTGGAAGTGGCTTCATTTTCAATAACTCAAAATGTCAAGATCTGGATGAGTGTATGGCAGGCCGCTGCAGCCCTTATGCTGAATGCACAAATTCACCTGGCGCCTTCTCTTGTCAGTGTGCAGCTGGGTACCGGGGAGATGGCTTCACCTGTGAGGATGTGGACGAGTGCTCACTAGCTAAGCAGTGCCACATCAATGCCCTGTGTACTAACCTCCCTGGCTCCTATAACTGCACCTGCAGGGTAGGTTATTCTGGAGATGGGGTGATCCAATGCAGTGATGTGAACGAGTGCCTGGTAAACAACGGGGGCTGCAGAAACAGAGCTACATGTCTAAACAACCAAGGTTCCTTTTCCTGCTTGTGTGAGTCGGGCTTCATCTTGATAAACAAAACTCTTTGCCAGGATGTAAATGAGTGTGAGGAACTGGACAACCCCTGTGGAGTGAATGAAGAGTGTAAGAATGTCGATGGATCATACCAGTGCCCCTGCCAAGTTGGTTACTTCCGCCCTGCCAGCAACATGGACTGTGTTGATATGGACGAGTGTAAGGACAACCCTTGTCATGTCAATGCAACATGTCTCAATACCATCGGGTCACACATTTGCACCTGTAAGCGAGGCTTTTTAGCAAACGGCACCCAGTGTGAAGATATCGATGAGTGTTCTGCAGAGGGTACATGCCATCCACGAGCTCTGTGCACCAACTTCATAGGGGATTTCTTTTGCTCCTGTCAGCAGGGTTTTAACGGTGATGGTTTCTCCTGTAAGGATGTGGATGAGTGTGCCCTCTCTGATACTATTTGCCCAGGCTTCTCAAAGTGTATCAACTCCCCAGGTGCTTATGTCTGCTCATGTTTGAATGGTACTGTGGCCTTCAATGATGCCTGTGAGGAACCCAGTCCATTGTGTGACCCTGCTTGCCACAATCGTGGTCTGTGCCACCAGTCACCTGCTGGATACCAGTGTGCTTGCGACCTTGGCTACATTGGGGATGGGATTACTTGCTCTGATATAGATGAGTGCCAGAGGGAAAATATTTGTCCTGAAAATGAAACTGAGTGTGTTAATATTCCAGGATCATTTTCCTGCGTGTGCAAAAAAGGCTACGCTCTCAATGGAACAAAATGTTTTGGTAAGACAAAGTTCCTTTATCCTCACTTTCACAGACATTTGATCAAAGGAAGTTAAACTCTTTCCAAACTCTGTTACCCTGCTCACATCTGTGCCAATGAGTGTACGGTGGGAAACTGGACTAAGATTTTGATATCAAAAGTGAAGCCAGTGTAGATGTATAAATCATTGACACATCATTTACTGATAGGAAACCTTTACAGATTCATAAATTCATTTATGTGGCGGTTTGTCACTGGGTTTGTGATTTATTTTCATGGTAAAATTATTCACCCTGAAGTAGGGCAACACTACATGACATATTTGAGACAGATTTTACAAAAAGCAGAACTTACCAGTGTACCCTCTTAGCTGCCAAGGACCATAGTCTGCTCTGTATGATACTATGCAGTATGATAGTATACGATTAATTTATTATACAAAAACATGTTGAGGTTGACAGGCTTTAATCCAGGATTATTTGCTGTACATAGATGCATACAATTTAAGAAATGTGGAGTTACACTTTCTGCACGATCCTCTCAGTGTAGATGTCATCCTGGATTAAATTCAAGAGATCAACCCAGCCATAACTGTAAGCAGCCATAACAATTTAGCCATTGTACACAGTAGATCAAGCAGCTTATTAGCACTTGAAGTCACAGACACAAAAACAGCCCACTCTGAGCAGAACTGACACAGAAGGGTTCATAGGCATGCCAATGCAAACACATATTAAAGAGAATCACCATGTTTCTCACTTGATTTAACGCACAAAGATAATGTTTTTAATAAGTTTATGGTCTCAATTATATGACAGAGTATTAGGGACACATTAAGAAAAAAGAAGACTTCGAGATCAAAGTCGTTAAGTTACGAGAATAATGTCATTACTAACGACAATTAAGTCGTAATAAAATCAGTATGATACTTGTGTGGTGCTGATGTGCCAAAAGATTAAGTATCTCCTTGTTTGAGAAACCTATATCAAAGTACATTTTCATGAAATGCTCCATGGCTCTCATTTTAACAACTGCCACCTTAACAACAGGTTAGAATACAGGGACTTTATTCTGACTTTATTCTCGTAAGAAATTACTTTATTACGACTTTATTCTTGTAACAATTTTTATTTTGACTTTATTCTTGTAAGTAATTTATTACGACTTTATTCTCGTAAGTTTACGACTTAAATCTCAAAGTCTTAATTTTTTTTCCCCTTAATGTGGCCCTAATACTCTGTCATACAATTGAAAGTTCTGAGTCTCAGTATTTATAGCAAGATGTTAAGTTTATAAGTTTTCATCCACTCAGAGTCAACTTGATTATTGAAGTTTTATGTTTCAGGAAAGAGCTCCTCTCAATAAGTTACAACCACAGTTATCTATCAACCAAACTGCAGGCAAAGTAAAACGTATATAACCCTTTTATATAATTATGGTTAGCACTGGCTCCAACAGAAGGAGATTGAAAATGGTTATGCACAGGACTGTTTTAATGGATCATGTCATGGTGGCTCTCTCAGTCTTTGATCTCTGGGATTTAAATGAAACAGTCATGAACATGACGTAAAGAATAACTTAAAACCTAGAGTCAATGTTTGATAAATACACATTTATTATCCATGACCACAAATGGTGCAGCCATAGACACTGAGTGACTGTGTACTGGCCCTCTCCACAAAGTGTTTAGCTACTTCTTATATGGCCACTTCATGACCTCAATCCACCCACTAAATTCAGATCTGAAAGTGGGTTAGTGTTTGTCAAAGTCCATTTATTTAGGTATCTCTGGTGATCTTTGGTGGCCAATTCCTTGAGTAGCTTGATAAATTATTGTACTCTGCTTGACTTCCCATTACCAAACCACGTAGTCTTTGTCTACATATTTGTTAAACTTGGCTTAAGTAAAAAATGGAAACCCGAAACCCTGAGAAGGATCTTTTCCAGATGTGTTGAACCTAAACTGATCCATGTTTCTCTGTTTGTCCTAACCTCCCTGCACATTTGTCCAAACTCTCTCTAGATGTAAACGAGTGTGAGGCGGGGCAGCAGGAATGCAGTGATTTCGCCCAGTGTGTCAACACAGTTGGCAGCCATTCCTGTTTCTGTCTTAGTGGATTTTCAGGGGATGGAAAGGACTGCTCTGGTATGTATCACTTCATCATTATAAACATTTATTCATTTGCCTATTTCTCCTTGATAAGTGGACACTTCTTTTAGCTTACTTTTAGCACTATTTAAGGGTGTCTTTTCCTGACACTGTCCCATTTTGGATAAATTATAGACATTGATGAGTGCCAAGTCCAAAATGGAGGATGTCATCCTGCTGCCATCTGCACTAACACACCTGGGTCTTTCTTCTGTGCCTGCCCACCTGGCATGGAGGGCGATGGTTTTGACTGCCAGGATGTGAATGAATGCGAGCAGGACTCTTCCCTGCCGCACAACTGCAGCTCTCAGGCTTTGTGCCACAACACAAACGGGTCCTACACCTGTCAGTGCCTGGATGGATACAAGGGTGATGGTTTTGTTTGTGCTGACGTGGATGAATGCCAGCTGTTGACAACGTGCAGCAGGAACATGACCTGCATTAACACCCCTGGTTCATTTGCATGTTCGTGTATCTTAGACCTGGAGTATGAAAAGGGTACATGTGTCACTGAAGAAACTTGCCTAAATGCAAGCAAAGTCTGCCACCCTGTTGCCAAGTGTCAGCCATATCAGGGCTCCTTCTACTGCCAGTGCAAAGATGGTTATGTGGGAAGTGGCACAGACTGCTTGGATGTGGATGAATGTGACGCATCAAAAGATCAAGCGTGCCCCGCCTTCTCCCACTGCATTAACACCAATGGCTCCTACACCTGTGACTGCTGGGAAGGGTTTGAAGACAATGGGACACATTGTCAGGATGTGGATGAGTGTGTGACTGGAAACTTCACCTGCCCTGACAACAGTACCTGCACTAACACAGAGGGGAGCTATGACTGCACTTGTGTTCAAGGCTTCTCGGGAAACAGATCTCTGTGTTTGGATATAGATGAGTGCTCTCTTGGCCTCATCCAATGTCCCAACTTCTCCAACTGTCAAAACATGGCTGGATCTTTCTTTTGTGAATGTTGGAAAGGTTACCAAGGAAATGACACAGTCTGTGAGGATATAAATGAATGTCTACATAACTCTACTTGCCCTAAACATAGCACTTGCATCAACACAAACGGAAGCTTCTCATGTGTTTGTGATGCTGGGTTTTCCAGCGTTGATGACAAGTGTGTAGATGTTGATGAATGCAGTAACACAGGCTCTGAGGATGTATGCACCAACGGCACATGTATGAATGCTATCGGCTCATATTACTGTGATTGTAACAAAGGATTCAGGAGTAATGGGACAGAGTGTGTGGATGTAGACGAATGCTCGGACTCCTTTAATTCTTCTTTGTGTCAGCCCTATTCTACATGTGTCAACATCCTTGGGTCCTACCGCTGTCCCTGTAATGAAGGGTTTGTACTAAATGGTACAGAGTGTCAGGATGTGGATGAGTGCCATGACCCTAATGGCTCCTCTTGCCCTGAGCACTCCTTATGCAACAACACAGCAGGGTCCTTCTTCTGTTCATGTTTACCTGGGTACAAGTCTGTTAACTCCAGCTGTGAGGATGTCAATGAATGCAGTGACAACAACACCTGCCGTTTTGACCAGGTGTGCACCAACCTGCCAGGAACATTTAACTGTGCCTGTTCGCTGGGGTATCATGAGGAAAACGAGGCATGTGTCGACACCAATGAATGTGAGGCTTTACCATGCCACCCCTTGGCACGATGCTGGAACATCCCTGGCTCCTTTTCTTGTCACTGCCCACTGGGATTTGCAGGAAATGGCTCCTGGTGCAAAGATGTGGATGAGTGTGTGGCCCTGACCAAACCTTGTCACCACCTTGCTCGCTGCCACAACACACCAGGGTCATTTGTATGTGTGTGTAACCCTGGCTATATGAGTATTGGACAGTTGTGTGCAGATATTGATGAGTGCCTGCAGGACAACGGGCAGTGCCACCCTGCTGCTGTCTGCTCCAACAGCGCTGGAGGTTTTGAGTGCTCCTGCATGCAGGGCTGGAGTGCCACCAAAGACAGTGGTCATAGAAAAGAAGGATGCATTGATGTGGATGAGTGTGCATCACCCAAAACATGTCCTGGACAAACATCCTGCACCAACCTGCCAGGAACTTACAGCTGTTCCTGTCCCCAAACCAGCACAATGTGCAGAATGATGATTCAGAATGGTTAGCTAAGTCTATGTGAATTCTATATTTAAACTCTTTTTATTGATCCAGTACATACATTTCTCCAACATTGAAGTCACACATAAAATCTTAAATCTGAAATCAAATAAGTTAGCTTTGGTAGAAATTGAGCTAAGTCACTCATTTTCTAATGACGATGACTATCTTTAGACTAACTATTGATGTTTTCCTTTTAACAGAGAGCAACGTGTACCCATTTGGAGCAGAGGTTGGCGATGCAGCGGTACAGGTCGATGCAGAAGATGGAAATTCCCCGTACATCAATCCACCAATGGGTTTCCCCTTTTTGGGAAAACTGTACGACAGAGTTTATGTGAGTTTCTCTGTTTATTTATCCAACTCTTACTCATCTCTGTAGAGGCTACATAACACTTTATTGATACAGAGATTATAAGCATTTTGTTAATTTTTGGAAATTACTCAGCAATTATAATAAGAATAATAACTTTATTTATATAGCACTTTTAAAAACAAGAGTTTACAAAGTGTTTTAACATGCAGGAAAACAAAGAAGATAAAAACAACAAACAACAAGAGAATGCTTGAGGGAAATGTCACATTACTGGCAATAAATGAATAAAATAAAATAAATTAGACCATTATTATGTTTTTTAGCCAAAGTCACGTTACCTGTGTCATTTTCAAGGCCTTTTCTTCTGCAAAGCTCCACTAGCTCATTAGCAATTCACCTCTGAGTCGTGCAATTTCCCACTTATTTTCTCATGATATGTTCTGTAGCATCAGAAAATTTCCACAAGAATATGTAGACAAAAAGAGGAACACGATTTTGATCATAGTGGGTCTTTACGTCTTCAAATAATTAAGCGAAGAAGATATTTTATCTCGTCTGTCCGTGATGTGTAGATGCAGAAAGAGACTTAGTGACACTGACTTGCTTGTAAAATAGAAATTTATTACTACACCAGTATCAAACAAGCACCACGGACCAATGATGTCCTTCTCTCAGATTTCAGTTTGTGCTCCTCTAACAGAGGGTTTTGAGGTGCAGGTCCTCCATCTCCGTATCTCTAATTTACATTCCTTTACTATCTGGCTTTGATGTGTGACCCGTAAAGCACCAAACAGAGATATTTGATCCATGATCCATTAAGGACACACAACAAACACCTTAAAGGCTTATCTGGGGATTTCTTAGAGACATTCCAAGGCAGCATAAAGCTTCACCCCATACTGTTTCCCTACAGATACTTCATTGTATCTACTATTAATTGTTTAAACTTAATTTGCACATAGTTACAATTGTTGTGAAGGTAAGGGAATTTATGTTGGTAAAACAGACTGTGAAGACAGGGAGGGTATGCTCTGAATGTTTCCCTCTGCTTTCAAGTCTGTGCCCCAGTTGGGCCACCCCATCAAACAGTCTGGATCCACCCTGGTCCACTGTACATATTCTGCATTTTATTTCTTTAGACGGTTATTTGATACTGTGTAATGAAGCCTACATACTTAAAAAAATAAATAAACTATGGCAGACATGTTTTTGAAGTTTTTTGGCTTTGCAGAGGTAACATGAAATCGAACCTCTCATATTTGACAGAAATACACATTTTGCTAGTGGCTCATAACTGGATCAAAATCAAGCTCAGTGATGTCTGGCTGATATCAAATCTGTATCTTCTCCTTTTCTTTCACAGTTTTCTGATAACGGTCTTGTACAGTTCCAGTCCATCACTGAGAATGAGCAGTACCTGCTTCCTGCTCCTACAGCTGGTGATTTTCCAAACAACATGAATGTTTCTCTTTTGGCTGTGTTTTGGGATGATGCCGACCTCACCCGCGGGAATGGACAGTTGCTCTATCAGGTAAAAGATGGTCTGTTAAGACTCAATATTACACTACAGTCATTTATTCTTTTGTAAAAAAACAATAAAATATCTTTATCTTTGGTTTGCAAAGTTTCTATTTCATTTATAATGATTGATGTTATCGGGAGTCTCCTCCTCATATATTTTTTCTTTTTAGGAGTATCACGAGGAAGATAAGTCTGATGTCTACTCCCAGGTAGTTTTCAATCGCACGGCAGATGAAGTAACAAAGTTTGAGGAGCGCAAAAACAGGCCAGCCTTCAGCCCTGCCTGGATACTCAAGATCACATGGGACCATGTGATGCCTGTTTCCTACCAGAAGGTCAACGCCTCAGAGGTAAAATTGATGTTTCTATCATGCCAATCCTTAGCTTTAGGAACTTACCCATGCATGTAGCTGTATCACAGAGTTCTGAAAAAAGATGTATCAGATTATTTCTTTGTACGACTCTCTGTGCTGATTGTGCAGTGTGGAGAAAACACTGGAGTTCTTTTGTTGCACTCTGGCGCCACCTTAAGGCTGTTCTGTATCCAGAACTCTGGACTTCAGTAAAACTGCTATGCACAGGTCTACAGGTCAACAACAACAGCAACAACAAAAAAACATATCTTTTACTTGTATGGGAGGTCTTGTCACTTTTTTGTAATCTAATCTGTGTAACCTTGCAAAGCTATGTTGTGATTTAAATTCAGTAACAAGGACAGTGATGTATGGTGAACAGAGACACAAATCTTTTGCTTTTTTCTTTGTTTGTTTATTTATTTTTTCTTTTGGTACTTTGTAAAGGACTAAATCATGATTGAAATCAGTATCAAAGAGCAAATATTTAACTAGCTACAGATGTGGTTACACCAAAGCATATTTTCAGGATCATAGAAGCCTACATTGAATCTTGATACTGGAGTTCTATTTTATGCTTATCTTAAGGTAGTTTCTTTCTTTTTAATTTTAAAGGAATATTATGTCTTTAGTTACAGCACAAACTGAACTCTGTTGACTCTTAATGATCTATTGAAGCAAATATCGGCAATAAGATAGATCATTTTTTTCAATACCATTCTTTTCTAATCCTGGAACCCTGTTGCGGGGTAGCTGTCAGACATATCAATTTGCTGCACCCAATAAAAACAAACTTTTTTTCTTTTCCTTTTTTTTACATTTTCAGTGGAATAACATCTTGATTTTTACACATTTGACTGTTAAAAGACAGTGGGATGAGAATTTTTAATTAAAAGATAAAACACAATCTGGAAAAGTACATGGCATGTAATGAGAAAAGGTATGAGACTTTGTAAAAAAACAGTATCAAGCAAAAACTACCTTACAGGAGCCTTAATTGAAAACATTTATGGTATACTTTTTCAAATGGTAAGTTAGATCAACACAAAGACATAATTAGTTGTGGCAAAAGTGTTTTAAATGTACTTTATAGTATTAAAGACAGTACCCAGAAGTACTTATATGTATTAGATAAAGTTTCCTTTCCTGGTTTTCAGGTCAACACCTTTCAGTGTATCCTCGCCACTGATGGAGCACGCTCCTTTGCCCTCCTGAGATTCTCAGAGATGCTCTGGGGTCCTGGTCAGAGGAAATACCATGATGCTCTTATCGGTTACACTGATGGAAAAACCTCCTTCAGGGAGCCCACTGTCCCTCCTGGAAACCTCTTTGGGCCCGGGGGCAGATACAGACCCCATCAGGTGAAAGGCGTCATGGGAAAGTTGGGTCAGCAGGTGTATGATCTGACAGGACGGACAGGCTTGGACATAGATCCCAGGATCAGATGCCAGGCGTGGGCCATGAAGGAGCCCAACCCTGCCGAGTGGACAGAGCAGCTGTTTTCCTGTCCCTGCACCCGCACACAGGCTCTGGAAGATCTGTCTTTCCTGCAAGACACGGCAGATCAGGGGTCGAGGGTCAAGACCCTTAGGGGTCAGAGGTGGGGGAGCACAGGAGGACACGTTTTCAGGTCCATCCTGTCCAACAGACACGGTTCAGGGAAGAGGTGTGTGTATGAACCGGATGGACCACTGCTGGCTGGTTTCAGCGAACGCTACTTCTCTGGACACAGCATCCAGAAACACATTGGTAATACAAAAGAGTCTGTTTTTTATGTGAGATCAATAAATCTGTTCCCAATGTACAGTCCAGAGGTTGTTAAAATTTGTTTTGATTTAAGGATAGTTTCCTTACAGTCTTTGGATAGTGACAAAGGATTAGTTAATGACAAATAAAGGGAACAATTAAAGTTAAATATTTAAAGACAACAGAAAACAGGATTTAGACACAATTTAAAAGTTAGTTTACACTAATTTTACTTCATATTTCCCCATACATACAGTATACTTTTATTGCTTAGTTTAAGGTTCAGTGATTCATTTTTACATATTAAAGAATTATCTATTGTACTTAAAGTATTTTAGAAAACTAATCTACAACCAGTTATAGTACAACTTGGCCCTTCAAGAGGCCCAAATGCAAAAATAAAGAAAATGATCAAATAAGAAGAAAAAATTTAGGAGATGTGTACGGCTATAAAAAGCCATTTAAATAACTATTTAAAAAATTTCTAACTTGTAAATAGGGTAGTAAAAGGAGGATTTTGCATCTCTGTTACTGTCAGATTTTTGTGCCCTCGGAGTAAAACTGCTCAAAGGATCCAACCTACAACCTGACCGCCGATCCCTGCTGCCACATGAACTCCTCCTCACTAACCTAACTCTCTTGTATAGATGAGGACCTCCTGCCATTCCAGTGGTGTTGTATGGAGTCTCCGCTGTGCCACCTTTACCTGAGCAAGAGACCTCTGGACCGTTGTCAAGGTTACAGCTGGTCCACACCTGATGGCTACACACACAGCATGAAGGCAACACAGGGTGTAGGTGAGTCTGGAATCTATTTCAATTAAACTGTCTATATGATAGAAGACTTAGTTTTCATCGGGAGGAGATTTTCAGGATGAATCCCAAATTATATATATTTTTTTAATTGATGTTATGGACCTAATAATTATAATACTCACAATAATAATGATGATATTAATACCTTCATTTGACAATTTGCAAAAATAAAACCAAAAGACAAAACCCCAGAAAGAAAAAGGGCCCCAAAACAACATAAAACCCCACAAAGACACATCATAAGAAACCATGAGCGATATGAAGCTAAGAAACATATCTGAAAAACCCAGAATACTCCAAACAAGGACTAAAAAAACCCGGGCAACACATGAACCAAACTACTTAACAGAGGCCTAAGTGTTGGAGATAAAAGTGCTTGCAGACAAAAGTAGAGATGACATCATGTAGAATAAGTTTCAAGCAGAGATTTAAAAGAAGTGGCTGATTCTGCCAGCTTTATCTCTTCAGGCACAGGCCATATTATCTTTGACTTATTGAGTGGTCCCCACCTGAGGATCTAGAGCTTCCAGCTGGCTCATAGAGGGTTAATGATTCTGTAAGCTAGCTGGGAGTCAGATCTTTAAGTAAGTGCTTTAAAAGTGATGTGTAAAAACTTAAAATCAATTCTCAAACATAAATGGAGCCAGTGGGTGGGAGCTGAAACTGGGGTGATGAAATGTCTGTTAAAACAAAACAAACTCTGCCTATGCTGCTCAGAGTAAGCTAAGTCAGACGCAGCATCTCTTTTGCCCTTCTCTTATCTCTTTTCACCAACATATCATATGATAATACCACATATGACAACTCTGTTGCCATGGGAATGCTACCATATGTTGAATGTAAGGGATTGTACATTTGAGCCACACAAATGAATCATTTCTAAAACAACCAAAGTCAAACATTATATAATCAAAGCTTGGTTGTTGACTTATTTTTATGATGAGTTGGTAGATTATGTCTCATGAGTGGTGGCACTAGTACGTATTCGGTCATCATACATCTTATTAATGTACCCTATATAGAACCTGGAGAAATGTTCACCTAGAAATAAATCCTACTATTAAAAGAAGAAACATGCACATTTAAATGCTCCTCTTGACAGTAATAAAATAACTTATTAAACTGCATGAAATAGTTGATCTTAAAACAAACAAATACTCTTTACATAGACCTGTCCTAAAATTATGTTTAAATAGGATAGAGGAATATATTATTGTCGTAAAAGGATATAGAAATTACACAAATGTGTGCATAACAATTGACGAGATACTGGAGTGTTTGAAGCTCTAGCTTTTAGACGGGACCCCTTCTCATGGTTATTCTTACTGTACAGTGCTGCAAAAATGTACACAATCTTGCAAGCAGATGTAGTTTAAAATAAATTTGTAGTTTAGTTTTGTACTTTGTATGACCCCCAACTTTTTTAGTCCTTGCCGACCTCATGCCTGTATGATAAATTTGAAAGATTTACAGACCCCCTCCTGCGTGTGTTTGTCCCCTGCAGCGATGGTGTTTGGCAGCCTCCACTTCATCACCTTCGATGGGACAGAGTATTCCTTCAAGGCCCTGGGAGAGTTTGTAATCCTGCGTCTGTCCTCCACCACCGGCTCTAATATCTTCACCCTGCAAGGACAGACGGACAAGCTGCACACAGACACTAAGGGGATCATGGAGGTCCCAGTGGTGGTGCGCATGGCTGCCTTCCACCAGGGCATTGGCAAGGTCAGGATGTTTGAGAGTGTTACTCTGTGTGTTTCACTCAGAGTGAGTTAGTGTGTCTCTAAGGAGTTTATCATTTTTAAACAAACAAGTGATAAGTGCCACTCACATTGTATTTACATGCATGTATTTAGCCATCAGTGTGAGTTTATTAGTTTAGCTTAGCAAGTTATGTAATCAAAAAAGAAGTCTCTGTTTTGACATAACTGTGAAAATATGATTCTTATATTTTCACATCTCTTTCTGTTAAATTTATGTATTTTCACAGATTGAATGGAGATGTGCAGAAACAGGAGTCGGGCTACAGCTGTTTGTGGATGATCTTGAGGTCCCAGTCACAGTCGGTACTGATCACCACACACTTTTTACCTACTGTTCAAAAAAACAGTGTCATGTTTGAATAAGAAGACAAAGTCGATTGAACAATAGCTTCTTTCCACTTCAGAATTTGTGTCTCATCGAAGTGTTACATATCAGTTGTTGTGTGTCTTTTGACTGAGGCGAAGATAAATAAAATGTTGGTATAGCTCCAGTATACTGACTCAGCTGGCAGCCGTGAAAGTGTTACATGGCTGGGAAGTAATTTTCAAAAGCAAATGTCTTCAAATTAGAGGCAATCAGACAGAGAAAATCTGATATAAAGCATGACAGAAATACAGGTTTGACAAGCATACAACAGATATGCTGATTATTTTTCTCAATCATCGTCAACAGAGCAGAAAGGATTCCTGCAGAGATAAAGCTTCTTTAAGGTTGTGTTTTTTCATAAAAAAGGGTTTCACTTTCTCTCTTTGAAGCCAACAAACTCCTTAAATAACATTATTTTTTTGTCAAATTGAACAGAATTTGATAATTGCACATCTATTAATGCCAAATCTATTATGCTTGGGCCTATACTTATTGATATCTTTTAAGTTATGTGACTTGTAATATACTGTATGAAATCGATTGTCAGATCTGTTTGCATGTTCCACATGTTGTGCCAATCATTATCTGAAATTATCTCTCAGCCTCAATGGGGCCTTAGGCAAAATTTGATTTGAGGGCCCTCTATTTCTGCTAATAATATTGATTGTTGATCATTCACACACCTACTACAGTACAAATCTAATGCGCCTGACATGTCTTTACACATTTAAGGGGGGTGGCCTAGGTAATGACATAAATAATACCAATGCAACCATACAAATAATACCAATGAATGACTGATGAATGATGTTCAGGGTGCCACGTAACGGTAGTGGAGCTTTGACATATCGGTAGTAAGAATCATCGACCTACATCAGCAGCAGCACTAAAATGTTTTTACTTTATTTTATTTTTACAATAATATATATTTGATCATACAGAAAGCATCACTCATACGTGCAAAAAATAATTTTTTTATAGTTCTTTTTTAATTGCTCTTGGGGGCCCCCTACTGGCCGCAGAACCCTAAGCAGGCGCTTAGTTCGCTCATGCCTTGGGCCGGCTCTGGCTGTGGGCATTGATAAAATTAGTGTTAATACAGATCAAATTTGTCTTAAACAAACTGAAAACTTCCTATAACCCCTATCTCTTAAGGCTAACATGCTGTGATCCCCTAATTTACCCCCTGTCAAAACTCTTTATCTAAGCAGGCCAGTTTAAAAAGACTGTCATCAATCTGTTTGTAGAAAGACTTTAAAAGGATTTAAATTACCCTGTTTTTAACCAACTTCACCCTCAAGTATAGAAATAAGTCTGAAAGAGAATACTAACTGTGTTTTCTCAGGTGTGGTGTACATGGGGGAGAAGGACTTTGCCGTACGCTGTTTGTCAGTGTCTCGCTGTGCAGCTGTGTATGCCGGTGGTCTCCATGTGTTGGTGTGGAAGGTGGTCGGCTACAATCAGCTGGTGGCCATGGTGGAGGTTCCTCAGACCTTCTACAACCGTACCGTGGGTCTGATGGGTCTCTGGAGCTCCAACCGCTCTGATGACTTCCTCATGTCTGATGGCAGGCTCCTTCAATCAGCTAACCTCAACCCCCCCTCTGAAGAGATTCTGCCCGACTTTGGCTTGTCCTGTAAGTGGGACTTTTTATCTACTCTTAGAAAATGGAGGGATCAGGAGGAATGATAGAGAGAAGTTAAGCCAATCCATGTTCGTAGTTACAGTCAGGTTGAGTTATTATTTTGCTTACACCAAAGTCTGTTTACAAAGACCGAGTCCCATCTTGTTAGATTAGACCCACTCACATCCCATCTCCAACCACATGAGCGTAGCACTTTGCAGTATTTCTAATAAACTGTCCCCCCTAACCCCTAAAACCTTGTTTGTGCATTTAGGGGCCGTTCCAGTCCCAGAGAGCCTGTTGCCTTTTGTCTCTCCTCACCCTCTCTCTCCCCTGAAGTCTCTCTCATTTGAGCAGCTGATAGACAGCGTCAGTCCTGCTGAGGTGGAGGAGATGAGGAGAACCTGTAGAGGCAGCCTGCAGTGTGTTCACGACACTCTGGCCACCGGCAGATCTGATCTTGGTCTGCAGACTCTGGATGCCAAGAAGCAGTTTCAGAACCTTGCTCAGATTTATGGTAAGAGGACTAAAGTATTATGACAAATCCTGATCTATCTAGCTAATCTGTGCTTATGTGACGTTCTCTGACTGTGTTTTCTTTAGGTAACATGCCTCCTATAGTGACAAAGCCCACAGTGATCCAATGTAGAGTCAACTCTACTGTCAACATCCAGATTGAGGCTCAGGATCCAAATGGAGACTCCATTACCTACTCGCTGCTCTACCCTCGACCTCCACGGGCCTCAATCGGCAGCGGTGAGACAGATAATGTACTGTTTTAAAAGGATTGGGTTTTAGATTTTTTAGTCTTTTTTAAGTTTTGGTGCGTGATGTACATCCATCAGGGGTCATCTAACAAGGATTTAGCTTTAATTAATCTCAACACATAGACTTGTAGACGATGTATACTGGTTCAATTCCTGTAAATCAGTTTCTTGTGAGTCTCGGTTTCACTGTCAACAGTAAACTTCTCAGAGGCTTCACTCTTACTTCAGTGATATGACTGAGAAAAAAATTCTTTTTGTGTTTGAAACATAAGTTTTTTATATAAGTTTACCAAAATGAAAACATCCTTATTCAGATTTGTAAAAATTGAGAAGAAGGAAGAAAAAGAGCAGGAGAAAACAACTTTTGGAGTGTTTGTTTATCCTTCTAGTTGAGGGTCTTTTAATCATTTCTTACACATTCCTTCGCTGACTTGCTGTCAAGATTTTTTATCCTTAATATCAAAATACAAAAAAGCCTTTGGACAATTATTTCACAGGACAGGGGAAAGTAGGAGAGAAATAAGGAGATGAAAAAGTGTAAAAACTCTGCACACCATCTGACTTGAAATATAAAATTTGTTTCATGGCATCTTGAAACAGGTGTGTCTGCAGAAAAACAGAAGAGTGATGTTCAATCACCAATCTATCGCTGAAATCCATATTTGTCCCAGTAAAGGAGAAACTCAGAGAGAAATCTCCTCCTGCCCCAACATTTTTTCTCTCTTCTCACAAAAGAATACCAGAAAATGCACAATTCAATCTGATAAAAGAATATTACATTTATTCTGATTTAAGAATGAATAATCATTATGTAGATTAAAAAATAATAACTGTTTACTTTACTAGCGCTGATGATGGGTTACTATGGATTTACAGTTAAAATCTGTGATTGATTGTAACTCTTCTCTGTCTTATTATTTTCCATCCGAGAACTGTAATCTCCTGGTCTGGATTGAATTGGAAAATCTTTATTGTCCCTGAGAAGCAATTTGTTCTGCAACTGAAGTCTACACAAGCATCATATCACATAAACAAGCATAGATTTCTTTTTTTCAGATATTCAGGCGCTCTCACAAGCTGTTCAGACGATAAAGGTCTGGGACTGAAATGTTGCCCATAAATACATTTTTTGCAAGTTAGATAATGTGTAAAATTTTACATTTGGTCTCTGGTTTATTGCAAGCTGTACTGGCATACAGATATGTCTTTATAGAGATACACAATTGTTGTCAGTTTATGATGGATCACTGATCACTGATGTTATTGCTTAGTCCAAACATCATATCCCTGTTCATAACAGTTCGGGGACAAAACCGAGTTCTTATTCAGTGCAAAAAAGAAAAAAAAAAATCATCACAGTTTGGTTCTTCTCTTTCATAAGGGTCGGATCTTGCTGCATGACAGATGTATGAAGGAGTGTATTTTGGAGTTTATTATTCTTCTTTTTGATCCTTATGTTTCGGTCTGCAGGTGACGGCCTCCTGTCATTGATACTGCTCAGCACACAGCCTGTTCAGCTGACCATCAGAGTCAAGGATGAGCTCAGCAGCTCCCTCTTCACCCCCATCCTGAAGGTCTGCAACTGCCTGAATGGAGGATCCTGCCAGTTCGACAGCGTCACTGAGAACCACCTGCATGGAAAGTTCCAGGTACATTTCTGAGTACATCAGCTGACACGATTTTTTGTTTCAGGGACTAGCTGATACTGACAATGAAGAGAAATAAGCCAAGTGCAAATCAAAACTATCAGAGGGATTGCTAATTAAGAGAAGTCTCTTAATTAGAGACTTTATCTGAATTATTTCAACCATGAAAAGTTCTGAAATTACTCTATCAGATAACTTCAGTCTGCAGCAGTACAACAGGCTGCAATAGAGAAATACCATAAACCATGAACTGCTGTGACATCTCTTTCTTCAAAGCCACCATGCAAGTTTTCTCTTAGACAAAAATCTGTCTTTCAATCATCATCGGATTGAGAGTTAAACAAAGGCTGAACCTGATTGTTTTTTAGTTTTTCTTTGTTTTTTGCCAGGGAAATACTTATCCAAGCAACCTTTTCATCTGTAATCGACTATAAAAAGATCGTTTATTTGCATGATACCTCATTTTCCCTGAAATTTTGGAGTCAGCACACCGTGTCAGTGCCAAAAAGAAGAACTATGCTGGTTCAAGAAAGGATAACATTGCAGCCATTGTAACCTGTTTTACTGCCACTGGCTAAAGCAAACGATTGAAACTATTTTAAACACCTTTGGTACCTGCGGGTCATCAAGACACCCAAATATGTTTAGCTTTACATTTCCATTTTAATAATACAAGAGTTCAGATCTAGGGTAAAGCTGAAGTTTAAACTGTATGTGTCTGCCGTCCTTTGTGTTCTTCAGGTCGTGGGCTGTCTGTGTCCAGAGGGCTTCAGTGGAAAGTTTTGTGGGAGCACTGCAGACGTGTGTCGAGGTCGACCATGTTTCCAGGGGGTGCAGTGTCAGTCCAGGTCAAAGCCAGGCCAGTTCACCTGTGGAGAGTGTCCTGGTAACACCGTCTCTGAGGGAAAGCAGGGATATAAGTGCTTCGAGCATGGTGTGTAACACATAATGATCTCACGAGTCAGTTTGAAGACTCCACACTCTCTCATTTATCTTATTTATTCTCCTCCTGCAGACATGTGCATCCCTCCTTTCAGCTTTCCCTGCCACAAAGACGCTGACTGCATCAGCACCAAGCTGAACTACACTTGCACCTGTAAGCCCGGATTCACTGGAGACGGGAAGAACTGCACAGGTATCAAACACCTCAGTATGAATCATGCATGGTGACTGACAACGTGTTTGTGTTTTTGATATTTTGTTTGTGTTTGTCTGTGCTGCAGATATAGACGAGTGTGCAGAGCTCTCCACCTGTCCAAACGCCAAGTTTGAGTGTAGAAACACCCCGGGCTCTGTCGAGTGCTTCTGCAGATACCAGAACGCCAAGGACACTGACGGATGTGGTAGGTGTACTGTCAGGCTCGTCGTTGGGCTGCAGACAGTTTTTTCAGCTTTACCCGAGGTCAGAGAAGAGCTAATGAGACTGAATCATTTTGATAGGTTTCATTAAATATAACCTTAGAGGGACTGACGAAGCTCCATTTAACGTCATGTAGAGGCTTAACCACATACTATACTTTATTTTATGTTTTGACCGAATCTGTCTAAATAGCAGGAATGCAGATAAGCAAATGGATGCAAAAAGAGGTTCTCTCTTTTCAGTATGAGTTTTAAGCCTGACTACAGAGTTCAGGATTTAATGTCATTGGTACATTCCTCAGAAAACATGAGAAAAGATCATCACTACAACAGTCTAATGTTGTCAAATTTTTACCTGACTTTTGGCACTGAGTTGAGAAAGGAAAACTTTGCAGTAATTTTTAGAAAATGTTCTTAACAAGGATTCACTTCTTCATATATGATTAAAAGCTCATGTGAGAAGTTTTTTTTTTGTCTTTATGAAAAAACTTAATGACATATTAATGCTTTTTTCTGATCCACAAATGCAAACACGACCATTAAAGAAGAAGAAAAGCAGAGGGCACCAAAATTGTTCCCTAGAGGGGCTTTAAGTATGAGTGTTATTTTGTGACCGTGTGAAGACTATAAATTTATTCATAGTAAAACTGTGTTTCTTTGCAGGTGAATCTGCCAATCCTCCAGGTAAGACCTCCCTACATTTGCGTCATCGAAGCTTTCCTTTTTGTCTCTGGCATTAACATGGTAAACACGTCCAGATGTTGTTGCTGTTGTGTGTCTGCAGGGAGCAACGTGTTCAACGTCTCAGTGGGCTGGAAGAGGAACAAGCCTGATGGACTTAAACAGGTGTGTGTGTATCACATATATTTTTTAAATCATTCATTAATTTATCCATTAATTTATTTTTCAAATTGTTAATTTACTCTTTTTTTTAATCTCAAGGAGTCAGTGAACCAACGCCTTTATTTATGACATTAGGAGCACATTTAAAACTGAACAAAAGCATATGAGAGCTAATACAAGAAATAAGACAGCACATTTAAATTCAAGCAGAACCAAAACAGAAGTGGAATCAAATTCATTAACTACTGTTCACTTTGTTCCACAGAAAACAGCTGGTTTTAGCTGTCTTAATTGTAAATTAAAAAGTACATTGAACAGTTTGTTAAAGGTTGTTTCAGATTTTTAGAGGCTAATTTTGGGGCATCAGCCGAGCAATATACTGTAGAACTGAAAAATCAGCATTAAGATAGAAATGTTAGCTTTTTTCATATAGATGTTTAACATGAAGTATGAAAAAAAGAGAGGACCAAACTCTGAGCCTTGCAGAACTCCATTTGTAAGTGGTAAAAAAAGTGGGTAGTTTTGTACCAAAATAACACACTTCTGTTGTTCCAATTACAATAGAAACATGTGACAATGACAAACTGACAATACTTTACCATCATCACCTTTCTCCTGGTTTCTCAGCTAGTGGACATCCTGTCGTTGGGTTTCCAGAACAAATTCTACAACGCCAGTAAGGTGACTCCAAGACCCGGCGCTGGTCCAGATGTGGCTGAATATCTCGTCAATATGTCCACAGACACCCCTCACTGGTACATCAGAGACTATCTAGCCAGAGTCAGCGGCCACTACGACATCCGGGCCGTGCAAGTGGATGGTTGGTTCACCCTCTGCATAATATCTTATATTGTTTTTGACAATGTTTCTGTTTCACAGGTGAAATAAGCAGGTATAGAGATAAATTTCAAGTCTGATCTTGACAGAATTTTATCTTGCGATTCTGTCCAGAAAAAGGTGAAACACATAGTTTTGCACCCAGATTTTTTAAAAATGTTTTTATGACTCGAAAACAAAGCGAAAACAAAGTGGAAAAAAATGTCTGACAGATTTTTTTTTTCATTTCTGTCATCATGCAGAGGTTTTTCTCTTACTTTTCTCAAACTGTGCAGTGACTAAGTTTAAGTAAAACCCCCTACTAATCCTAAGATGTGTATTAGTTGAAAGTAGCCATAAATGCAAACAACACTCTCTGCCATGCAGCGATACATGTTTGTTATTGTAATACTCATTTTAGCCACAAGAGGCAGCGGTGCACCATCACTCCATGTTTTCAATAGAAGTGAGGACACTGGCTGTTTTACTCTCTACTGCGGGTTTTTGTACAAGCATGCTACACTGGTTTGGTTATTACTCAAAACATAAAAATAGACTTTTAGCAGGTATGTAAATGCATGGTCCACATCAGTCAAATGCAAAAAAAAAGGTCACTGAACCTGCAGAAAAAGCTTTTTATTAAAATTGCAGAACAAGTCAGAATCAGTTTGTGTGTCATAAAAAAAAAAAACGTTTTTAGCAACAACAGGGCATGTTTCCTGTACACTGGGTCAACTAAGACGGTCAAACTGTAAAACTGTTGGATCAGGACTACAGTGATTTTTGTTTGTATGTTCTTCATAATCGTATTTGAAGCAGTACAGTTCCCCTGTCACTGAAGGCCTCTGCAGCAGACTGTTATTTCTCTGAGTCTGACTGACTGCTGCTGTGTTTTAAATAGAAAAAGTGCCAATGCTGACTCCAAGATGCCGAGGTTTAATATTGCAGCAATTTCAAGTATTCTTTTTTGGCCTTTACTGAAAGGACAGCAAGTGTCAGTGAGAGAGAGAGAAAGAGACAGAGATACAGAGACAGAAAGAGAGAGAGAGAGAGAGTATATATGAGAGTGAGGGATGACATAAGGCCTAGTGTGTGATTCAAGCATCTGACTGCTGCAACAAGGACTATAGCTTTGGTAGCTGTGCTTTAACCACTGAACCAAACAGGGTAAGTTTTTATCTAAATTAGTTTATATTTTATGAATTAACACTTCTCTCGCCCCTTATTTTTATGTGAGCCTCAGCCTCTTGTGGCCAAAATAAGAACTACAAAAACAAACAAATATTTGACGTGCCTTTTTTTTTTACCAGGGAAAAATAATGCAGAGAACAAAAGCTTTCATTAGCTGCTCTTACAACAAGTCCATCAAATATTATTAACTGAGTCACATTTTCTCATAATGATGGCAAACCTCACTGTGTACACACCTTCAGATCTGGACGAGTGTAAGGCCAAGGCGACAGTGTGTGTCCTTCCAGCTCTCTGCACCAACACGTACGGAGGTTACAGGTGTATCTGCAATGGTACAACAGACGTGGATGAAACACAGTCCTGCGTGTTAGGTGAGCAGACTTTAAATCGATCCTGCAGGCACAGCAACCGCTCCAGAGCTCATAAAGGAAGAAAATCAATATAATGACTGAGTGCTAAATCCATAAAAAGCCTCTCTGGTTGGTCTTTTATATCTTTAAGAGTGGCCCAGTCATTATTTAATACAAAACCATCTCATTATTTTGTCAGTAAATGATCTGCTGAGGACATTTATGCTGTCGTCTCTCACTCTAAACCATTATGTGGCCGTGATGAGAGTGTCTTATTAAAATGTGGGTATACCTACTCCTCAGCAGACAGGGACCAGGAGAGTGATGTGGAACTAGACCTGGTTCTGGGGCTGGTCCTTGGCATTGGCATCCCTCTGCTCCTGCTGCTGCTGGCTGCTCTGACCTGCTTCTGCTGCTGCAGGAAGACGGTGACTGGAGAGTAAGTGATGCTATGAGCACCTTAAATAGAGTTTACCCTCAGCTTGCCAACAATAACCAAAGGAATAAACATGGGTATTAAAAAAAGGTCAATACAAAGGTGGATGGAGCAAGGCTTTGAGTTTTAAAAGGCACAGAGGGAGATAGGCAGGATATGATATAAAGGGTATGAGTGAGATATGAAAGATATGTGATAAAGGGATAAGAGAAGAGTTTAGAGTCAGCTGGATGGATAAAGGAGTACAGAGAGAAAGACTTTAGTTCAGAATCTGCCCCCTTTCCTCCTTCTCCTCTTGATGGCAGTTTTGTCTTACTAGATGAATGTACTAAAACCACTCGTAAGGTGGGGGAGATACTTGATCATCCATCGAACGCATCCCCTGAACTAAATACTGTAAGAAATTCAATGACAAATGTAGATAAAATTGAACTTAACTTTGGGACAAAAGCTGTAGCTCAACGATACTGTAACGTTCAAGCATTTTAATTGTGTTTTGCATTTGTACATTTTCATTATTCTTTAATGCAAAACCATTTCAAGCTCAAAATACTTGACATTTTTTACAAGGGGCTTGATTTGGGAATCAAAAAATGATTTGTATGTTTTTGGCTTTTTGATCTACTGTGATAATAACTTCTAACGCAGTGGTTCTCAAGTCCAGTCCTCGAGGCCCACTGTCCACTGTTTCCCTGCTCCAACACACCTGATTCAAATGATTAGCTCGTTAGTAAGCCATTACAGAGCTTGATAACGAGCTGATCATTTGAATCAGGTGTGTTGGAGCAGGGAAACATCGAAAACATGCAGGACAGTGGACCTCAAGGAATGGACTTGAGAACTACTGCTCTAGCTCACCATGATTTAGAAGTAAGGGCTGCTTCAAAAAGCCTAGTTTGTGTCCACAGGTCGATGGCTTTTTTTACACACCTCTGCTGGCTTTTGTGAAGCTGGTGCTCTCTACCAACACCCTGATTAGCTGCACCTGCATGCTTAGCTCTTATGAGGTTTCTCAGACTTATTACACTCAGGTTGTGGCAACAGGAAGCTGAAAGATGCTAAAATGGCCTGACTACAGTGTGCCAGAAGGGATATAGTGTTCATTTCAAACACTGATCACATTGCAATTACTGACATTACTACTTATGTGCATTAAACAAAAACTCTATATTTAGGTTCCTAAACTACAATTTTTAATTTGGTTATCCTTTTTCGAAGCAAATGTTGATCACTGTGAAGTGTGAGCAGTCATAACAAACCAGTTTATTCAAGTTTAGCCTGTATTTTTCTTTTCAACATTTACCTAAAGTTTTCATTCCATTAAATACTAGATGTAAATTTAGGAAATCAATTTAAGCTGTAAAGTTTGCAACAGCACAGCTCAAGATATTGAGAAACGGGAAAACAAGATTTGTGCTTCTATCATGTGGAGTGAAAAGCTTACAGTTGTATGAAACAGGAACACCTCACAAAGTTGTAGTTTAGCAGAGGTTCAGCACTGTATTCTACCTTTTTGATAAATACTATTTCATTACAAAAGCATTTTGCCCTGGTTGGTGATGAGACACATTTCGCAGAGGGCGGATCCTTTAAAAAAGTTTCCCACCATGTTTCCTTGATCAGTATCTAGTTGTCACGTTCAGATTACTGAAGGTAGCTTGCATGATTTACATCACTTATCCACCTATAATGTTCAAAATATGTATGCTTTCATGTAATCATGTCTGTGTGTAGAGTGACCACAGTACATATCAGGTATCCTCTGTGTTGTCTGATGATCCCCACAGTCTCTCTGCAGCCCTGCTGACACTGTGTGTCAAACCCCTGTGCTGCATCGAAACTCTAATGAATTAAAAAAATGTGTTGAGGTGGCTCAGCAGCTCCTGTGGGGCGCGGTGAGACAGAGTTCACTGCAGGTCAAATGAAATATACTGCTGCAGAGATGACCACACACACTCACATACACACAGCTACACACCCTCAGTATTTCAGGGAACAGCAGTCAGTAAGGTCTGCCCAGAGATAATCTTTGCGAGCAGCTTGAAGGCTTTAAATCGTGTCCTCTGTTTCTGCTGCAGCATCGTCTTCTCCTTCTCTTTAACTTCTTTCTGCCCACTCTCTTACTATATTAAACAAAAACTCTTCCTACTAACTGCTTTGGTACCAGTTATGAAACTGCACTTGGGTAAACCTTTTCAGAAAGAATACACAGACAGAAAAAGGACCATAATTAGGTAAACACATCTTAGATAGCAGAAAAGAGCTGCTGTTCATCATATAACATGCTGTTGTCTCTTTTTATCACCAATTTGGAAAACACTGAATGATGATTGGTAGGATTTGCTTTACTAAATGATAAAATCAGAGCCAAAACTCAAAGATGGTTAGCTTAGCAGATGGACCAAGAAGGGGGGACCAGATTGATTTGCTCTGAGTCAACGCCAACCGCCTCTAAATCTCACCAATTAGCATAGTATAAGTTGTTTTTACTGAAAACTGAAGCAAATTAAATCACTCTTTGTCTTATACAAGTAGAAAATCCTGTTAGGGCATGTAACAGGTTTTTGAGCTGCTGGAAGGCAACTTTTGTTACCCTGAAAGGCATTTTTTAAGTCTTTATGCTCATCGAAGCTAATTAAAGTTTATTCAAACTATCCAGTTTTAGATCACTTTCCCTTATCACACTTAAATATTTCACAACAGGTTTTATACTCAGTATACAGAACGTGTCACTGACATCAAATTTTAAATGAGCATTTATTTCTATAAAACATTAACTCTTTCGGTTTCACCATTTAAAGACTTTAAGGGCAGTCTGATACAGAGAGCTGCTACAGTAACAGGTTGAACCAGGTTTGAATACACTGTTCTGTATTTCTTATCTTTCTCTCTCCCTTTATATACATAACCTCTCTCATTCAAACCTTGTTCAACCTGTTCAACTCTCTCTCTCTCTCTCTCTCTCTCTCTCTCTGTATGTGTGTGTATACAGACAGACAGACAGACAGACAGATAGATGGATTTTTATCTTTGTATAAAATATACAGATACTGTAACAGATTTATAATGTACCCAAGTAAATGTATTCGTGTTTTTTTTTTCTTTTCTTGTTTTTTTTTTCTGAAATGAATCATTATTTATTTGAAAAAAACTGTTCGAACTCATGATTGCGGAAGTATTTGATAGTTACATCATCCCGTTAAGAGATTGGAAATGATTAATACAGAGATATCAGATCACTGCAGAGTATCAATCCACCATGTTGAAACCTAACGATACTGCTTAAGTACATCTTGTTTTCAGATGTGCATTAGTATGTGCATATTCATCCATGTTGTTGTGCATCAGAATGCGTGTGTGTGCGTGTGTGTCCTTGGCCCTCGCATGTGTGCACAGATGTATGGCATCTGGGCCAGGTGTTAGTGGGCCCCAGAGACACATAATCCCCCTGATGACTGGCCTGCTTTCTCCGCAGCAGTAAACTGCACCCTATGGATATAACGTTGCCAGCATTGTGGGATTATGTTGTTAGATTAGAGTGAACGAGCAGCAGCCGAGGGAGAGGTTATGCAGTTGTCTTTTAACACAGCTCCGAGGTGGAGATGCTTGGATTATGCTGTATGATATGATAGTGTTTAAGTCCCCAGATGTAAATGATGTGATTGAGCAGAAATAGGTTAGATCAGATGTTTGATCCTTTTCAACCTTGAAGATCCGTTTTAAAGCTTTGTATCAATTAAATACTTTTACAAGCAGTATCATGTTTAAATACTACATACAGTTGGGAGCTCTACATGGAGAAATACTTGACTCATCTCATACTGGTGTCTTTGACAACCCTTATATCCGCCTCTGTCTGAAAAACTTTATTTCAGCGGCTGTTTCTGTAGGGCTCCCCTTCGCATTCTAGAAACCTCCTTCACTGTTACCATGTGACAAGGGTGTATTTTTCTTCCTAAAATGACAGATTTGCTTATTTAAGGACGTTTACCGACAGGTGATGTCAAGATTTCAAATCTTGAGTTGATCTCACTGACTTCTCATTTGACTTTTTGAACAAACCATTCAAAGCAGCATGCAGTCTTATCTGTGGAATTACTCCAACATTCCTCACATTTACCTAACATTTTGAAACTTTGCCCACTTGTAGAATTAACATCCATTTTCACTCAATATTTGGTTTTAAATAAGGAAAAAGCAAATTGAAGATAAAAGTCATGAAGGACCAAATAAAGACTCTTGTGAGCTTTGAGCTGCCATTGGGCGAGTTTTCAAGAATACATTGGCAAGAAAAGTGTCTTTTCACATTTTCGCACTGAGTGATTCATGGCACACCAGGTTGCACCGTCTGTAGCTCATTATCCAAGGGGTATACATGTTTTTACAAAGAACAACCGTAATGATATACAATCCAAATCGTCTGAGCTGCAAATCAGATGACAGCGGGTCTGCAGGACGCATTCGAGTATGTGCTTCCTGTTTTTAATCAGCTTTAGCCCCAGATTTCGGCATCTTTCAACACTCTGAATATCTAGGCTACAGCCGGCATGAATATTCATGAGTCACTGATTCTTCCACAACAACTGCTGCTGCTCGTCCAGTCATTTCCATAAAGTGCCTCAAATGATTGTTCAGTGTAAGGAGAAGTGAAAAGAGCATTTATCAGAGGCAGAATCCACTGCAGAAGGTATAAAATGTGCAAAAACAAAACAAACCACTTGTTCATGGATTACAGAACTGGCACAAATAAAATAACAAACAACAAATACAAACAGAAAGTGAGAAAACACTATTATCGATATGAAGTGATAGAAAGGTAGATAGATAGAAAGAAATATATAACTCCTATCTGATACATACTGTATGTATCAGACATATTTGTATTACTGTGGATGACATGCCCCTGTCTCCTCCCATTTTGGAAAGTAAAGCCAAAACATCACCTTGATCAGCTGGTGAAAACAGGCTCATCAAGGTAATAAGGCAGGTTGCAATAACAGCCTGGTGGAGCTGCAGGACTGACGTCACATTTTTCTGTATATCTATATCTATCAAAGGTCCTTCAGGGCAGTTCAGCCCACAGCAGGAAAAAAAATCGGTTTAAGGCGGACAGGCAGGGTTACAGAGAGTTCAGCTGCTTTTGTGTCAGTGTTTGTTACGTTTTTGCCTGCTGTTCCTCCTCTGCCGTGCTAATCTGCTAAAGAGCCCTGCAGGAGCCACATTTGTCAGCAGAGCTGCCAATCATGATGTTACTTCCCTGTCTTTAAACATCAAATATCTAATTAAAACCAAAGTTACACACGGATCATCGTGATGAGAACCAATCGCCATTGCAGAAATCATTGCTGGGATAAATCTTTTGAGTATAACTGAGAAGATTTGGTTGTCTATCTTCTAACTGCACTAAGTTCGGTAATATCACAGATAAAACGTGTTAGCCCACGTGTTTCAAAAATTTACTTTTGAAGCCATTTGTTTATTCTTGTTAAAACATTCAAAATAATGGACCTCAGATTTATTGGCCGTGTAGCACTTCTCAAAAGCAGCTTGTCCAAAAATGGGGTCACTAACACATTTTGTGCCTGATCAAGAATATAATGGTTTCTACTAGCACCCTTGCATGATTGGTGCACTCCAGTTGTATGTTTTTGAATTTGCATTGATCAGCATGTTTGCTGTTAATGCAGTTGTTGTGGCTTTTTGCAACATGTTTTTTTCACTTGCAGTGTGTTTCCACTGTTGTGTTTGTGTTAAACTTTTGCTCCTGTGTCTAAATTTGTATTGTTTGAATATATGAAGCTTTTTTTTCTTAATGAAGATTGTTCGGGCTCTTGTAGACCTCTGACCTTGTTGACTACCACACTATGGGCATGAAAACATGCAATATCAAGAGGTTGTGTACATTAGTAAAAGCTCCTGTGAGGAGTTGTCCAATATTTATGAAACAGATTGAAATTAAATCAATGTCTTTTATGATGTACAAATGCAAACAAGACCATCACAGACAAGGTGACTTTTATGCTGCTATTCTTGATGCATGAAACCAATGTTAGAGGGTAGGCATCAGTGGCGCCGCTGAAAAATATCCCTGTTTTTATATCCTTGTTTTTATATTTTCAACATTAAATCTTCACATTTAAAAAAAGATAAGTTTGACCGATAAAAGCCAGAAGAACTACTTTGGAATTTAAGACAGATAGGCAAAGACTGCTTTGTCCATGAGGGGCGCCAAAACTGACAGAAACCGAAAGATTCTCACAGGAGTTCACAGGTGAGGAGTTCAAGGCTCTCATCTCCCAAAACTGACAGTAACTTGAACTTAGAGTAGGTAACATTAAATTAAATCAATGAATAAATTAAAGAGTTTTTCCACCTCCCTCTGTGTATAAATTGGGAGGGGGTGGGGTTAAATTAAGGGTCAGCAAAAAAGTTAAGTTTGATTTCAATTTTAAAACTTAGTTAAAAGGTGTGGTGTACCTGCCAAAAATTGCTAAACCTAGTTAAGCCTCTGCTGAAAACAGTAGTCTGTTGTGGCGCCTCATGTTTTCCTGCAATCTGATGGGCTCCTATGCTTCCTTACAGCCTCCCCCACTTGTTGCCAGACTACATCCAGGAGCAGTATAACCCTCCACCCTTCAACTATGCAGACCCCGCCCTCCACTATATAACCCACTGCAGCCCACGGATCATAGACAACATCACACCAAGGCAACGTAACAGATAGCACATGATTAACACACACACACGCACGCACACACACACACACTCACAAGCTTGGAGCCTCTGTGTGTGCTTTATAACTGCAAAATGAGTGACCCTTATTTATATGGTAACAAACAAGTAATTAAAGCAGAGTGACTTTAAAAGTCGATTATTTGCGCTCCTCTGAGCTGAGTGATGGAGCTGGAAGTCTTCCTGCCTGGACAACAGTTTACAGTCAGAATCTGAGCCAGCAGAACTCGACCGCTTCTTGGCCCAGGACGCTGATGAAAAGTAAACCTCTGCAGTGATGTCCAGCTTCCAGCTGATCTGAGGCCAGCAGCTGCTTTCATGGCAACATAAGCATTAAGCAGAGTACCTGGCGTCAGGCTCCTGCCCTCTGATCACCATTAGATCTATTGTGTCAGAGCCTACAGCATCATGCAGCATCACTTAAAGCCTCTAGAACTTTCCATTAATCTTGTTCATCTGCAAACAATTACATGGATATATTTTCTAAAAGTTTTCATCTCACTAGTAAACAAACAAAAACCCTGTAAATATGATGTGAATGATTAAAACAAACATTTTGGCAACACTGTGTGGTGGTGATGTTTCAATAAAACCGTTGTAAGAAACCTGAATGAAAAATGGGATTGAGGGTTATGAGGTCTATAATGTAAAGTATCCCTTTAACCTTAACCTCCTGCTGGAAGTTAAAGGACTCAACATCAGACAAAACTGATCATTATAATTACATTTATATCCCAGACAGGAAGCATCTCACAGTCAAAGATCCTCACTTCATTATTATTCTCCTTTTTCACTAACAATGAGGACATGACTGATCATTAAAGTCAAATGAACTACTCTGTGAACGCAGCTTTGCATGCAGAGGTAGAAAAGTAACTCACAAAATGGATTTTGCAAGTAAAATATTTTTAATGAAACCTTAAAACAAGTCAGAAAAAGTTACGTTCATCTTACTTTTAGTGTTTTTTGTCCAATATCTATGGCTAAAAAAAGGTGGAAAATTGAAACATCTGGATCATCCTGGGAATATTTTTGTAAGACAAGGTTTGTCTTTGATCATTTTCTCAATAAATTTCAAATCTTATGTAAAAATAGTTCAATTCAATGAAAGGAAATAGCAGGGATTTATTTATAAGTAATTTGCCGCACAAGAATCTCATCTGTTTTTTTTTCTATTTGAAACTTCTAAAAAGCTTTAGACTCATAATTTTGTTTGCTGTTGAAGCAGGAAAGTGTTGAAAAGCACCAGAGACCCTTTTTTGAGAGCTTTGAGTATTTTTGTTTTCATATACGACAAATATATATATATTTTTTCACCTTCAGAGCTGGTTTAGTTTTTCCAGGGTAAAAAGATTTAAGGAACTCAGGACGATGAATTTGGCAGAACAATTTTATGGTTCAAAATTTTGTTTAGCGTTAAACTTCTAAAGTAGAACAACAAACGTACAAAACAGCATACAATTGAAATGCCTGAGTAATTAATGATCTGACAAATTAATTTAGGGTTTTAGTTGGTTTGCTCCACTGCACCTACAGTAATGATTTTTTAACCACATAAATCCAGTTTATGTTTTCCTCGCACTTTCCCCTTTAGCCACGAGATGTCACTGCTGAGTCTCCTACATGAGGCAGATCTTTCCACTTTGTTTATGAGTGTGGTTTCAGCAGAAACCGAGCACTCTCACTGCTCTACACACACACTCTCTCTCCTCCTCTCTCTCTCGCCCTCTCTCTCTCTCTCTCTCACACACACACACACACACACACACACACACACACACAGAAGCAGATACCTGCTGCAGCATTCATCTGGACATGGCCTCAGTCTGCAAGATGAGATCATCTTAGGGGGTATGGTGCGAAAAGGCCCTGCAGAGGCAGAGGCAGATCTGGTCCAGAACAGCTGGGGTCAAGGACAGGCTGCTGCTCACACCCTCAGTCACTTCCTTATTGTGATCAAAGTGCTCACACACACACACACACACACACACACACACACACACACACACACACACACACACACACACACCCACACACACGTCTACCCCTGCATAACCTCTGCAGTGCTTCTCTTCTCCTTCCACCGGTTTCACTTTCCAGGCGATCGAGCGTAAACTGAGATTACAGCGCGACACCACGCACACCATCTGAGGAGGAAACTTCAGAAGAGAGTAAAAATCCACTGCAGGTAGAGCTCCTGACACCTGTTAAAGACAAAGTGCAACACTTCTGGAAGGTTCTGAGGAGCTGCTGAAGTCTGCAGTGTTTGAACTCCAGCTCCACACTGACTGCAGCAGACAACCTGGAGACAAGCCAGGGAGGGCAAGAGAAACAGTGAGAGAGAGACAGAGAGAGAGGGAAAAATAAAACGAGAGGAGGATCAGCAACAGAGTCACTCTCTGATAACAATTAGTTTGTTTTGTCCCTTAGATCCCTTGACATATAATAACCAACATGTTTGGGTGCAGACACGCTTGATTATCCATAAACAGGAACACATAAGTGAGACAGAAAACTCGGTGCATGCTTGACACTGTATCCATTTCATCACAACATGATTGAAAGAGGCCGGCCCGACAAAATCCTCTTATCCGATTTGTGGCCATTAATCATTTCTGCCTCATGATGTAATTTTGGGAAACATGTCATTTCTCGGTAACAGGTAGGCCAGACAGTGATGGGATTGGCTCCTGAACGGCTGGCCTGCTGTTGGACCTTAACCTGCTAATGCCCTTTCTGCATGGCTGTAAAACCATTCAGAGTTTACTGGGCAGGCCTTCAATCTGACTGAGCCACGACCTTCGGTCAGAGCATGCTTGGAAACAATAATGAGTTTTTCTAGAGATGATCATGTCATAAAAAATATGTTTGTCCCTGACATATTTACCATCCAAGCATGCATGTAGAAAGCATAGGCAAACGCTCATCTAACATATAGATTTGTGTGTGGATGTTAAAGCAAACAGCAGATGAGTGTACACGCACACAATGTACAGGTCTTTTCATTGATAGTAGTTGACATCCGTGACGCACAAAACAACTGCTATTCTCTCCCATGAAAGGTGATCCACTGGCTTGGCATGGAACCAGCAGGTGCTTTACAAAGCCTCATTTATTAGTGATGCCGTAAGCGTCTTTCTGTTACACAAGTAAACATCTTCTCATATTTGTCACCAGCGCTTCATCCCCGCAAATGAGCTGTCTTCTCTTCAGGGTTTTTACTTTGGAGCTGCTTTATTTCAGTACCATCACTGCACAATAACACCACACTGCACAGAGCTAACACACACACTTACACACACACATTGGATTTCACATGCTGAGTGCCAACACGCCCCCAGTGCCAGAAATTAGACTGACCCACATGGTAGGTTTCTCTGCACTGAGAACAATGCTAACTGCTATCAGCTGGAGTGATGTTACAGGCCATTAATGAAAATGGAAGGCCAGCTCCTGTCCTTCCTCCGCTCGGCTAGAGTGACCTTTGACCTTTAGATATATAGAAAAGAAAGCTGCTGTTTCATAGGAATGGACTGGGTTGGGCTGAAACCGATAACACTCATTATGCTTGATGGTTACACATTCACAGGGATGATAAGAAGAAGAGTAGAAACAGTAGGAGCTGTGGTTTGGATGAAGATTGGTCTGAGTACAAAATAAAATATAACACCCAACATCCATAATGGAAGAACAACACTGTAACACATACTGTATTGTGCTCCATGCTAGATTACTTCATGGAGATTGGTTTCAGGTTTAATAGACCATTAAGTCATGTCTCAGGGGCTCCAATATTCCCCATCCATATTAACTTCCAACCTGAATTCACCTCTGACCCGGAGCAGGTCCTCAGGGACCCGCTGATCACTGAGGGCCAAGTCATCAGGCGAACCAAATAGCTGATTCTGCAGATCGGATGCAGACAAAGTAGAAAGCTATTCTGATATTAAAATATTTATGACCCAACAGCTCTTACCAACAGTTTTATTGGAGGGATTTACCTTCGGAGGTGAAGGTAGTGCTCAAATATTTAACTTAAGTAACAACAGAAATACCGCAGAATCGAACTACTCGGGAGTGAAAGTCTTTAATTCATTGGTGTGGTGTTAAAGTATCTGAAATAAAAGAAAAAACAGCCCATTTCAGAATGTAGATTTTGTTACATTTGCTATAATTAACATTGAATCTTATAAGGCGGGACTTGATTCCATTTAGTTACACATCTGGGTTGAATTTTTGCAAAAGAACAAATACATTTTTATTTTGATACAAAGCTATACATCCCAAATTTTTTTCTTTTTTTTTCTATTGTGAAATTAAATCTATAGAGTATTTTAAGTTGTTTAGTCAAAGTAAAGTGAAGTGTCCTATAAAAAGAGTACTTGATGAATTTATTCAAGTGTTTTCCACCACTAATCGGAGTAGTTGTTCCACATTAATGTTTCAATCATGTGAATTCAAGAAGAGGCGCAGTTCAGCGTTCAAGGCAAACACAAACTATTTGTTTGCCAAGTACTTTCAGAAAGGCAAAAGATGAATTACCACATAATACACCTTCACATACAGACACTCACACATGCTCTAGCTTATCTGTGTCTTGTGACGGGCCTTTGTGCCGTCACCTTTGGCATTACATAATCTGCAGAGTGACAAAAACCCTGTAGCAGAAAAACAGCTTTAAATGAAAAGAATCCAATGTGCTCCAGATTAGGTGGGTTGGGAAAAAAAGCCTGGCTCATTCTAAAGCTGCTCAGCAGATCACATGGCCCAGGCAGCATCACCTCTGCAAACAGTGCAGATGGAAGTGGGAACCACTTTGGATCCTCGTTTCTTACATCTTACGTGTGAAATATTGAGCTTTACACAATCCTCTGCTCTCCCCTTGTAGTGTGACATCCGTGGCTAATAATAAGAAGAGAGGCAGTGGAAATGGGAGGAAGAGGGGCTGTTTTGGGACATGGAGTTTCTGGTACATTCTCTCTCTGGGTGGTTATTCAAATCTTTCTCCTTGCACATCCCTGTCCACCCTCCTCCTCCTCCTCTGCATCTCTCATGGGAGCAGGCTAGAGACAGGTGGTCACTGGGAGACAGGGGAGCAGTCAGGCATAAGTAATAAGGCTATCAGATAATCCCATCCACAACAGCAGGACAATTAGAGCTGAGAATCCACGGTGTGCTGACAGCAACGCCTGCTGCAGGCCCCGACACATATCACACATCTATTACAAACTGCTGCACACAAACACTTCAGCCCTGACACTGCATCTCATTATGCACATAAGTGATGAAGACTTGCAAAGCAGACAGAGTGAACTTCGGGAGCCACACTGAACTCTTTCTTTTTGGTCATCTTGAAAACAATACAAAACAAGAAAACGACATGGATGCCAGTAGGATAATGAAATAATATCATCCTAACTTTAGAGATGCAGCAACGGGATATCTACAAATTTCTATTAACATAAACGGTCCAGTAATACCCGGTTAGCTAACTCTGCTACTGCAACCTAATCACTTATCAAAGCTATCTTATTGGTTCTCCCTAAGGATAATGTCTATATGTATACACACACACACTATGCAACAAGCTTGTCTGCTTTGCCTGTGGCTCTGACTGGGATGTCTATGGACAAGATGCAGCGGCAGCGCAGACCATGGGAGTGACGCATTGCAGGTACAAACACACCAATCAGAGAGCGCGATTTCTTTCTGCTACGTCTTGTGCCCCATCATAGCGTAGCAGAAAGTATCCATACGCCGCTATATAGACCGTCAGCGATAGGGGATATAATCTCTGATACAGATATTAAAGTATGTGTATCAGGTGTAGATGCGCACAGCAGCTGCTATTTTCTTATTCTTATGAGATACTTGACCATACAGCCGTTTTCTATATTAATTAAGGAAGCACCGAAAAGGGAAGGTGGCGGAGTGATATTGAAAAGAGGAGGGGTTTAGGGTAGCCGTTAAAGGCGAGTCCAGTTGCCCCTCTGTCAGTGTGTTCATAGACTGTCAGTGTTCAGGAGAGTCAGCCTGGCTTTTATTTCAAACGGATTTTGCCGTTAACCAGCCACCACATCTTCACCCAAATGGTAAGGAACGCCGCAATCACTTGTCTTTTTGGGGTAGAATCAAGCGCTCTTTATTTTACGGCCATCTTTTTTTGGAATTTGGTTATTATATGTTAATAAAACGCAGGGTTTGTAGTAGTAGCTCTTACTTGAGCTGCGCGCTCTAACGCTGCGGATCCTACTCGCGTCCGCCCAGCCTCTCTAGTTTTTACGATCCAAACTGCTGCCTCGACGGATGTTTTACTTATCAGTGTAACGTTTGATTTGTGAGGCGGATTGCTTTGTCACAGTGAGAGGGAAAATATGCTAAATGTGTCTCTTTCAGTGGGCCAACGCCGTAACGTTAACGACTGCAGTGTCTGCCGGAGTAATGACAGTTCTCTAGTTGCTAGGTGATGCTAGCTTGTTCGACTAAGCTAGCGTTGACTTACCCGTGTTGGTTTGAATGAACCGAGCACTCGCGTCGCCTCGTACATTGCGTTTGTGTTACTTTTATCCGATTTTGCTGCGAGGAATAAGACGGAATTTATAAGTAACGACCCTCTGCCTGTTATGAATGCGGTATCAGTCAAAACTATAAAACGGGTTTGTCGAATGGCTGCAACACGAAGCCGGTAGTTAGCTAACGTTAGCGCTCCGATGCTAACCCTTACCGCCAAATTGTTCATTCATTGTGTGCGGCAAAATTGGCGTCATCGAACAACCTTTTTTTCCCTCCAAACTTTATTGAACGATAACCGAATGTACAAACAGTGCAGACCTGTGCTCGGTAGAATGATAATATAGCTTTGCGATGACATTAAAGAGCAGAATTATTTCAAGCCGTAGCGTCTCCTTGTCTCTGTGTTTGTAAAATAGACATAAAATGGACATACAGTTTGATTCAGTATGCTGATGAAACCTCTCATTGCAGTGTCTGCTGTAACAGCGAAGCCAAGAGTCAAATGCCAATTTGAATGGCGCAGAAATACTTTGAATTTCAAATATTTTGTGAGCTAAGAAGAGAAGTTATGGCTGGATATCCTGCCTGGTAATATTCAGAGTAAAACAGTGTCATATTTAAACCTTATTGTAAATTGAAACCATGTTATTCTTGCAAGTGCAACCATTCAAGTACTGTATCTGAACCCATACCTAAAAATTGTGAGATTTGAATGATATCTATAATATTGAAGGATCATATGTCAATAAGCTCTCTTTTGCATCACAAAGAGAAATCTCTAAATGATCATATTCAATGGCCTGACTCCCACCACTTAACTGTAAAATGATGTGCTTGCATAATTTTTCACAAAATGGACGGCCCCAGCTTTGAGGCCCGACATGGATCTTAAGATTATTTAATGATTTTAAAGATGTTAAGAGTTAAAAGTGAATGTGTTTGTGATTTAGCTTGTATTAAATTATTCCTTTTTTTTACTTGTTTTCAGGCTGATCAGCTTACAGAGGAGCAAATTGCCGGTAAGACATGGCTCTCCTGCTTTCCTCATGTCCTGCAAAGCTGGCTGTGCTGTGTTATGGATCCTGGCAGTGGATTTACACTTTTGCCTTTTAAGGCATTCGACAGGGCGGCCTACTGGTCATAAAACAGGAATGAATGAAACGGCTGTTGCTTGCTGGCTCTGCTCTGCAGTGCAGGACTCCCTCATGGAAAACTTTGCATTTTTATGGTTGGCTTTGTAATAAATGATGTAATCTGAAAAGGCCGTGTATCCTGGCGTGAGCAGTCCACTTTTTACGCTCTGTGCATGAGGCGTCCTTTTGACCTGGGTGTGTTCTTATTGGGTTGCATGTTTCAAGAAACAATCGCAGTAAGGCTTGAGTCAAGTGCACCATTATCTGAGACGAAATGAACACCTCATGTGAAGAAAGGAGTGTCTCTGAAGGCATTACTGCCAGTATGTGTAAAGGGATGCCTGCTGTATTTCTAAAACAGGTTTTAGTTGGATTGATTTACTTTTCACTCTCTGTGGATCAGATCTCAGCCTTCACAAGAACCTGATCATGATAGTCCAGCTTTTCCCTGAATCAGCTGTCATGCTTACATCTGTTTATTTGTTAAGACATGGCTGTACTTGCATGCTGTGGAGACTTTGAGTGGCTGCAGTGATTCTTGGTTTTGATGGCTATCACACACACCCTCCTCCCCTTCTGTCTATTTCCTGCAGTCCATGCAAACAGCAGGACTTCCCTCACAACAAAAGAGGGTGTTGGCCTCTGTGCTTGACCCTACAAATGGCGGGGAAGGTTGTGGTTTTTACGATGCTGACAAGCTGCCGCATGCCACTCCAACAGAGCCCATTGGCCTCATCACACTTGATGAGCGTGTCATTGTCCACATCCCTCACAGCTCAGCGACCTGCACAGACTTGTCATTCTGCTAGCTCTCGTGCTCGCCGTCCTTGTTTAGCCACAAACGATGGCAGTTGGAAGTAAAAACATTGGAGCTGGTCAGCCTGCTGCAGCTGGTTTATACCTAAAACATGATGCAGTGGCCTTTTACATTGGCTTGTGTTGGTGTGATTTGCTGATCTTAAAGTTTATCTTGCAAGATGGGCATTCACATGATCTTTCTCTCAGGCTCAAGCCTTTGTTGTGTTTTAAATGTGAAAGTTGCTGTCATAGGGTCCTGTCAGTCTTGATGTGCAGGTATCCTCTTGCCGTTCTAAAAAAGAGCCCCTACTTTTTATTTTTTTTCTACAGAGTTCAAGGAGGCATTTTCGCTCTTTGACAAAGATGGAGACGGTACCATCACCACCAAAGAGCTGGGCACAGTCATGCGCTCTCTGGGCCAGAACCCCACAGAGGCTGAACTGCAGGATATGATCAATGAAGTGGACGCTGATGGTGAGAACTGTCTGCAACTACACACACACACACAGACACACACACACACACACACACATACACTCAACATGAATATGTTGGATCCCTGGTTAATGCCTGTCTGCTGTCTCCAGGTAATGGAACGATAGACTTCCCAGAGTTCCTGACTATGATGGCCCGGAAGATGAAGGACACAGACAGCGAGGAGGAGATCAGAGAAGCATTCCGTGTCTTTGACAAGGTAAGCTCTGTCTGTACACACAGATGGACATGCAAACACACATACAAACAAAAGTGCATCGGTTACTAACTGACGTCTGTGTGTTCAGGATGGTAATGGATACATCAGCGCTGCTGAGCTGCGTCATGTTATGACAAACCTCGGGGAGAAGCTGACCGATGAGGAGGTGGATGAGATGATCAGAGAAGCAGACATTGACGGAGATGGACAGGTCAACTATGAAGGTCAGTACATGTAGTATTTTTTGTTTTGATAAACTTCCTGACTCATCCATCACGTACTGAGTCCAACATTTTGTTTCTCCCTCTCTCACCTGCAGAATTCGTACAAATGATGACGGCGAAGTGAAGGCCTTGTACAGATTTCGTATATAAATAATTTGCCTTTTTTTCTTTGTGTAATTTATCTGTAAAATCTTAATAGCCCCCTTCGTCCCGCCCCCTCTGCTGTCCAAAGGAACTGCATGTAAACTGCATAGGCTCTTGTCCCCATGTCCCTTTCTTTTGCTGTCATGGTGTTTTGGAGTGACAGAATGGTCATACAACCAGAAGCCTGCGGAGGCCCCTGGGAGCCGGAGAACTTCGTATCTTCCCGTCTTGTGTGCTCGGGGCCCCATTTCGCATGGCGACATTGGAAACCTGTCAGCTGGTTGTCACTTGGCAACACTGTTGGCATGGAAACAATGTAGAGGAGTTTAAACTCTGCATGGACTACGGACAAAGTATATATGGAAATCTCTCAGCATTGCACTACTGCAAAAAAATGACACGGGTGTATCTCCTAGGTACTCGTACAAACTCTTTTTGTATCTGCTGTTCTATACCAGAAAACGACTAATCTTACCATGCTTTTTAATGTTTTACTCACGACTTTTACTTTTCTTTCTTTTCTCTTTATTTTATGACCTCTGGTCATGCCTCAAATAATCCATTCCAAGTTGTATATTTTTGTTTTCCAATAAAATTTACAATCTACCCGGATTTGAAAATTGTCTTGTTTTCTCAGTTCTAATGGATCCTTGAGTTTGTATACCCCTGTAATAATTCCCATTTTTGTATCGAGGACAGGATGCTCCTTTTTTTGATAGGATCTTTTATTTTTCTTGTTGCTTAGAATACATATAAAAATGTTTACCATTTTAAATTAAGTGTCCCCCCTGTTACGTCCCCAAAGCACTGAGGAGCATCAGCCAATGCCTCTTAATGTTCAGATTCGCTCAGATCAAATCTGTATTGTCATCGAAATAAAAAAAACAGTGAGTGGGATCAAAGGCTTGTAATTTGAAGTGCACACAATGGTTCTGACATTGAATTAGCCTTCTTCTGTCCAGCTCCCCCACTGACTGCAGGCCATGTGTTGTCTGCTGCTGATGGCACCATGTAGAAGCTGCCTCATGTCTTATTTGGCATTTGCCCCCCCTCAAGTGATGCGTTGCAGGTGATTGAGCATACATCAGAAACATGGTGTAAATAGAGGTGTACCTGTTCTGTTTTTTTTTTTTTTTTAATTTCTGATTATTGAGTTTGTTACAGTAGCTTGCAGAGATACTAAGTTTGTTATTTTGATGAATGACAAAATAAAGCTCTATTGTGGACCTCAGATCTGGCTCCTGTGGGTTTTATGCCAGCTGCACTTTTGTGCTCTTATCCTGGTCAGACTCGCTTGTTTTCTAATGCTAAAAAAAATCACAGTGTGTGTGTGTGTGTGTTTCAAAGCTGTGTGATGGGTTGTGACTTCCTGTTGAGAGTGGTGAGAGTTGTTTTTTGCTCGGTCAGTCATGCATGATATTCAGTGCTCCCTGTGGATGCACATTTAAACATTTAGAGCATAGCAAAGTGCACTTAAGCTAGAACTTTTACCAAAAAGGACTGATGCAACGGGCAGCCTAAATCTACTGACATTTTTCTTAATCTTGTTTCATGTTTTGAGCGTCAAAGTAAGATCATTTTTAGGAACAGGAACTCAGCTATAGGATCTGACACAAAAAAAGGAAACAGCACAAGCCACAGCACTTTCAGGTGTGAACTTATCACTCAGTTCAACTGCATGTTGACAATACCAGTCCTAAAAAACTCAAGAGAAGGAGGTGCAATCATAGTTTTAAAAGCTGCTAATGACAACACATGTCACAGTCCAGAGTCAAAAGAGAAGACTAGGTGCAGAGAAAAGTACAGGGCTGTGTGTTTCCTCCGTGTGTGTCTCCTCATATACTCTCAGGTCACATGAGACTTCCTTGACAAGCAGTGTAAACATGAATTTTTGGCCTCTTCAAACCATGTGTTCAGTGTCACCTAGCAACAAAGCTGAACGTGGTGCTTTGGCTCCCAGAGCGAGACTTTCTCTTCAGGTGATGGTCTGCACACAGACACATACACACTAAGGATGGGTGATATGGGTTAAGAATTTATAAGTTTTGGCAATAACAATAAAAGTCATAGTGAAAAAAAATATTACAAGTCCAATCCATGTTTTTGAATCATTCTGTCCCGAGAACCACACAATCACTGTTTTTGGATGGCACTTACCAGTTGGCATAGTCAAATAAGATACTTAACCACAAGTTTCAGTGGTAGGTTATGGACCTAAAACTAGTGACATCAAACAAGTCTGAAAAATGTGAAAACACCCTCAACATTTATCCTAAACTCTTAGTGCACAGAGTGAACAGCATCAGCAGATCCCTGTCTGATGTCAGGCATACCTGATTGCACTCGTCTAAGTCCAGATCTTGAAGGAAGTTTATTGCATTTATCATGAGATTGCAACTATACATTATGGAGGATTTTTCTGATGACAAATCGTGAACACTCATTTCATATCACAGGTGCTGATAGTCTACCTCTGCCTTGATTGCTATATATATTTTTTTGTTTTAATTAATGTACAAATTTGTGGTTTTTCAATGGATCCTGATTCTAATAAGGAGAGAGCAGGTTGGCTGGTGTCTGGTTAAGTAATGTTGTTACATTAAGTAATGTCGTTACCTTTAACAACACCAACAACCAACTTGAACAAGTAAGTGTTGAAGGATTTGTCTTGGTAAAATATAAAAACAAAACTTGGGGATTCTGGGGATCTTTTGCATATGTTCCAGACATTAAAAGTAACAATTCAAGCTTGTAAGCGGAAAAAAAAAGGCTTTGAGTGCACTGACTTAGGACCACATTGCAGCCATTACAGCATGTTTTGTGGCTAACATTAGACATGAAAAACTGAAGTGACTCCAAAACAGTTAGGGGCTGAGTCATTCACACACCAAATCATGCAAAATAGGGCCGAGTTTAAAAACTCCGGAACTAGCTCTAAAAAATAAAGGTTTTTGGAGTTCTCAGACCCTAGTTTGGAAAACATTGCTTGACAACAACCCTCCACTTTCCAGATAGCTACAAGAATGAGACATCCTTTCTTTGTTTATCTTGTACTGAGCTGAAATTAGCACTGTTATGATAATTTTATATCTGTAACTTTCAAACAGTATCACAGAGGCCCTCCAAATATCACACAATGGTGGATAACAGCGAGGAGGACTAAGTAACTGAGTGCACCATGTACATAGTGTTCCTTGATGCTGGCTTACCATTGTGTCTCAGTCTCAGTCAAACTGGTCGGTGAGTCTAAATTTAGCCCTCTACCAGGCCAGCTTGTTGAAAAATTGATCGATAGTGAAGTCGCTGCTATAGTAACAGTCGCAGTTTTAATGGTGGTCAGGTGTCATCGGATCCCCAGCCAAGCAGATAGTGAAGGAGAGAGCAGGCTGCAGCCACATGGAAAAACGGAGCTGCCTATAAAGGCACTGAAATGTCCAGGGGCGGTAATAGAACAGATAAGGTAAGGCTTCTCGAAGCCGGAGTAACTGTGTGTGTTTAATGAGGACGAAATGAGACAGGACAAGACATGTGGAGATGCATCAACACATTGTTGGCATAGCCATGTCATCATTGCAGAGACAATCTACTGTGTGTGTGTGTGTGTGTGCTTCTTATCTGCAGGCCGATGACAAGGTGGAGCAGTGTGGCCGGGGCAGCTGGTGGCTGGGAACACTGAAAGTAGGTGTCACACTGCAGGATGGGTTCATGATCTGTATACACCAGCTTCTGTGCAGAGACACACATAGTCCTAAAGAAGAGAGAACAACATGAGTAGACAAAGTCAAACTTCCATCAATGGATTACACTTCTATTGTCTGTCTGTCTGGAATAAATTCAAACCCTGACACAGCCTTGAGTCCAACCCCTGTGTGCCTGACAGTGCATGCTGGGTAATAATGCAAAGACCTAATTAATTATCAGGTTATCTTAATGTGATCCCAGCCTTTATGCTCCATTGTTAACCAGCTGCTGTCTTCTTTTCATGAATGGATCATGTACAGCTGACAATAGGCGAGGTGGCTTGACAATTAGTCTTTGTGTATGAACAGCGAGCATGGCTTTGAATGCAAAGGAGAGCTTACAGAGACAGGCGTTTGAAATAGGGGCTCTGGTTCCAGGCTGTTTAGGCCTGGAGTAAAAGACATCTTCTGGATATGTCCAGATATAATTATACACTAAAATAAGGAAAGGAAAAAAAACATTTGTATCTGGGCTTATGGAATAATTGAATTTCATGCTGTGACTATACATATATACATTATTTATATTTATATATTTACCGTGCTCTAGCAGTGTGCAACAGTAGACATGCTACCAATAACATGCAAACATCCCACTGAGCATTTTTTATTCTAAAAGAGGTCTTATAGACATCTAAATGTAGCCTAGACAACTCGTCTAAAATCAGGCTACCACAGGTCTAAAAATGAACATTTTTTAGACGTCTAAATTTACACCAAGTTTAGACTAAGTCTAAAGTCTAAATCTGGGCTACATCTATACTACACTGTATATTGCACAACGGCTATCATAATTATTTTGGTTAAGTACCTAAAGACCAGTTATGCAACTCAAAGTTGATTTTTGAAATAAATAGTTATTGAATAATGGGTTAAAGTGCAACGTCTAAATTCTGTCAAAAAACATACAGAATCTAGACGGTTGAAATTAGGTCTAAAAAAAAAAACTAGACGTCTAATAGCTGTGCATTGCTCAGTGGGATAAACCTTTCTCAGATGGGTTAAGCACTGATATTGTCCCAAAATGGCTCTGCTAAGACACTAAAACAGCATTATGAAAAAATACTTAAAGATCTTTACAAGTTTTGATGATCCTCAACCAAACTTGGGCTGAAAAAGTGTCTGTTTATCTCTAATATTCACCTCCATGCACTGCAAATAGAGCTTAAAGACTTGAATGGTGTTTGAGTGCCATTTTCAAAATATGCCATCAATCACACAACTTTTAAACCACCCCTAGCATTGTCTTCCGGTTTATACTCTTAGAAAAGAGCTTTATTCTAACCCCCTATGGAAAAACACGTACTGCTGTGTCTGTGCCCATATAAGATGATAATACTGAAGAGATAATGTATTGGTTAGGCTCAGCGAAGAACCAACTCATCAAACTGCTCTTCTCTCACCTCCTCCCAGGACACACCAAACCCAGGTCTCTATCACATCCGGGATTTCATTGAAGAAGCTGAACTAAACCCTGTGAAGAAGACCTATGGGTTCAAGGGTGTGGGGAGGAAATCCCAAACTATGGGGGTACGTAAGGGGGACCTGCTTCTACCAGGAGCATATGACTGCACTGACTCCATCCAGGAACTTCTGATGCGCCAGGCTTCCTACTCCTTTAAAAACTGTCCACGACCTGACGTTATCACCTTGGGTATCAGGGACAAGGTAGGGTTCAAACATGAGCATACCTTACCTTGCTGATAAAATGCATCTGACCCAGACAGTGTGAATAAAATACCATCTAATCAGTGATCTGGCCATATTTAATAGGAACACAGAGGTGGATATCTGTGAGGATTTAACTGACTAAAAATACCAAGGAACTTGAAACTTGTTCAGGTTCCCGTTTCCTTTATCCTTCTTATCAAGTATAAGAAAGGACTTGTATTCAAAGCATGCCTGTGTGGGAATGCCTATCCCTAATAGAGCATGCAAGACAGCATGCAAATGATTAAGATTTTTAAATGTTTTAAAACAGATTTGCCAATGGTTTTTGAGGAAGAAGATTCATTCACAACAATTGTTGGTAGGATGCAAGTGGCTATGAATACATACAAAACTCAATATGCAGAGAGAACTCCCAGGGGTTGAAGTAAAGAACTGGAGGAACTATAGGTGACTACATGGGGGTTAGCACCATTTTGAGGGGTGTCCGAAATCTCAGTGATCAATTCCAGTGCCCTATATAGGCAACTCAAAATTTCCCATAGAGCATTGCAAAATGTAGTGACCATCCGATGGTCACTCACCGGTGGTGGGCATCCCGTCATGCATTGCGTGATTCCATGTAGTGTCCAAAACCTCCGGTAACTGAGTTCAATACATAGTCAACTAAATAGTAAAATCCCACATGGGGGTTAGGGGTTAGGGATTGAGTGATTCATTTCGGACACAGCCATTAAAAAACTCGAGCATGAACACTCAAATTTCTAAATCATACAAGTTCTCAAAAATGTTTCTTTACTCATTTGGTTTGAAATGTGAACAAAGTCATTTGTAGCAGGCCTGTTACCCCTACAGCAGCTACGTCTTGGTAAACAAAAAGCAGCCCAATAGTGAAGGGAGCTGAAGACACTTCTGGGCTGTCTGGCAGGCCAGAACTTAAAACAGATTTTGGTCCTACCTCGTGACAACTTCTAACAACATGACATGTTCTCACATTACCTCTACTAGCTAACCTGTATAATCAAGTAAGCTAGGTTGTATCAGCAAAAAAGGGAAAAAATAGAATAAAAGGAAAAACTCAACTGCAGAATATTGAATAAACTTTTGCAACATTATTTTGCACACCAGCTTACCACGAACAAGTGGTAGATGGTCAAGTTTTGTCTGTTGTAACTTCATCAGTTGTCTGACCTCTTTAACTCGTCTACACTGCTGTCACAAGAAGAGATGTTAAGGTGACGCCACAGTAGGCTTCACTTACTGTTGGAACAAACAAATTGATCCGTTGATTCGTCTACATTAGCACTTTGTCATGTTGTCTGAAGCCAAAGTAGGCTTGTTATATAAGAAATTATGAATGGCATTAATAGATTTTACTGATAGTCTTTAATACACGGTTGATTTTTTCAAGTATACATAAATGTGTCTTTTTTAAACCGGCTGTGGCTTTTCAGCTCTCTGCCTTCGAGCAAATGCACCTGCAGCAGACTTCCTTGAAGCTGAAGATGTAACACTGAAAAAAAAATGGGCTGCTCATAGTGATACTGACATTTTTTAAACCTTTCTTTGATTTTCCCCTGCGCCAGCATATAAACACTTCACCCTGCGACTACAATGTGACTGAAAAACCAGTGGAGAAGACTCCCTGCAAGTAAGAGCTCGACAAACAGCCTCTCTTTAACTCTCACAGCTGAGCAGACAAACTATGAATCATCTCTTCATCGCTGAATCCTTCCTCCTCCTCCTCCTCTCCTCTCAGCACAAAGATGGAGGAGCAATCAGCACCCTGCACATCATTGTCTCTTGTTCTGATCACGCTCTGCCTTATTCTTTTCTTCTCTCACTCTTCCTCTTTTCTTTGACAGCTAACCCCCCTCTCTCCTCTCCTCTCCTCTCCTCTTCTTGCAGGCATGTGATGTTTCGCTCCACCGTGCAGAGGATCAGCTTTCCACCTGTAAGTATCCAGTCACCAGGACTAGTTATTAGGATCATTCAGTGTTTCCATTGCCCACAAAAAGGCTTCATTACAATACACTTTCAATGGGCTTTGGTTACAAGCTGTGCTCTGATGTGTGCCTGGTATGTGCTGTACAGGAGCTAGTTATGACAACCACAGGGACTGAAGAAAACTGATCCCACAGGATGTCTGATTGTATCATCTGAGGGCCCGTTATGGCCCTGTGCTCGCTGACCAGCCATCTGTGGTTCATGTTGCAGAGTGTCGCAGCCTTCGCCCTGTGTCCGTGCTGGTAGCTGATGGATATTTGAGCCGTGCTGGCAGCTGCTGAGTGTTGACAGAGAAGGAAAGGCGCTAAGAAATCCCGAGGGTGTTATTACTGCAGAGTTGGGAGCAGTTTTCTGCTGTTAGTGGTGTCACAGCAACTCCAAGACAAGTCTATTGTCAAAGGTTAAGCAGCCAACAAATCCCGCAGCAAAGTTAACTGGAAGTGCAGATCTTTCAGACAGCTGGCCTGACAGGACATTAGCAGATCATAAATGAAGAGTCTTAATGGTTTACAGTGAGGGCCTCTGGTCCTCCCTCAGACGCTCAGAGAGGAGTAAAATGACACAGATTTCTGCACATACAATAAAGAAACTCCAGTGATATGAGGATATTTGGGAACACAACACAAAAAGAATCTTTTTTTCCTGATTTGACTTAATTTCAATCCCCAGGCCACAGTGCGTCCCAGATTTACATGTTGTGCTTTTTTGCAAAATTGTCTGCACGTGCTGCGCTGAAGGAACAAATCCCCCCTGAGATTCAAGCGAATTAAAGTCATAATCCCACACATTTCCATATGAATACACATCTCCCTCTATGAGCACACAAATGATTCAACCTTTAACTACAGTATGAAAACTTGCTGATCCAAATACCTGCTGCCACACCAGCAGCTTTGCTCTGTGGATGCCAAAGCTGGTCAAAGCTGCAGAAATAACTCAACTAACATTGGATGGATTCCAGTGAAATTTTGTACAGACATTCCTGGTACTCAGAGGATGAGAACTGCTATTTCCAGTGATTCTCGGCCAATATATTTGATTCAACTCACAGGTTGATTTTATTTTCAAATGTTAGCAATCGTTGATCAACTCCACGCCATCAAATACAGGATTTGTGGTTTTAGAAAATACTGAGAGGAGTTTTAATGGATTTTGAAACACATTCTTTCTAAACTGAAGGTGTGATAAGATTGGTTTAGTCTCTGTACTGAATTTAGGTGCCTGTTTTGGGGTCACACTTCCTGCCAGAAAAGTCAATCGATCAATGGCATTCAGCCCAGCGGCTATCTTTAGCTCCTCTGGTGAAGTTTGGCATTGAAGACCAAGTTAGTGAGCAAGAAGAGGGGGGGGGTTTGTTGGATAATTTTACTTTTTACATAATGTTTTGTATGTCTTGCATAGCTAATACTGGAGCAGGATTAGTAACAAAAAATTATGTTTTTGGCTGAGGTATTTCTTTTTAGACAGAGAAACTCTATAACAGGGTTGACGCAGGAAAAGGGAGTACTTTATTGGCCTTTAAAGACAAAATATCATATTTACATTGTTGTGACATTTACTGGAATACTTGTGTAAACAGTATGTCACAGGGGCTGTGACGGCCAACTTGACTTTACCATGGACAGTGATAATGCTCATCTTCATCCTGTCTCTATCCTGTAAGTAGAATACTTCTTATTGCATACAAAAAGGTCAACATCATAAAAACTCTTTGCTTATAGTTCAAAGTTTTGTTAAAGTTATTTAACTTGCCTGTTCTCGGTTTAATTGTAACTTTGGCAAATTCAGCACAATGAAACACAGAACAGTTTTTTTTTTGCACAAAAAGGGTATTTTTCTTGGAAGTTTTGGAATTTCCCATTTAGGTCAGATGTACTTTCCTTGTTGAGCAAAGAACAACTGTTAATCAAGGTCTTGGATCCATGCATCAAAATTTTGAACTAGACTTTTTTATACAAGCCTGACGCAGGTCTGTGCCTTCCTGTTTGCATAGGGGTAGATCGGGGGTTGTTCCATTGTTCAGCATTTGAGGTAGTAAAAAGGAGAAATGGCATTACTTGGAATGGCAGAGTTGGCATGATTGAACAAAGTGTGTTTGTGTGTGTGTGAATGTAAAGCTCACGCTGTTTGATTACATGTCACACTTATTTGCTGTGATGTTAGGTTAAAACTCACACTGGGGCACTATTATGAAGGCACTGCCTGGTTTGGTTGGAAGTAAAAAGACAGGTTAACAGCAGAGCTTTATTATGAGGCTGCTGCTGCTGAAATCCTGGTGTTTCCAGTATGTGACAGTTACTGTCTCCACTCAGGAGGACATTCTGGTGTGCTGTGACACAAGAGCAAAGTAGGCCAGGTGCTACATATGTGAAAATGTTTCACCTCTGTCCACCAGCTCCCATGAAACAGACTTCCATTAGCAACTTTGTGGATGGTGAGATGGGCAGCAGACCAGTCGCTGAGGATCGATTGAACGGGCACTGGGGCTGTCTGAGGAGTTGAGGAGTGAAAACCTCATGGTCTCAGTCAGAATCAGACAGCAGCTAAAAATGAAAGACTGGTGCTGCGTTCAGGGACAGAGGGACAGTTTTATGTCTGAGGATGAGGAGGGTGGAGGGGGGTGATGCTATTTCTGCATGACACGCCGCTGGTGGTGACCAGCTATGTGTGTTAGTGGGTAAGAGGAAAAGAGAAGTGAAAGGCAAGGCAACAGGAGGAGGAAGTTATTAACCCTAAACATGAATCACACAGTCTGAAAAAGATGAAGCAAAACTAGTCCTTAAAACCAGGAATCAAACCAGACCTGATTCAGGACGCCTTGAAAACCTGGGTATGTAACACTAAAATAGATCAACTAAACAGAGTCGGCGCAACCTTTAGATATCAGCACAGTGTAACAGCAGACTACAGTGTGTTGGTCCAGGAAGAAAAACAGTCCCTCATTAAATTCTTCACTTATGTTGTACAGGAGGTCACACAGGCCTTCAGAGCTGATATACAGGGAGCTGCAGGTTTGTATGCTAGAAACCTTGTTTGAATGTGAAAGTGAAAGTGTAATGAGCTCAGGCAACATTGGAAAAAGGGTTAGTCGGAAGGTTTACATACGCAGTTAAGTCAATGGTATGGTTATAGCTTAGTTAGGCAATTTAACAGGACTAACTGGACTACTGTCCTTGTCCCAGTTCACAAGTGCGAGCAAGAATTGAATTATTGACAGAAACTTGTCCGTCTCTGCTTTGGTAGGTGGTGATTGGCCCATAATTTTGCATTAAATCTTCGTATAGATGTGATTTTATTGATTTAAATGGACTACATTTCACTTATTGTGTGTTAAACATAGTTTGAGTTGAGTCCAATGGTTTACTCTGAAACAAACACACCTAGCTGTTATCACTCACATTTATCAGTTATTACTCACTCCTGTGTTACATACCATGTTTACTCTATGACTCATCTTCAGCTAACTACACTTCCTCTCTACAGTCTGGACTTCTTGTGTCTTTAACGTCTATTGCCTTTTATCCCTTCCATTATCTCATAATTGGATGTTTGACCATTCTCTGTATGCATTGATATGATACAGTGTATGTGTTGGAGTCTATGAGTGGAGCTGCTTTTCAAGCAATGGTGTATTTGGTCTGCTAATAAGAGATAACAGACCGTCGCCATAGAGTGCTGTTATATACTGACCAATCAGACCAATGATCACTGCCGAGTAATTACATTTTTTTTTTTTTTTTTAATCTCCGACTGTCTCAGAAAGAGGGATCTGCTCCATGCCAGTATGATCCACAGTTTAGATCCTCAAATGGCATCACTTCCTGCTTCAGGTCCAGATTACCACGGCTCCACTTTGAGGAATCGGTGAGTCTGTGTCTTCACCACAATTAAGCTTCACCCATAAGGATGCTAAGAGGTTTTCTGTCATGTTTTGTGGATCTGCATGTTTACACGTGTGGGTACATAGCTCTTAAGACTCTAAATTTTAACTTGATGATTTATGATTGTTAGATTCTTGTTGAGTAGAAAAATGAGATAGAGAAGGAGCCTGGATAAGCTTAATATCCACAGTCAAAAATTTCAAATTGTCTTTTATTACTGAACATTTCTAAACATTTAATAGATAACTTTTAAAAATTGACACCAGTTTATCTTTCAGTCAAGGTGAGGGAAAAGTATTGATTTAGTTTGGATGAGAATGACAAAATGTCATTTTAACTCATTAAGAAGTTGATTTATTTCCTTTATGAGACTGTTTTTATGGGTTTATAATTTACGGTAATGTACACATTGAAATAACATTTTGACTCAAACTGATAGGATGTGTTTGCTATTTCAATTCTTGTTCCTTTTTCCCTGGTTAATTTAAATTCACATATTTTGAGAGCTGAATTTTAACATTTTGAAATCAAATTGACAAATAATGAGCCTATGTAGCCAGGGCTACCATATTAACCTGGTCATGTATGTAAGTAACCAATGAAAAACTTCAAAAGCCTGTTGACCCGGAGAGAGTACACGTGTGATTGTTTTTGTTACAGTTGTGTCCTCCATATCTGGATATTTATGGACTTCTGTTTGTAACACAAGAAACAAAGTAATTCTAAAATCCCACAATGGAGTTTGTGATGCTGATCATTACAATTGTGCTGTGTGTAATGCAACAGCAAACCTAAATATCTTCAAAACCATCAGAAAAACTTCACTTGTGCACTTTTTGGTAAAAAAAAGATGTTCATTTTCATGTTTCAATTTGAAGGTGTTGATTACTCTTCTTTGCCCAGTTGACACAATTCACACGGAAGTCTACTCCTGTCACAAGATTGGTCAAACATTGACTCAAAGTGACAGTATGTTTCTGATCCTAACTTCAAATGATTGCGTTACAGTGCATCATAGTCACCTACAAAAATTATTGATGTACTAAAACTGGACTGGATCCAACAACCTTTTCTTTTTAGACCCATTGTTTAAAATGACTGTTGTAGCCTTATCAGGTATTAGTCAGTCAGTCAGTCAGTCAGTCACATCACCATCCAGGACTCTCTCTGCCTCTATAGTCAAAGCTTCACACCTTAAGTGCCTAAGCATGTACAGTCTTGCTTTTTCCTCACCTGTGGGGAAAAAAGGGCTGATAGTATGATGTCTCAGTGTTCTTGAAAATATAACACAGCCCTCCCCCAAGCTGTACTTATAGTTTATGAATGGAAAACACCATATATTGAAGTTACATCTTTGCACAGATCAGATTTCAACCACTGAAAAATCACAATTATAACTTCAATCTTAATTTTACCCAGGAATAAACAATTAATGATTTAATCAAAAATGCGTGTCCAGTATGATGATGTTTTTACTCATTTTTGATTTGTTGAAATCAGGTCTTGGAAATTCAGGTCAGATTTCACTTTGTTTCTTAAATTTCAAGGTAGAAACCCAAGTTATTGCTCAGTGGAATAATTGAGCTGTTGATGCCAGAAAATAAAGATTTTAACTTGCAAAAAATTAATCTTACCTTTGGCGTCTGACAGATGCTGCAGTAGGCATATTTGATAAGTGGATTGGACTTTTTATTTGTCGAGGGACAGATCTTGATTCTCACAACAGCTAAAACCTCCATGGATTAATGTAGAAATACCATGATTTCTTTTTCTCCCAAAACCCTGAATTTGAAAGTGATTGCAGGATCAAAACAATATTTTAATGCCTGTGTCTGTCTGTTCATGCATGTTTAGTGTGTATTGTTTGTGTATCTTACAGAAGACCCCTGGCCCGGGGGCTTACGAGCCCTGCTGGAAGTTGGATAACCGTCTGAGCACAGAGGTCGTTGATCCCTCGTTCAGCCTCCACTACCGCAACATCTAATGCAGACTTCCCACACCGCCTGGTTTCCATCTGTGTAACGTAGGCCTATACCTGATATTACAGTTAAAATAAAATATGCAGGTGAAATGCATATTCCAGTCTCTTATTACTTGGACTCTGTTTATCTGCAAGGCTTCTGTGTTCTGCCAGCAACATAATCAGCTACATTTGTTTTGCTCAAATCGCTTTAGTGACGCCGGCCAGGGAAGCAGAATGATCTTATCTGCTACAAAGGGTACTTCATTCCACTTAACTACATGTTCCCGGCACTGCTCCCCCTTTCCCCTTCCCTCTCTCCCACTTCATCTTGCTCCTCTTCCTCTTTCCCTGCCTCCCTCCTATCTCTGCCCTGCGATGCTCTCAGGAGGAGGAATGCTGCTCAGCCATGCGTCACATGCACATAGCTTACTGTGGCATGCTGCACCCTCAGATAACACATTCAGCATTAGAGGGCCAAAGCAGCCGCGCACAATAAAACAGCTATTCTTATCGCTACCTACTCCACATGCTCTCTGTGTCCACAAAACACAGGCAATAATGTTGGGACACAGAGAACAGTGGCGATACAGATCGCATAATGGCGGTGCACATTACAGAGCTGCCACGGATGGATGCAAAAATAAAAAAGAGGGCACATTTGTTATTTTTTCAAATCATGTATTCATTCAGAAGAGGGTTTTCCAAAGCATGCAAGCAGCTGTATATTGGTAGTACCAGGCCCTGGAGCAGAAGAGCAGCTGAATTTGGTTGCACAGCCAGTCAGACAGTTGTCGAGGGGGGAGAAGAGTTGTATTCTTTCAGTCTGCCGACACAGATCCCGTTATCAGGCTCAAGCGTGAACATATGTACAGCCATAATTAAAGCCCGCTTTACCAAGAGTTTTATTTTTAAAGGTACGGGATTGGTTAAGAATACAGCAACATAATAAGCAAAGATTCATCAAAATCTTACAAATGTGCAATATTAGTGCTGCTTCACCGGCAGATAATTGGTCACTCTGAACTAATTTTTAATGCTCAGTCATCCGGTTGCTTATTTTTGTGACAAGAGTCAACAAATTCCCCTCACAAAGCATCAGTACATATTACTATGACCCCATACTTCACTTCAGTTTATTAGTTACAGTATAGACAAGTCCACTTCAGCTGTGGAGAACTGTGAAAACATGGACAGCTTCACAGCTTTGTACCTTTCATAGGTATGATGCAACAGCTCCGTCTTGTTTACTTTCCCTCCTCTTTTTCAGTGAGGTATTGTTTGCCGCCTGGCTTCTTTTACCCACTTGTGCTGTTTGACTTCTGGGTCAGAGCCCAGCTTGTTAAGTGTTGTGCATGCACAGAGCCCCAACGGTGTCTCCTTCGCTTTCGCCGCCAGCCTCAACTGGACGATTAAGGATCATAACTTACAGAATGAATGTCATGCTCTTTAAAGAAGACTCCAAGCAAGAAACTGAGACCATAAACTTGCCAAGAAAATTATTACTAAGGTAATAAATCAATAAAGAAATAGGATCATTTTTAGATATGAAAGCAGAGTCAGCTTCTTACATAATCAGTGCTGCAGGCACCAAGTTAGCAGCTTGAAAGAGTAAACCAGACGTTTAAGTGAAATCAAAAAAGGGGAGATTTTTAAAAAAGAGTGTTCAAAACTGTAATCATTCTAATATCTTAAAATATTGTCTAATAAATGTAAGTTTCATAACCTTTAGATAAAGTTAGTTCACTGTAAATACAAAGCAGCACATGACAGAGTGACAGATGACACCAAGATGATGGAAGTGTTGTGGAAATATTGAACCAGTGCAGCAGTAAATAATGAACTAGAATGAAAAAAAAAAAGTGTAAACAACCTAAAGAGGCTGTAAATTATAGGAATAATCTGTGGTTAAAATGCATTCCTGTTTTTTTCTTGTGTGGAGAGAAATTAGGTCCCAGCTGCATCAGATCACCCCAGAGTTTGTGAACTGTGAGGTTATTGTTTTCATCATACACTCTTAGTACAATGTTTTATTTTTTTGAAAAACATCTTGCTTGTTTGACATTACCTGACTGAGGAAAATCCAAGAAAAGAAGTTAAAAATCCACTGAAATTAGCTGGTGGGTCAGCACACTGTATTATCAGTGCAGCTGGTGAGCTTGCCTCTTTTGTTTGGATGGATGTTTGACGGTTTGACGGTCTCTTTAAGACATAAAACAAGTTTGATCTAGTGATTTACAGCACATCATAAAGCCTTGGACTGACTCCTCTCCACATCAGTCAAGTGTTTTGTTTGTTGCGACAGAATGTGATCTCGGCACATCTACTTAATCCTCACGCTCTGTTTTTCTTCAGTTGCCGACACTTAAGAGGTTGAAGAGGTTCAAGAGCCGGGCTCTTATTCCCCCGCTCATTATTCCTGAGACAAAGGAGAAGAAGACAATCTTATTAACACGCAGCTTTTCATGGAGGACCAGCTGTGTGTATGTGTGTGTGTCCACTGCTTTAATGTGTGTGTGTGTTGTGAGCAGCCATTGTGCCTGTGGTCAGGGCACAGAGCCCTCAGTAATCTCTGTCTCTCTCGACCCCTAGCGCCCTTCCTCCCTCCTCATCTCAGTGATCTCTGCAGTCCGGCGCTGATCTCTGACATATGCCTCATACTGACGACTTAACACCCAGAGTCGGCCTCGACCACAGGCACGGCCACACTGCCGCTCTCTCACTGTCAATCAAATTTCACCCTAACAGACACACACTGCTTCAAAGAGTACACACACAGCTGCACGATGACATGAATGTGTACGCACACATGCACCTGTGATCCTTTGCTCTTTTAAAGCACACTTGCAAACTGATGCATAAACCTGCAAACACGCACTCTCCTTTCATTACAGGTCTCATGGGTTACAAGGAGATCCAAACTTCACCTCTCCTTTTTAGGATGTCATAATGGGAAAAAAAACAACAACAACAAAAAAAAACAAAACAACAACAGCTCTACAGTTTTAATTTAACTGTAAAACCAAAAGAAAGAGTAAGCTACAGGACTGGACTCTCAAGGAGGTCCTGAATTTAGCATGTAACTGGTGACCAGTAGTCAGTCAAATGTATTACTGTTGCATCTTTATATTTACAGAACCTGTGGGAACCAAGAAGTCCACAGAACAGGAACTACTGAAAAGTGCAAATTCTTTTGAATTAAAGCTCCCATGAGGAGTTTTTGATGTTAAAGGGATATTCTGGCATAAAATTAATCTAGGGTCAAACACAACGAAACAGCGAGTTAGATATCCGCCAAGAGATGAATGTTGCCGACCGCTTGATTCTCTAGTTATACCAACTTTAGTATCGACCGCAAGATAGCACACACAGTGGCCTGAGGAGCCATAAACACACCTCAACCAAAACGGCACTCCATAGCCACAAATAATGCTCAGAACAGCACCTAACTTCATCAACAGTACATATAGGGTCCCTGCAATAGCACTAGCCACCATCATTTTTTTCAACTTTGCATAATTTCTTTAGCAGAGAGACTAAACACAACTCACCCACTCTCTTCCAGCAGCCGCTTGTTTGAAGCGAGACCTCAGGCCAGTCCATTATGGACTGCTGCGGGGTGACACAGCTCAAGGAAGAACATTTATGATCATTACTTTATGGAAATGCAGTCAGACCGAGATGCTAAGGTAGAAGAAATACCGCATCTGAAGTGCAAAATGATAAATATGATGATTATTACTTCAAGGAAATGATAAAGTAATGATCATAAATGTTCTTCCTTGAGCTGTGTCACCCCGCAGCAGTCCGTAATGGACTGACCTGAGGTCTCGCTACAAACAAGCGGCTGCTAAAAGTGAGTGGGTGAGTTGTGTTCAGTCTCTCTGCCAAAGAAATTGGGCAAAGTTGAAAAAAATGATGGTGGCTTGTGCTGAGGCTTGGCCCTATATGTACTGTTGATGAAGTTAGGTGCTGTTCTGAACATTATTTGTGGCTATGGAGTGCCGTTTTGGTTGAAGTGTGTTTATGGCACCTCAGGCCACTGTGTATTGCTATCTTGCGGTTGATACTAAAGTTGGTATAACTAGAGAAGCAAGCGGTCCGCAATATTCATCACTAGAGGGGGTGTCTAAATAATAATAAAATAATAAAACAAGATACCTCTTAACATCAGAGAATTCATTGAGCATGTTTCACATTTGAGATATTCTCATTTTTATGAGTGTTAGTTTCATTTACAGTGCCTGCATAGATGTTTTTCTGTAATTTTTAGTTATGCTCTACATGTGATGTTTTGTTATTTTGGGTCAGTTTAAACATGACTGCACACAGTTAAGCCTGTAACGATCTCTTGAGTTTGTGGCCACCTGCCAGTTTGCACCAATAGTATTACAATGACATCACAGAGGAATGTGAACCAAATGAAATCTCTTGCTCCCATGTTGTTGTTGTATTTTTTTTTTTTTTTTTTTTTTTATCAGTTTAACAGGATTATACAAACCATAATCCGGAGGTCTGTTATTTTCAGGTTTAATGTGATTTAGGATGCGGGTTGTGCCGGCACAGTGGGGTTACATCTTTTAAAGGTCAGGAGAACATCTGGTATGCACTGGCTGCACTGTCAGACCAAACATCAACGTCAGTCTTTGAGAACAGCTTAATGAGAGCCAGTCAACCTTCAGGAAGCAGAGCAGCATCAGAGGAGTAAATCTGTGTTTCTGGCAGCTTCCATCAGGAGGTGACCCTGCTCCTCAGCCAGACTGGAGTCAAGGACATCAAATTAGCTGCTAACATGCTGAGAAAATGTGACCCAGGTGCAGAATGGTGATGCAGGCAGGTTGGTGGAATTTAACCAAGAATGTGAAGTTACGCACAAATTCCCATAATCCTATTCTGGTGTGGGACGAATGCTTCTTTCAGGCATAACCAAAGGTCACTGAAAAACACAGAGACAGTATTGTGCCGCTCTACAAGGGCTCAGTTTTCCTCTCTCCGTCTATAATCAGAACCTTGAGATCCTGCAGCCAACAGGTCAAACAGAGAGTGTGCAGGTTCAGAGGTGCTGCTCCCTGTTACAGCAGGTCACATTCACTCTCATCAGCACAGCCCACACTA